GAGGGGTACCTCAGCTGGCCTCGGACGGCTGTCGGCCCGTCCGCCGCCCTGATCTCGGCTGTCCGCAGGCGATGCACAGCCTGGAGCTGCTGTCGCGCATCCTCAAGCGATCCACTCGGAGCTAATCCAGCCGCACAAGGGGCGCTGGCCGACATGGTGCCGCCCAAGAAGCACCTGGTCAGGCAGCAGCCGGCCAACGCCCAGATCGGCATCATGGATGGCAAACACGTTCTGCTACTCCCTGCAGCCGCGCCTTTTCACCATCGGTAGGCGTATAGGAGCCGTTAGCGAAACTGTTCTGTTTGTCTGGTGTTGCATGGTATGTGAAGGCGTTGTGTGGTGTGATTCTGCAAGGGGAGGATTGGCCGGACGGTCTGACGAACGGGACTGCGTCCGGTTACTGTCGGCCCTAAATTCCATTCTGGCATGCCATTTACACGCTATTCAGGAAAGGTATTTGTAAACGGCCCGCCGGCGGAGGCAGAGCTCGCTGTTGAAGCAATCAGAATGTATGGTAAGGGAAGAATCGCGCCAGGAGTTTCACGCCAGGTGACAAGGGCGGAGGAATTAGACCCGACGCACGCTACGGATTCCCCGTTTTCTATTACGAAACGGGGCACTGCTGTTTTCTTCCGAAGGGAATATCATCTACGTAGTGTTCGACTGGACAGGGGTCCTGTGACCGAATTCTAGCGTTACGACCGGCGTCGCCGGAATGTTGAGGTAAAATCCCCACGGTCCAGTCGTAAGCCAGTGATTCCTCGGTGGGATTTGCCTTCGGACAGCCGATGATTGCGTGGCCATGCATGGAGGGGGGGGGGGAGCTTAGAGCAGACGTTCCGTGAGTGGGCTTGGTGTGTGTGGCGTTCGGTTCCCTCGTCGCACATTCACTCCGCTAGCTTCTCAGACTTGTGCCATATATTGAGCGCAGGTCTCGCGGTGCACTACGCCCTGAAGTTTTGCGCTTCATGACGTGTCGTGTTGGTTGACGAAGGCGTGCTCTGGCGTCGTGGACTGGTATTTGGCGGCATGCTTCTTCGGTGGGGGCGTGCGATGGGGGAGCTGTTGTCCCGCGTCTATCCCGAGCTGACGCCGCCAGCCAACCGTGCGTGAGCGGCGGCGGTGGGAGAGCTGTTATCCCGCGTCTGTCTTGAGCTGGCGCTGTCGGCCGACTGCGCGTGGGCGGCGGCGGTAGGAGAGCTGTTGTCCCGCGTCTGTCTTGAGCTGGCGCTGTCGGCCGACTGCGCGTGAGCGACTGCGGGCGGTGGGAGAGAGCTGTTGTCCCGCGTCTGTCCCGAGCTGACGCTGTCGGCCGACTGCGCGTGAGCGGCGGCGTTGAGAGAGCTGTTGTCCCGCGTCTGTCTTGAGCTGACCTGATCTGATGTGATCTGCTCTGATCTGTCCTGAGCTGACGCCGTCGACCGACCGTGCGTGAGCGGCGTGTCCCTGCGTCGGCAGACCTGACGGTGAGCGAACACAAGGTGTTCTTCAGCGAGCTGTTCTCGCTCTGCGAGGCGGACGACAGCAGCCTGTTGAAGCTGCCCTGCTACAAGTCCATCAACCTGACGTCCATCCGCCAGTCGGCTCTCCGCTGCCTGGCGGAGTGCTACTACATCCCCAACTACCGCGACAAGATCTTCTCCGTCCTCTACAACCGGGCGCTCAACTCCAGCAGCGCCGAGCTGCAGGAGTGTGGCTTCCAGTGCATGAAGAAGCTGATTGCCGGCGCGCAGCCGGACATGGAGGTGGTGAGTCCCGCCGGCGGCCCCGGCTCTGACCCGCTCTGCCAGCAGCCTCCAGGCTCGGAGGACAGCTAACCCGCAATGCACCCTTGTTACAGGACATTTTGACGCTCTCGATAACGTTAAATGGCTGGAGAAACGGCAGTGTTGTGCTGGATTACAGGTCGCCAAGGGGTACATAACAGGCGACGAGCTGCTCTGTCTGGTCTGGTTTCGTTGTGGACACAGCGTTTAGCCGTTGCGTCTGTCCTCTGACCCGTTCGTGGCATCTGTCCGGCAGGTGCACAAGGAGATGCGTCCGCTGCTGCTGCTGCTCGGCGACCACCGCTCGCTGACGCTGAACGTGGTGCCCCGGCTCAACTACCTGACGCGTCTCTTCCCCAACACGTTCAAGGAGAAGCTCTGCGAGCAGCTGGTGCAGCACCTGCGCAAGTGGATGGAGGCGGCCATTCAGAGCGCCTCTGCGGGCGCGCCTGCTGCCGGCGGCGCCGCCGGCGACGCCGACAAGGAGAAGGCGGCCAACCTACGCACGGCGCCCACTGCCACGCAGGAGTACCAGATCTGCACGGCCATCCTGGCCATCTTCCCGCAGATCCCAGCCGCCTCCAGCCGGTACGTTGGTCGCCGGTCGGGAGGAGGTGGGAGGTGGTGCGAGGGACGCCGGCCAGAGATGCGGAGTTGAGGGCGGGCGGCAGCCTGGTATGGTGGAGGGTGGAGGGCTGGGGTGCCCTCCAGGGATGCAGACGCCCGCGTTAAGGAACGTCACCTATGTTTCGCAGCGGGGCATACGTGGGGCTGCCTTTGCACCACAGCGGCTTGGGACGTGGGTGGGTGCCTCCAGGGCTTCATGATGAATCGTGGATGACCGACTGCCGTGGTGTAGCATGGGCGTTGGGTGGCAGTCTCCATTAGTCCAGAGTGCAGAGGTAGCGGCGGCCTTTCTGCAGCCTAGGATGGAGAGTGGCAGTGGGCTTTAGGGGTGTGGGTGGAAGGCAGCTTCCAGAGGTGTAGGGCGGAGGGCTGGTGACAGTACTCAGGGCTCTGGGATGGAAGGCGGAGGGCAGCGTCACAGATGCGGGGTTGGGAACGGATTATGAGTTTTCTCCGTACGTTGATCTTCGTTGAACAGGCATTTTCCTCGGCGTGTGTTGTCAATGATCGTTCAGCTGCTGACGCCGTGCTTTCATTATCACCTGGCACTGTGTGGCACCGGAACTGGAATGGAATGGAATGGTCTGGGCCACTCTCACCTGTCATTCAGAATGACGCCATCCGTCCGTGCCGCGGGCGTGGTGCCACAGTCGGGACCCGCTTGCAGCCTGAGTAGTGGGTCCCCTGGCTTATGAGCCGAGTGCCGGCCGGGACGCCGCGTGCGCGGCCGCCGCCGGACGTACCGCGCCGCGCGCGCACGGCGGCGGCGGCGGCCGGGCGGGCGCGGTCTGACCCGAACGTATCGCGCCGTGCGCACGGCGGCGGCGGCCGGGCGGGCGCGGTCTGACCCGAACGTATCGCGCCGTGCGCGCACGGCGGTGGCGGCTGGGCGGGGCGCGGTCTGACCCGAACGTATCGCGCCGTGCGCGCGCGGCGGTGGCGGCCGGGCGGCGCGGTCTGACCCGGACCCGGCCCGTCGCGTTGGCAGGTTTGTGGAGCTGCTGATCCATCTGGTGCTGACCACCGAGTCCCAGCTCTGCGTGGATGCAGGCTCCACCATGCGCACGCCGCTGCTGCAGTTCCTGGCGCGGTACCCGCAGGTAGGCGCAGGGGCTTAGTGGCACCTAGCCGTCGTCACAGACGCTCTCGCCAGCGATAGCAACCCACTCGCAGTGGTGAACAGAGCTCTGAAGTAAAACCCAGCGAGCGCACAGAGACCTGGCCACATGCCTTTGCCAGGGCCGTTCCGTATGTTTTGATTTGCCGCGTCAAATGTCTTGCTTTGCCGTGAGGAGGTTTAGATTTGCCATGTTTTGTCAGGGTCGTCGCGTGTATAAATGTCCTCCCCCACTCGAGACCTGCATAGTGTGCATGTTGGGACATCCCGTATGAGCCATTGCTGGCCGGCGGTGCCGCCACCAGCGCCGCCCCGCCAGCACAGGGTCGTGACCTGAGCTGGTCAGCGCGGCGGCGGGCGGCCTGTGCCGCACCAGCGTGCCCCGCCAGCACAGGGTCGCGACCTGAGCTGGTCAGCGTCGCGGTGGCCGGCCTGTGCCGCCACCGTCGCCGTCCCACCAGCACAGGGTCGCGACCTGAGCTGGTCAGCGTCGCGGTGGCCGGCCGGCGCAACCGGCGACTGTCAACAGGACTGCTGGCATCTCTTTCCAGACATACAAGCAGCCTCCGAACTCCACTATTGCTCCCACTTGCGGTTGAAATGTCGCATGTCTTCATGTTTCTTTTTTGGGGTTTAGCATTCAGTAGGAAGCTAAATTTGCAATGCGGTCATACATGAACTTAAGCTTAGTTCTCACTGTTGTTGTTTTCTAGATGCACGGGGCGATTGCAAGCAGCGATACTATTCAAACGGTAAATTTCGCCTGGCTTGAAGGAAAACCACATGCTATCTGTTTGGTTCACTGGTATGGCACGTGCCCTCAACAGGGTATTGAGTAATGGAGCCATGTCATGTAGTATGGTTTCCAGTTGATGGACGACACCCAGGTTTTGCCAGCCATCTTGGCGCTTACGTACACGGTGTAGTAGGTGGCGGTGCTACTTTGAGGTCATTGTTCCTCGGTCGTGTCTTCCCAGGAGACGATCGACTACCTGATGACGGAGACGGTGTTGAAGGAGCAGCAGAACAGCCGCTTCCTGAAGTACCTGATCAACCACGAGGACGGCCAGTGCTTCAGGGAGATGGTGCAGAGCTCGGTCGACAAGCTTACCAACATGGTGTCCGGTGAGTGGAAAGACCGTCAGCAGAGGGCGGCCAAGTGCGTGCTGCACTCTGGCATTTTAGTGGAATTAGACTCGTTAGACTTAGGCTTTATTAATTAGACTCGTGGAATAGCGCATTGATGCTTTTTAATGAATGAGGCTCATTATGAAAGGACTAGCGACGGAAAAATATTCGTCACGGACAAGGGCGCTTTGAAAGGGTTGATAACTGCAAAGGTTAGTTGCCATGAACGGTTATGGATGGATTTCATAGCTTATGAGCTTGGTATGTAAAAGACTGGCAATGAAAAAAGTGCAAGTGCAAGGGGTTAGTGCGGGAAATTGGAAAAAGCTCGCGAGCAAGGTTTTGTTTAAAAGCGTTGTATTGACAGGAACCTACCCGCAATGGAATAGGTCCGAAGTGGGTGAGGTTCGTTAGGATGCAGGGTTGTATGGGGCGTGGATGGTGTCCGAAGTTTCGCGCGCAGGGCTTTCGCAATACAAGGGCTGGCAAAATCAAAATGTAGTTGAAACCTTAGGAATTTACGCACCTTTGCCGACATATATGTGTGCCCAATGCGGGTTCCGTGAGGGAAAGGGTTTCCACGTCAACAACGTTATTGGTGAAATCCTATTCCTGTGCGAGTGTTGACCTAGAATTATGTGGCACTGGCTTGGCCCCATCTCAGCTTGTGCCACTGGCGTGAGCACCTGATTGGACCGGCGCCACTCCTCCCCATGCGCGCGCACGCCGCCGCGTGTTTGTGTGTGACCTGTCCCATCACCCGCCGGCCAGCCGCTGCGTGTTTCGTCTGACGGCGGCCCTCTGTTGTGCAGGCGCCGTGTCGGTGCAGGGCGAGAAGGACAAAGCCGAGCTGCAGTTCCAGGCCGTGCACATCTGCTACCTGCTGACCAAGCACGACGACCAGTGGCTGGCCGGCCAGTCGCACCTGGTGCAGGCCCACAAACTGGTGAGCCTCAGTGGGCCGGCCGTCAGTCGCCGCCGCCGCCGCCGCCGCCGCCGCCGCCGCCGCCGCCGCGCTCCGTCGCGCGCTGGTGTGGACAAGTGTGGACCTGTCGCCCGAGTGTGGACAAGTGTGGACCTGTCGCCCGAGTGCGAACAAGTGTGGACCTGTCGCCCGAGTGTGGACGAGTGCGGACCTGTCGCCCGAGTGTGGTTAAGTGTGGACCTGTCGCCCGAGTGTGGACGAGTGTAGACTAGTGTGGACCGTGCCCCTCGCCGGCGCCGCAGCTGGCGGGTCTGACGCGGCGGCGGCCGTTGCAGGTGTGGTGCAGTGACGCGTATCACGAGCAGCACCAGCGCGGCGAGCGCACCGAGTCCGGCCACTGGCAGCAGCCGCGCCTGCTGGCCCGCACGCTGCTGCGCTACTTCATCCACCACCCCGACAACGTGCACCTGCTGCTGCAGCTGGTGCGCGCGCTCACCTCCAGGTGAGGCGGCGTGCCGAACACGTCACAAGCAACAGGTCCCGTGATTCATGGCTGGCTGGCGGTGTGTTAATCTAATGACGATGCATTAGCATTGCTGAGACGCCGTCACTGGCGCCACTAACGACGATGCCTACCAACGCCAGCAGCATTGATCTTTGCACAGTGAAACCAATGGGACCGGTTGTCTCCGCCGTAGAGGTCGTGATGCTCTGTCGCTTCTGGCCTTACCAGTCACATTTATCGTCCAATAATGCTAATCCTACATTTCTTCCTTTGGCTGGACATGGACACCCAGCGTTTTGTCAGATGCGTGGAGCGCATTGCACATTCCCGACTAGTGAAATATATTGCAGGTACATCGTAGATTTCCAGTTCATCAAGGACTTTCTGGAGAACACGGTGGCGCAGTCGTACACGGTGGTGTGGAAGCGAGACGCCTTCTTCAAGTTTGTGGAGCTGTACCAGGATCCCAACATCAGCCAGCAGCTCAAGGCCAAGGTAGACTCCGCCACCGCTCCGCCGTGTAGCCCTGGTTGGCGCCTCTGGGGAAGGCAGTGGCACACTGCTGATGCTGTTCACGTACGGCCTGATACAGTTACGCGATGACATTGGGTCAAGTTTCGAGTAGTTTAACGTGCGTTGTGCGGATGTTTTGTGAACAAACTAAGACAGGTATGGCGCCTTCACGATGCGCGCCAATCCGCCCAGCTAGTGGTGGATGGTTGATCCTGCCTCCGGTCATGATGTTGGACATTATTCTGATCCGGTGTCTGCGAGCCTGCATGGACGCTCGGTACCAGCTGTAGCAGCGCAGCTGTACGAGGCGCGCAGCGGCGGCCGCCGGCCGGGGGCTGGACGTTGACCGGCGGCTGGGTGGGCGTCAGGTGCTGCAGTACATCATCATCCCGTGCTTCGCCGTGTCGTTCGACCGCGGCGAGGTGGACCAGCTGATCGGCTCCCCGCCGTCCCCCGAGGACGACTCGGCCACCAACATCGTCAGCGTGTTCATCCGCTCGTTCATCGACACCGAGCGGCCGATGCAGATCAGCGACGGGGTGCGCATCCTGCTGCTGCAGCTCTCCTGCCTGCTCATCGAGCACGCCTCCCCGCACATCCACGACGTGGCCAACAAACGCCAGGTGGGTTGGGGACGCTGGGCCAGCCAGCCGACCGGGCGGCGCCGCGTCCCACACGCCGTCGGACGGGTGGGCGCGCGAGAGCCAGACTCTTCACCTGAGAGGCTCCGTGTGGCCAGGCGCCTGCGGCTGGAGCGCGCCGGTGAACGCGTGGTTTGCATCTTTGTTTCCCGTAGTCGAGCGCGCATCCCTGAACTTATCTAACAACTGGGTGTCATGTCAGTCGCTGTGTACTCTCGAGTGGAATTGGCGTGCTGGCGTTCACGTCTTAGGCCACGCCGCTGAGGCGTGGCCGGCTGCTGTCGCATGTCTCACCAGTTCGCCGCTGACGGCGGTTTACGAGGGGCTGACACCCGCGGGCCGTTGCCAGGGCAACAAGCTGCGTCGCCTGATGACGTTCGCCTGGCCGTGCCTGATGAGCAAGAACTGCGTGGACCCCACCACCAAGTACCACGGCCACCTCCTGCTCTCGCACATCATCGCCAAGTTCGCCATCCACAAGCGCATCGTGCTGCAGGTAGGTCACGCCGGCCTACGCGACAGGCGCCGCTCCAGCACGGCCGTCGGACGGAGGGCGCGACCTTGGGGTGGCGTGGAGACCTCGTCACGTTTGATGCTGAGGCGGTGTGGTCCGCGGAAGTCGGCCGTGGTGTGTGACGGTGCCGTGCGCTCTGCTGCGCAGGTGTTCCACAGCCTGCTGAAGGCGCACGCGATGGAGGCGCGCCCGGTGGTGCGGCAGGCGCTGGACATCCTGACGCCGGCCATGCCCGTGCGCATGGAGGACGGCAACACCATGCTCACTCACTGGACCAAGAAGATCATCGTGGAGGAGGGGCACCACTCGCTCACCCAGCTGGTTCACATGCTGCAGCTCCTCGTCAGGCACAACAAGGTGCGGCAGCCGGGCGCCAGCGCCCGGAGACACATCCAGCCGCTCCAGCCGGCGTGCGCGACAACTTCCGGCGTCTTAGATCTAATTTTCGTTGGCATGACGTATCCTGAGATGTTGCCTGTTTGGTCTGCGTGGCGGCTGGGGAGACACGATCACTTGCTGCTGAGGTGGCAGCATCGCAGCAGGTGTCCCGCAGGGAGAGATCTCTGTGGTCGAATCTTAGAGTGTGCAACCAACACCCACCCCCGCGTGAGATGCTCGACGAGCAGCTCAGACGGTGACGTCATGGCGTCATCTGCAAAAAAAAATTGCAAAGAAAACGTGAAATTTCTTTAGCGTGTGTGTATGTTGCCATGAGCTTGGCGATGCTGCTGCTCCTGGATACATTGGCCGAGCCACGTTGAGCTACCAACTCGCACAGGCATGCGCTCACGTCACTCACGCCCGCATGCCCACGATCGGCACTTACCTGAGACATCTTGGTGACCCGCACTACACTGCGGCGGCCATCCGTCATGCTTTGCCGCCTGCGCCACCTGGCTGGGCACTGCTAGTGCGTGTGGTGAGCCCGGTGTGCTGGCAGGTGTATTACCCGGTGCGGCACCAGCTGCTGGTGCACATGGTGAGCTCGGTGCAGCGGCTGGCGTTCAGCACCACCGGCACGCCCGAGCACAAGAAGCTGGCGGTCGACCTGGCCGAGGTCATCGTGCGCTGGGAGATCGTCCGCCGCCAGGACGAGGTCAGTCCGGCCCCGCTCGTCACGGCACGGGTCAGAGGTCGGCCAGGGGCTGTCGGCCGCGTCAGAGGTGGCGCCAGTGGTGTGCGGATCCGGGACCGCCGTGTGATCATTTGTCCCGCCGCGGCTGGAGCGGCAGTCGGCCTGGTTGTCGTGCTAGAGGTATTAATCAGAGATCGGCGTAGCCGCCGGTCGCGGCAGCTCAGTGGCTCCACTTGTCGGGTGAAGGGCGGCGTCAGAGATCGGTGGGGGCTCACTTCTCTTGTTCGGGGTGGTTTCATTTCACTACGGCCGGCCGTCGTGTGGTAGGTGGTATCAGTGGTATATTAGAGGTGTGCAGGGGTACCGTATGCTTTGGTTGCTTTCAGAGAAAATCACGAGACCGCTCCCCGTGGGTGCAGAGCCACGCCGGCCTTGCATCATGTGACCAGATATCCTCAAATAATCACCCCACTCACCAAACTCTCATCGCATTCCAGCGCCAGCCAATTCAACTCGGTCAGCGCTGCTCCTAACGCCATTCTCTTCTCCCCCTTCCTTCATCCGTCGCGCCCGCAGCGACCCGCTCGCTCGCCGCAGCTGCACCACTTAGGACAGCTGGCGTAGGCGTCACGCCGTGATCAGGAAACCCTCAGGGTCCCAAACTAGCACGACTAATCTATCTATTTTTCTATGTATCTTCTTGTATGTATGTATGTATCTATTTGTTTATCTATTTGTACTAACTACCATTATACATGAAGTCGTGCGACATCACAGTCCCAATCAGCGCCGCATGCGGTGGGGCGATCAGTCAGCTGACTCCGCGTGCACGTGACAGTCGTCCGTGTCGGATTCCGAGCGCGAGCGCGAGGAACAAGTTATGCGTATATATATATATATATATATATATATATATATATATATAGATATAGATATATATATATATATATATATATATATATATATATGTATAAGCGATTTCCCTAGTCGTAGTCATTTCCCTAGTCATATTTCACATCTCTGTCGCGCCGCGCCGCGCCGCGCACAGGAGCCGCTTGTATGCACTAACTAAGCTCACCGCGGCGGCCGTCAGGAGTCGCTGTCGAAGGGAGCGCTTCTCAAGCCCGGCATCACGAAGGAGTCGCTGAGACGCATCGAGAAGACTCACGCCGAGACGCTGATCAACTTCCTGCTGAAGCTGGCGTGTCAGGTGTGTGGCCGCTCAGCTGTCTGCTGCTGTCTTGGTGTTGGTGTGCTCAGCTCAGTAAGGGACAGTGCGGCAGCTGTTCGAGTTGATGGTAGCGGCCGCCGCGGCGGCTGACGCGAGCGGCCATTGACTATCGCTTAATAAGGTTTCGAATCGGAACCGCGGTGTAGTTCCAGCCGGGACCACGTGGTCTGGGTGGCCGCACAGAACCGTGCTGATGGCTTCGGTTGCGGTCATGGCGGGCTAACCGAGACATCACCACCCTCCGGTGCGCACCGCCACCGAATCGTCCGTGCAGTGACGCTCTCGTTACCCCGTTGCTGTCCTCCGTCACGTGACACTGTGACGTCAGGTCAACGAGCTGTCGACGACGCCGGGCGCGCCGGGCGAGCAGCTGTCGCGCCGCTGTGTGCAGCTGCTGAAACTGGCCATGCGGCCGGGGGTGCTGCCGCACGGCGACCTGCGCATCGTCTGGGTCGACAAGCTGCTGCTGTCAGTCGGTGCGTCCGCGCTGCGGCCCGGCCGGCGGCGACGCGCCCCGGCCGACCGCTCGCTGTCGCGCCCACGCCGGTCACGTGGTGCGGCGCCGCTCGCTCGCCTGGCCGGCGAGGCCGGTCACGTGGTACGGCGCCGCTCGCTCGCTGTCGCGCCCACGTCGGTCACGTGGTGCGGCGCCGCTCGCTCGCTGTCGCGCCCACGTCGGTCACGTGGCAGACCTCAGGCGGTGCCCGGCGCAGTCGCAATCATGCGACTGTGGTACATGGTTCCGTTGCCTTACAGTCGCAATTTGTGTGATGGAACAAAGCCCGGAAACACGTCGATGGAAGCGCATCCACCAGCCTCGAACTACTGCTTCTGTGCCCTTGTGTTTGCACACCGGGAAAAAATACCCGAATGGCTCACAAGTAGGAGACGTCATACAAAAAGTTGACTGTATAAAATGGGATACGCTGTATCGTTCACCATATGCACAGTTCCTAGTCTATAGAAAGTTTTTACACGTAGTCAGTTGACCTGTATGGTGGCATACCCTCGTTTGGCGTGTTATGCGTACGATTGACGCTGAACCCGTGGCGGGCTGCCGGCCATCCTCAGAATCGCCGCAGCCAAACTACAGCAACATCTGCACTGCCCTGGACCTGCTGGCTTACCTGCTGACGATGCTGAAGCGGGACCAGATCCTGGCCAACTTCAAGCACCTGCAGCGGGGCCTGGCCGCGTGCATGGCCTCCCAAAACCAGAAGGTGTGCTGCTGGGCTACGCATCGCCGCCCAGTGTTTGGTTTTGGGTAACCTGCAACATGCTGCAAAGCACGCACGAACCCTTTCGTTTGGGTTTGTGTTCGGGTATGTGAAAACTGAACGTCACTGGAAGCTACTGGCAGGTACAGGAAGCTACTGGAAGCATCACTGGCAGAGTTCCATCCCAATGCTTGCCGCTTCTCGATGTATAAGATAAGTTGCAACGCAACGTTGTTCCAATTTGTGGTTAGCTGCAGGTTGATGCTGTGATACTGACACAGTGCGACGTGTGGCGTAAACAAGAGAAGGGCGACATGGTACAAATATGAAGTGAACGTTCGTCGGCGTACACAGGTGGTGAGGGCCGTCCACCTGCTGCTGACCAAGCTGATGAACATGTTCCCGACGGAGCCCACCGGCTCCTCCGTGGCCTCAAAGTACGACGAGCTCGAGTCGCTGTACAACCACGTCAGCAAGGCGAGTGTGGAGGCGGCGGCGGGCGCGGGAGCTCGAGCCGGCGCGCTCGCCGCCGTCCGCTGCCTGTCACTGGCCGCCGGCGCTGGGCGTACGGGCCGCCAAGTACGGCTTACGTGGCGTGACGCTGGTCTGATGTACTTCTTCGGGCGGGTGTGGAAGGGGTCCTCTGGGGGCGCCGTGTCTGGGCTGCTCACGTGAGTCACTTTTTATGGCACGTGCTCTGATGTGATTCTCGCCAATGGCTCTTCGTGTTGGAGAACGCGGTGACGCACCATTCCATCCAAAGCGAAGCCTGGCCGCCAGCGTATGGGGATCGGCTCGCCGTATGCCGTCCGAGTCCCTCTGATCTGTGTAATAGCTGGTGCTGGTGGACGGTGCCGTCTGCTGCCAGGGGTGCTGGCTGATCGTCAGTGGCTTGTTGGCTTTCCAGTGCAGCTGAAGTGCGGTTTAATGGAATGTTGGGCGTCTGGCGTGTCGCCGGCAGGTTGTGTTCGAGGGTCTGGTGGCTTTCGAGAAGAACACGTCCGCCACGCCGTCCAGCTTGTACGGCACCCTCATGGTGCTAAAGGCGGCCGGCCACAGCAACCCCTGCTACGTGGACCGGCTCATCAGCAGCTTTATGCGCGTGCTGCAGCGCATGGCACGTGACCACTTGACGCCCGGCGGCGAGTCCACCCCGGGTAGGTGGACAGTGCGGCGGCTGGGGGGGGGGGGGGGGGGGGAGCGGGCACGAGTCCGCACCGGGCAGGTGGACGGCGCGGCAGCTGGCAGCGCGGGGGGGGGGGAGGAGGAGGGGGAGGGAGTCCGCGCCGGGTAGGCGAACAGTGCGGCGGCGCAGCTGTAGGCATGCCTTGTTTTGTGGGTGGGGTAATCCGGGTAAGAGTGCGGCCCTTTGCGCAAACCTGCTCAAAGGGGCCTAGCGCCGCCTTTTTGGCTGAAATGGACGACCATTACTCATTGCGTACCGATCCTTGTGCAGGGCCTCCACTGTGGGCCGCCCAACGCTGCCGTACATTAGAAATGTGTTAGGATAATCACCGAATTTTGGGCTGTCAGAAACCGGTGTCAGGCTTTTAGCATTTTGCCGCATTTGGGAACTTGGCCCAAATGATCTTCACTTGTCAAAAGTCTTACGGCATGTGTCCGAAACACTTGTAAAGTCCCCCGCCCCCCCCCCCCCCCCCGTCTCACGCTCAGCGACCGGACTAATTTGGCCGTCGAGTACAACACCGTTTACCTTCGTTGTGATGTGAGTTTGTGAAGGTTTATGAGGCCGAAAAATCCGTTGTTGCAAAAAAATTAACTTATTACGATTCCTTCGGGCGTGTGCGGCACCAGAATGGGTGAAAACGGCACACTTCACAGCAATCCTCGTGTATGAGGCTGATCTGTTCGTTTTGTTTTATTTTGGGTGTGTTGTGATCAGATAATATGCATGTAGTGGAATCATTCAGTTTTACTGCATTGTCCATGGCCAGTATCAAGACGTCACGGGGGGAGGGGAGGGGAGCCTGAGAAGTCATTCCCCACCTAGTATTCGGATCTCAGCCTACCAAACGCAGCTCATGCGTCAGGTGCATGTGACACGCACCAGGCTCGCGAGGAGCAGGGCTGTAGAGCAGAGTACACGAAATCAAGTAAAATCTACGGCGCGATGTCGGATATTGGGCCATGGGCACAGTGACCTGTCCCGCGTGACGTGTCACGACGTGTGTGGACTGGGCCGACGAGTCAGTCTCAGGCGTCGTGTCCGTCGGCGCAGTGGCCGTCGACCTCCTGATCCTGGCGCTGGACCTGGTCAAGAACCGTGTGGGCGTCATGGGACTGGATATGCGCAAGTCCTTCATCGGCGCCATTCTGGTCAATCTGATCGACAAGACGTCCGAGGTCAAGGTTCTGAAGGCCATCACAAAGGTAAAACCTCTCTTTTTCAACAGTTCAACGACAAATGATTTACTCCTACAAGGCACGCTATAAGGGATGAATGCTTAATTACATTGTTAAGCAGTCCTTAACTTAGGCTCACGTGTATTGCCAGGTATAAGCTATGTTTCTGCCCGTTAAGAGAGGAGAGTACGTGCAACGCTGGATCTCGCTGATCGGTACTTTCCGTCGATTGTCATTCAGCTGCGACAGTCATAATCCGCGCAGCGTATCTCCTTATGCGTCTTGGTGGCGCTTAACCGGCGGCAGCAGCCGGTGTGAAATGGCCGGGTGAAATGAGCGACTCTAACAGTCAGGGATGCTGATAAGTGAAGCAGTCTTCGGCCACAACAGGTTCGAGAAGCTCGGGCTCTGATCCCGTATGCTGCGCGCAGCATCCCCATGTGGCCACGTTCACGCAGAGTCAGCTTATAGGGTTTCTTGGTGCATTCAGTGCATGCATCATTCATTCATAATGCGTTATCGCTGTTCTGTTTCTGGTGACCATACTGGCAACGTCTACCCTGCGGTGTAGATGGTGGACGAGTGGGTGAAGAACAAGTCGCCGATCGCCATCAACCAGGGACCTTCACTGCGCGAGAAGTCGATCCTGCTGGTTAAGCTGATGCACTGCATCGAGAAACGTTTCACCGATGACCCGGAGGTGCAGGCCCAGTTCTTGGAGCTGGTCAACTACATTTATCGGTAAGCGGCAGTGGGCTGCTGGATACAGGGGATCAGGGATCCACGGAGGATGTGGGACGTACCGAAATACACGGAATCAGGGACGCACATGGGACCAGAGGCGTACAGGGTATCAGGGACCCACAGAGGATGCGGGACGTACCGAGATACACGGAATTAGGGACGCACAGAGGATCAAGGACGTACGGGGGATCAGGGACCCATAAAGGATGTAGGACGTACCGAGATACACGGAATCAGGGACGCACTCGGGTCAGGGACGTACAGGGGTCAGGGACGTACGGGTAATCAGGGACGCACAGGGGATCAGGGACGTACAGGGGACCAGGGACCCACAGAAGATGTGAGACGTACCGAGATACACGGAATCAGGGACGTACAGGGGATCAGGGACGTGCAGGGGATCATGGGCGTGCGGGGTATCAGGGCCGTAGGGGGACGCCCTGGCCAGTCCTCCGAGCCGCTGCACCCCGGCCCGTGGCCAACTGCAGAGGGGCTGTCGCCGCGGCCAGGGACCGCAGTCGGGGGTGTTCCCGGGGGCGAGATAACTGTTCGCACTCCGTGAGCCCCGGCTACACCGTGCGCCGGCTGATGCACTGGGCTGCGCTTTTGCGTCCTGTTTTGCATTGCGATGCACGAACGCTGCATTATGATGTGTGTGTGGGCGGAGGGGAAGCGGGGTGTTGTCTACTGGCTCAGTGTCACACGAGCAGCGTGGTGCTGCGTGCTCAGCGTTAGTTCTGCTGATCCGCCTGCTGCGCCAATGCCGGCGTGCAAGCCGCTTGCTCTGGCTATCGAACTCGGTCAGTCGCAGGACAAACTGATCTTAAGTAAGGCGGACAGAGCAAGGCAGCGCGCGCAGGCCGTGTGACGCCACCCGCCGCGGTAGCTGACGGCCCTCTTCTGCCGCAGAGACGACGCTCTGAAGAGCACCGAGCTGACGGTGAAGCTGGAGCCGGCGTTCCTGTCCGGTCTGCGCTGCGCCCAGCCCCAGATCCGGTCCAAGTTCTTCGAGGTGGGTCAGCCGACAACCGCGGTCGGGTGGGCGCAGGAGTGGTCGCGCTCGCTCGCACCGCGGGACAGATCAAGGCCCTTAGAAAACCGTCCATGCTGTGTTCGTTGTCAGGGATATTGACAAGTCGGATTGTTGGCGGTCTCAAACATAAACCATACCGCAGCATAACTGCGCCTTTAAATTTCTAAAACTGCATTAGCAACTCCAGTATTGATGGCGCTTCTAGTACCTTGAAAGGAACAGACCGGACAGCGTCTTTTCGTATGGCAATGGCCAGACGGGTCGTTACTCAGAGCTGGCTACAATTCGTTCTTACAGCTCCAAACTGACTGGCCGTCCCGACTGTGCTGTCTCCGACGGCCGGCGTCCCTCGGTTTCCCCTACGCTGGCATGTCTTGATCGCCTGGTGTCGCCACAAACTCGTTGGTTCATGACGATTGGCTCCAGCCCTGACTGTCCCATCCCTGGCAGCCGGCGGCTGACGTCCCTGTCCCGTCCCTGAGGTCCAGTGTCGCCCAGCCCCTCTGCCTGACGATCATGGCGCCCTGTCCCTGGCTACCCCTAACGACCAGGGTGCCCCGTCCCTGACTGTCCCATCCCTGGCAGCCGGCGGCTGACGTCCCTGTCCCGTCCCTGAGGTCCAGTGTCGCCCAGCCCCTCTGCCTGACGATCATGGCGCCCTGTCCCTGGCTACCCCTAACGACCAGGGTGCCCCGTCCCTGACTGTCCCATCCCTGGCAGCCGGCGGCTGACGTCCCTGTCCCGTCCCTGAGGTCCAGTGTCGCCCAGCCCCTCTGCCTGACGATCATGGCGCCCTGTCCCTAGCTACCCCTAACGACCAGGGTGCCCCGTTCCTGGCTGCCCCTGACAGCCAGGGTGCCCCGTCCCTGGCTGCCCCGTCCCTGGCTGCCCCGTCCCTGGCTGCCCCGTCCCTGGCTGCCCCTGACTGTCGGGCCGTCCCTGACGGGCCGGACGTGCGCGGCAGGTGTTCGACACGAGCATGAAGCGCCGCCTGCACGAGCGGCTGCTGTACGTGGTGTGCAGCCAGAACTGGGAGCACATCGGACACCACTACTGGATCAAGCAGTGCCTGGACCTGCTGCTCGTCACAGCTAACCGTGAGTGGCCGCTGCGGCCCGGCGCCAGCTGACGCAGGAGAAACCTCAGCTGCATTTGCCGGTCCCTAGATAAGCTGGGCTATATTGTTTATTTACGGTCGCCTGTATTAAGGACTTGCCCATTGGCGGTTGTACTGAGCGTGCTGCAAGTCCTCACTTTGCAGTGTCCTCTAGATTTATCTCGTGGCAAAAATCGACGTGTCAAATAAACGTCTCGAGCGCGATGCGAATGGGCTCATATTGTAGTCACGGTTTAGCAGTTTGTTTCTTATGTTGCATGGTGTAGTAACTGCGAGGCGTTCCAAAGAATCCGTTGAAATTGGTACTGCTCGCTCCATCAGCACATTTCTGTTGATAAAGGTGTGGCTTGCCGTTTGGCGGATAGTTCGTACCAAGCAAGCATTTGTATTTGCTATGCTCTTAGCATCGTCATGTCTCGCAAAGTGAAGGCTTGTGGGTTTGTTGTTTCAGCATTTTTTCGAGCAAATCGGGACGATTTCGAGATATTACACGTTTTCCTTTAGCGTACCTCATTAGTGATGGAATGAATCATGAGTAAAAGCCCAAGTAGGCCCGCTCCGTAAGCACCACCAGCCATAGCCACGACCACCAAATTGCCAACCGAATTATAATACACCACTTAAGGTATCAGAGATATCAATTTATTTTGGTGCACTTACTATGATTGCGGTTCTAAAAAAGATTGGGTATTTGAACAGCAAATTTGATTTTCATGTCATTCTTCTCATGTACTTCCACGGGAGTGATAGAGAATAGCTGTAAAATTGCACGGGGCTCAAGTCCCCAAAAGTGTGTAAAATTTCCCCTTTGTGCACTGTAAAATGCCCAGGCACCAACAAAACGTTGGGCTTGACAGGATTTGACGATATGTGGCAGCTGTACTTAATGAGTGCTACAAGGCTCATTAGTATTGGTGACGTCAACGTGTAGCTTCTTGACGGGCTGGGGACGTTGGGAGCGGCGAGCCGGGTCCGCGTGCCGCCACTCGGCGCGCGTGCCTGTGACGGCCGGTCCGGCCTCACCCGGCAGACTCGCCGATGCAGCTGTCCTCGGCCAGTCTGCAGCTGCCCAGTCTGTCGTCGGTGATACAGCTGGGCGACCCCGGCGAGCGGCAGGCCTTCCACCAGTACCGGGTGTCCCGCGCCGTCGAGCCGGCAGCAGACCTGGACAAACACCGACAGCAGCAACGTACGTCACGTCAGGCTGCTGGCGCCCGGTCCGGTCCGGTCGCAGGAGGAGTCATCGGGCGCGCGGGCTAGAAGTCTGGTCCGGTCCGGCCGCAGGGGAGTCGGTGGGCGCGCGGGCTCGAAGTCTGGCCCCGGTCCGCCGCAGGGGAGTCGGTGGGCGCGCGGTCCCGGGGTCTGGTCCGGTCCGGCCGCAGGGGGGTCGGTGGGCGCGCGGTCCCGGGGTCTGGTCCGGTCCGGCCGCAGGGGAGTCGGTGGGCGCGCGGTCCCGGGGTCTGGTCCGGTCCGGCCGCAGGGGGGTCGGTGGGCGCGCGGTCCCGGGGTCTGGTCCGGTCCGGCCGCAGGGGAGTCGGTGGGCGCCCAGTGGTGCGGCGGTCACCGCAGTCGATGCTATGAACAGTGGCGTTGTGCAGTGTGCGTCATCCCACTCGTCACCTCGGTGGGTAGTTGTATTTACATTTGCACTCACGGCGCCACCACACATAACACTCGGCCTTTCTTAGGTCCGCCCGACCACCCGGGTCAGGCGTTGCGTGCTTTCACCCACTCCGGTTACCTCCTAAGTATGGGGCGGCAACGAAACAAGCCTCCCAAAATAGCCAAACCAGTCAGCTGACAACACCAGTCAGCATGGCCCGCCCACCCAGTCATCCAGCCATCGGTTAACGTGACCAATAATGTATTAGATGATTGGAAATTGCTCCTGGAAATGTGTATTCCTCTGCAGCATTTGACGTAATATGATCTTGGATGACCTGATTACATGTTACTTTTAGAACCGCATGAAGCACAGTAAGATACAGCAAATCATTATGAGAACATCCTTAACATTGCGTATTCTGGGGAAAAAGTAAGGTATCGGATACCCGCCTCGTGATGTGGCCGACGTGACGCCCACAAAATGGCAGTCACTCGGCAACTATCGAGGGTGGGATCACGTGACGCCCACAAATGGCAGTCACTCGGCAACTATCGAAGGTGCGATCACGTGACGCCCACAAAATGGCAGTCACTCGGCAACTATTGAGGGTGCGATCACGTGACGCCCACAAAATGCCAGCCACTCGGCAACTATCGAGGGTGCGATCACGTGACGCCCACAAAATGCCAGTCACTCGGCAACTATCGAGGGTACGATCACGTGACACGCGCAAAATGGCCGTCACTCGGCAACTATCGAGGGTGCGACCTTTTAGTTTTCACCAATGTATAAAATGTCTAGGGTGCACGAGTACCGTAAATTCCAGCGTCGAGCGCTCATTCACTTGAGAGATGTTCCTGGAGACGTAATGGGTGTATGGCATTGGGGCCTGACGACGCGCTTGGTTGTCGAGGCTTTATTGTGGGGCTTCCTCTCACCCTGGCATGAAGAGCGGGCACCGCGGGGAATCGAACCCCGTACCTCTGGTCTCCCATACGTGCAGCTTAGCTACTGAACTATCGGCACCCAATATCCTGAGCGGCGATATTGGTCGCGAAGTTTCTCTTCGCCTGACACTTTGGGTGGGACGCTTCCAGCAGTGTTTATTTGAGGAGCAGAACGACGTAGCTGATTGTCATACTGGCCACGGGGGGCGTATGTGTCGTTTCAGGACGAGCTGGAGCTGGGCGAGCAGGGGGAGACGGCTCGGCCCAGCGCCCCGCCCGCCGTGCCGCTGCAGGTGCTCGTCGCCAGGCAGGTCAGAGCACAACTGGCGCCCGCTGACGCTGACACGTATGCTCACACGCGCGCGCAGGCATGCGCATCCATGCAAACAGACAGACGAATATGCACCAGTGAGATTACCGCTGTGCTCCCAGACACTGCATGCCTTTGTCTGCGAGGACGCGGTTGAACGCGTTTGCTAGTTCGCATACTGTAGAAACGTCATGGGGTGGTCATTTCACCATGGCCTTCAGCTCGCCTGCTTCGCTCTAGCGTCTTCGAATCTGCGGAACCCCTTGGCGTTCGCCGCCGTACGGTTGGACGTCGCGGCAGCTGGGTGCGCCAGTGCCGCAGTGCGGCGTGTTCGTCTGACATGCGTCTTTCTCGCGCTGTCACAGGCCAAGTTCCTGGAGGGCGGCAAGGAGGTGCGCACGCCCCACTTCCTGGCGGCGCTGACGCAGCTCTGCCACAGCGACCAGCCGCTGGCCGAGCGGCTCTGGCTCGACTTCTTCCCGCGCGTCTGGAAAACACTCAGCGAGCGGCAGCAGCAGGTGCGTACGGTCTCTGAGGCGCTCTGTGTATGGTAGCGGTGAAGCGTGACTGTGCTCCGTCCCCTCCCCTCTCGTCTCCCCGATCGACCTCAATAACGGGACGTGTCAGCTGGCGCTGGTACGCGCCTGTGGCAGCGGCTGTCTTTAGCAGCATCCGTGCTGTCGGCTCATCACAGCTGAGGACTGATAATGTGTGAGCTGATGGACTCGATATGGGATCGGCCGCTGGGTGGCGCCTCCATCCCTGATGATGTGTGAGCTGATGGACTCGATATGGGATCGGCCGTCGGGCGGCGCCTCCACCCCTGATGATGTGTGAGCTGATGGACTCGATATGGGATCGGCCGCCGGGCGGCGCCTCCATCCCTGATGATGTGTGAGCTGATGGACTCGATATGGGATCGGTCGCCGGGCGGCGCCTCCATCCCTGAGATTTGGACCAGACTGCTACACGGGTTGTCCTGTGCAGCGAAGTAAGTATAGCATGGAAATTCGAGGTCGATCAGAGCTTATGAGGTTACTCTCTCAGCCCAGCCTAATCACACTGTCATACCAGACCATGCTCATCACGACGTATGCGGGGAATCCCACCGGCTTCACGCCTGTGCCAGCTAACGCAGCACCATTGTCGGAATCGGCCAGTTGATGATGTATGCGTGTTTCAGTCGCTGTCGGCTGAACTGGTGCCGTTCCTGGTGTCGGGGGCGCACAACATCCAGAAGGACTGCTCGCCGTCGGCGCTCAACACGTTTGTGGAGGCGCTGGTGCACTGCCAGCCGTCGGTCACCCTGAAGCCGTGAGTGAGCTGGTGTCGGTGCGCTGCCGTGTCCGCCGTGGCCGGACGGGAAACTGCGCGTGCGCCAGACCCAGTGTACGGTCCGCTGCTGCCTGCTTGTCGGATGTTGGGGGTTGAGGTTGAGGCTTAGGTGATTGGGGTTGAGGTTGAGGTTGAGGTTGAGTTGAGGTTGAGGTTGAGGTTGGGGTCGTATTGTGGCTGTGTGACGTACTGCGTCTCTTAATGTTGCCATGGGACCAGTTTAGGCCATGTTTTTCCAGGAGCACTATTGCATACTTGGTAGCAGCGACCCAAGTGTAATGACGCACTGTGCCGGTATTGTCATCGGTCTGTTTGCCATGCGCAGTTACTTCCTCATTGGTTCGTCATTTGAAAGCCAGCTGGTGTCGCGGTTGTAGCTGGATCTTGTTTGGCTCCCGGGTAACAGCATGCTTGATGTTATGTGGCTGTAGTCTTCGCCGCTTGGACCTGAAATAGCTGACTGCCGACAGCAGGGCAGTGTGACCAGTGACGGAAGGGCGGCGTGTGTTTGCGCCGGTCCCGCCCGACTGTCCGCCACCCCAGCTGATTCCCCGCGCGCTGGCACAGCTCAGCTGATGCCCGAGCCTTGCCTCTCCGGCCGCCCGGCCGCCGGCCAGACTGCTCTGTCGCGTGGCGGCGCGCAGGAGCTGGCGCCGCACCGCCCAACCGACTCTCGCCGCGCGCTCCAGGTGCATCATGCGCTACTTGGGCAAGAGCCACAACTTGTGGTACCGGATGACGCTGTCGCTGGAGCAGATGGCGCTGGACAGCAGCTCCCTTCAGCTCATCCGGCCCAAGAAAGAGGCGGCCGACATGTACGACTTCGAGCCGGCCACCAACACCAAGGAGGTGCGCCGACCTAGGCTGCCCCAGCTCGGTGCTAATGACGCTGCTGGGTAGTGTATACTGTACACGTAGTCCTGTTTTAGTGTGTGTTGACGTGAGGTGGACAGGAAAGAACCATTGACTGAAAACATCGACCTCTGTGTCGGCAGGTGAAAGTAAGTCCTTTCTATTACAATGTGACACAGTGCATGCGTGCGATGTGCTATCTATGCTGTCGTCTATAGATAGTAACATTGCAAGAATGTCTCTCATAGGCCTGCTTGCTGGTCGGCAGAATGGTTTCGTTTCTCCGGACCCAAAGCATGCTCAGTTCAGTCATTGATGAGAGGGGAATCACGGGCTTAGGATTTTTAAACATTCCTTGCCCGTGATTCAAAACCAGGTACCACAGATGTGTTGATTGTAAGGCACAGCAATTGTGTGTATCCTCTAGGAAATACTTCATGAACCTGTAGAGGCCGTTGGACTTCCCCCTCCCCCCCCCCCCCCCCCAGGTCTCTTCCAGGATAGTGGGTCGTCGTGAAGGCGTCGCCTGGCACCCTGTCTCTCCTCCAGAAGAGTCGGGGTCCTGGAGCGGCTGTCTGGCGTCATTGTGACATTGGACATCAGTGCGCCTGCTCAGGGCTAGTCAAGGGATCGTCTGACCCTCTCGCGTCCGCTCCAGGAGAGTCTGGAGATGGGCTGACTCCCGGCGTCTGCTCCAGGAGAGTCTGGAGATCCTGGAAAGCCTCTGCGAGCTGTACAAGCTCTTGCGTGAGGAGGACCTCTGGATCGGCCTGTGGCAGAAGATTGCCAAGTACTCGCAGACCAACATCGCGCTGGCGTACGAGCAGCAGGGCTTCTTCGAGCAGGCGCAGGGCGCTTACGAGCTAACCACGAACAAGATCCGGGCCGACTACGCCACGTCCCCGGCTCCGGTCAGCCTGCAGCAGGTGAGCGGCGGGCACGGCCGGCCGCTGGTCGGCCGCTGGTGGACGTGTCGCGGTCGGGCGGCCTGGTCGGCCGCTGGTCGACGCGTCGCGGTCGGGCGGCGTGGTCGGCCGCTGGTCGACGCGTCGCGGTCGGGCGGCGCGGCCGGCCGCTGGTGGACGTGTCGCGGTCCGGCGGCGCGGCCGGCCGCTGGTCGGCTGCTGGTGGACGTGTCGCGGTCCGGCGGCGCGGCCGGCCGCTGGTCGGCTGCTGGTGGACGTGTCGCGGTCGGGCGGCGCGGTCCGGCCGCGGGTCGGCCGCTGATGCCGTGGTGTGCCGGCTGGCCTCTAGTTCGACCCACAAGTGGCACGGTTGTCTCGGCTGTCTCGTGCTCGGATGTTGGGTGGCGTCCTTCGACCGGTGGTCCTTTGACCGTCGCGTTCGGTTCCACGTTACTGGCCGTGGGCTGAGCGCCGCCAAGTCGGCTGACAGCGGGCCGGATGGGCGCACTGCCACAGGAGATGATGCTGGTGGAGCAGCAGTGGATCCGCTGCTGCAAGGAGCTGAACCAGTGGGACCTGCTGCTCGAGTACGGCCGCTCGGCAGCGGCTGCCAGTCCGGCGCTCGTGCTCGACTCGGCCTGGCGCGTGCCCAACTGGGGGGTCATGAAGGACGCCCTCCAGCAAGTGGAGGTCAACTGCCCCAAGGAGATGGGCTGGAAGGTGAGCAGGCGCGCGACCCCGACGCCGCGACGGTCGCGGCAGCAGGACGGACTCAGAGCTAGTTTGGAAGCCGGGGGAGGGGGCGAGGTCAGAGTGTCGGCGAGCCGGGGGGCGGGGAGGAGCGAGGTGAGAGTGTCGGCGAGCCGGGGGGCGGGGGAGGGGCGAGGCCAGAGTGTCGGCGAGCCGGGAGGGCGGAGATGGAAGGGGCGAGGCCAGAGTGTCGGCGAGCCGGGGGCGGGGGAGGGGCGAGGCCAGAGTGTCGGCGAGACTGGGGGCGGGGTAGGAGCGAGGTGAGAGTGTCGGCGAGCCGGGGGGCGGGGGAGGAGCGAGGTGAGAGTGTCGGCGAGCCGGGGGGCGGGGGAGGAGCGAGGTGAGAGTATCGGCGAGCCGGGAGTCCGCAGCCGCCCGGTGTACGAGCCGTTGTCAACTGGTGATGGCTGGCGTCAGCACAAGTTGATGACCAACATGACACAAGTCGCACCGATGAAAGGGTGCCAGAAGTACTGCCATGATGCCGCCATTGTTGGTGAGATTTCCCCTGACGTAACCGGGTGAGGCTCGGTTAGGGCTCCAGGTGTCTGTCGCCACGTGTCACGTGCGAGTCGGACGCCGGCGAGGACGACGCCGGCTCGGACGCGAGTCGAGTCGGACGCCGGGCCCGTGCCGGGGTAGCGCACTGACGACTGGCGGGCGCGGCGGCAGGTGAACCTGTACCGCGGCTACATCGCCATCTGCCACCCGGAGGAGACGCACCTCTCTAACGTCGAGAAGCTGGTCGACCTGGCCACAAACCAGTGCATGAAGGAGTGGCGCAAGCTGCCCTCCATCGTGTCGCACGTGCACGTGCCTTACCTGCAGGCGGCGCAGCAGGTGAGAGAGCCGCGACGGGTCGGTGGGGACGACCTGACCCGATCTGACCTGGCCCGATCCGGCCCGACCCAACACGACCCGACCCAAACTGACCCGACGCGGCCCGACCTGACCGGACCTGACCTGACGCGGCCCTACCCGACCTGACCCGGTCCGCCACATGCACGCCGCCCATCATGTGAGGGCGAGTGTGGGGCTTAGTGTGTCTGTAAGAGTGTTATATGCGCTGGCTGTCGTGCTGGCTGTTGCGGAGGCAGCTGCGGCATAGAACAGCAAGGGGTTGTGCCGGGATGGATGGTGCGTGTCTTGGAGAGCTGCGTGGCCCCGGCTGACGCCGACCCCGACCCGGCAGATCATGGAGCTGCAGGAGGCGGCGCAGATCCACCAGAACCTGCTGCACAGCCGGCAAAACGCCGTGCACGACATGAAGGCTATCGTGAAAACGTGGCGCAATCGCCTGCCGGTCATCAGCGACGACCTGAGCCACTGGAGCGATGTGTTCACCTGGCGCCAGCACCACTACCAGTTCATCGTCAAACACTACAGCGAGCAGGACCAGGGCGCCAACAACCAGAGCATGCTGGGCGTGCACGCCTCGGCCCAGGTGGGCGCGCAGCGTGGCGCGGCGCCGCCGGCGCGGACCGGCCGGGCGCCGGCAGCTGGGCGAGGCGTCAGGTGGCCGTCCGGCCGGGCTCGGCTGGGGGAACTGCTGTGCTGGCGCCCGTATGGTTGTGTGGTGATGACTGGTCAGCCAGCTGGCCAGCCGCCTGTGGGTTGCGGTTATTGGCGAGCTGCTGCCTTACCGGTCTGCGTGTGCTGCTCTGCTGTTCCGACTTTGGTTAGCCGCCGTGCTGTCTGTGTGGGTGTGCTGGTCCAGAGGCGGTCTCCCGCGGTCGGTCGGCCCTGCTCCTGCCAGCTGTGTCTGTGTGGGTTGGCTGGTCCGGAGGCGTCTCCCGCGTTCGGGTCGATCCCGCTCCAGCCAGCTGTGCCTGTATGAGTGTGCTGGTCCAGAGGCGGCTCCCGCGGTCGGTCGCCCCCCCCCCCCCCCCAGCCAGCTGACCTGCCACCCTCTGTACCAGGCCATCATCCACTACGGCAAGATGGGCAGAAAGCACGGCCTGATGGGCGTGTGCCTGGAGAACCTGAACCGGCTGCACACGATCCCGTCGGTGCCGATCGTCGACTGCTTCCAGAAGATCCGCCAGCAGGTCAAGTGCTACCACCAGAGCGCCGCCGGACAGGGCATGAGCAAGACCGAGCTACAGGAGGTGAGGGATGCCCCCCCCCCCCCCCCCCGCCGCCGGACAGGGCATGAGCAAGACCGAGCTACAGGAGGTGAGGGACGCCCCCCTCCCCCGCCGCCGGACAGGGCATGAGCAAGACCGAGCTGCAGGATGTGAAGGACGCCCCCCCCCCCCCCCCCCCCGCCACCACCGGCTGCGCTGCTTTAGCGTTTTTCCGCCCGTCTATTGTTTTGCAGATGTAGTGGTGACCTCAGCGATTGGAATGCAGATGTGTACGTTGTCTGCCTGTGAGTGAGCAGTGTGCTGGTTGCTGTACGCGAGGCCCGGGAGGATAAGGGGCTCGCTGACCTAGTGGTCAGGAACTTGTGCTCCCGGACAGAGCGCCGTGGCCCGCTGCTTGTGTCCTGGTCCCTGGGCGCTGACACCACCAGCGAAATAACCGAGAGAGGGCTTCCGACGCGCGCCCATACCAAAGCCGGCATCATTGGTGTGTGCCCCCCTCAGGGCCTGGAGGTGATCGAACACACCAACATGAAGTACTTCACCAAGGAGATGGTCTCCGAGTTCTACGCTCTGAAGGGCATGTTCCTGTCACTCGTTGGTAAGCCCGTCGAATCCTAGGTCAACAGTTAAGCCGATATCCATTTGTCTCCTACGCACGTGTTTTGGCAACAGTGATATCGCTGCCGTCCGCTCCAATGTGTGACGGCTGGGACTGCTGCCGGTCACTGCGAGATGCAAACCCTCTGTGAAATGCGGGCGTTCTGCGCGATCCATGCCGACCCACTGTTTCGTCATTCAGTCATTACTAGCTCACAGCTCCACTGTTCCGTCATTCAGTCATTACTAGCTCACAGCTCCACTGCTTCGTCATTCAGTCATTACTAGCGCACAGCTCCACTGTTCCGTCATTCAGTCATTACTAGCTCACAGCTCCACTGCTTCGTCATTCAGTCATTACTAGCGCACAGCTCCACTGTTCCGTCATTCAGTCATTACTAGCTCACAGCTCCACTGTTCCGTCATTCAGTCATTACTAGCTTACAGCTCCACTGCTTCGTCATTCAGTCATTACTAGCTCACAGCTCCACTGTTCCGTCATTCAGTCATTACTAGCTCACAGCTCCACGGTTCCGTCATTCAGACGTTACTAGCTCACAGCTCTACTTTTCTGTCACGACTGAATTTCGACGCTCTGATCCACGGACCCGCCGACCCGTATCTGTCCGTCTGCCTGTGTGTCTGTGTGTAGCGGCTACCGCTGACCTCCTCGCGGCCCGCTGACCTCCGCGCGGCCCCGCTGACCTCCGCGCGGCCCCGCTGACCTCCGCGCGTTCCCGCTGTCCGCCGCGCGGCCCGCTGACCTCCGCGCGCGCGTCCGGTCGGCAGGTCGCTCGGACGACGCCAACAAGGCGTTCTCGGCGGCCGTCCAGATGGACGACACGCTTTTCAAGGCCTGGGCGCTGTGGGGCGAGTTCATGGAGTCGTCGTTCTTCCGGGACCCGAGCAACCTGCAGACAGGTGTATCGGCCATCACCTGCTTCCTGCACGCCTGTCGACACCAGAAGGAGAACAAAAGCCGCAAGTACCTATCCAAGGTCGGTACCCAGTCGCTCTCCGGAGGACCTCCTCTGCCCGGTACGGGCGGTGCCTGGTGCTCTGGAGGACCTCCTCTGCCCCGGTACGGGCTGGGCTTGGCGCTTTGGAGGACCTCCTCTGCCCGGTACGGGCGGGGCCTGGCGCTTTGGAGGACCTCCTCTGCCCCGATACGGGCGGGGCTTGGCGCTCTGGAGGACCTCCTCTGCCCCGGTACGGGCTGGGCTTGGCGCTTTGGAGGACCTCCTCTGCCCGGTACGGGCGGTGCCTGGTGCTCTGGAGGACCTCCTCTGCCCGGTACGGGCGGTGCCTGGCGCTCTGGAGGACCTCCTCTGCCCGGTACGGGCGGTGCCTGGTGCTCTGGAGGACCTCCTCTGCCCCGGTACGGGCGGGGCCTGGTGCTCTGGAGGACCTCCTCTGCCCGGTACGGGCGGTGCCTGGTGCCCTGGAGGACCTCCTCTGCCCCGGTACGGGCGGTGCCTGGTGCTCTGGAGGACCTCCTCTGCCCCGGTACGGGCGGTGCCTGGTGCTCTGGAGGACCTCCTCTGCCCCGGTACGGGCGGGGCCTGGTGCTCTGGAGGACCTCCTCTGCCCCGGTACGGGCGGTGCCTGGTGCTCTGGAGGACCTCCTCTGCCCCGGTACGGGCGGTGCCTGGTGCTCTGGAGGACCTCCTCTGCCCCGGTACGGGCGGTGCCTGGTGCTCTGGAGGACCTCCTCTGCCCGGTACGGGCGGTGCCTGGTGCCCTGGAGGACCTCCTCTGCCCCGGTACGGGCGGTGCCTGGTGCTCTGGAGGACCTCCTCTGCCCGGTACGGGCGGTGCCTGGTGCTCTGGAGGACCTCCTCTGCCCCGGTACAGGCGGGGCCTGGTGCTCTGGAGGACCTCCTCTGCCCCGGTACAGGCGGTGCCTGGTGCTCTGGAGGACCTCCTCTGCCCCGGTACGGGCGGTGCCTGGTGCTCTGGAGGACCTCCTCTGCCCGGTACGGGCGGTGCCTGGTGCTCTGGAGGACCTCCTCTGCCCCGGTACGGGCGGTGCCTGGTGCTCTGGAGGACCTCCTCTGCCCCGGTACGGGCGGTGCCTGGTGCTCTGGAGGACCTCCTCTGCCCGGTACAGGCGGGACCCGGTGCTCTGGAGGACCTCCTCTGCCCGGTACGGGCGGTGCCTGGTGCTCTGGAGGACCTCCTCTGCCCCGGTACGGGCGGTGCCTGGTGCTCTGGAGGACCTCCTCTGCCCTGGTACGGGCGGTGCCTGGTGCTCTGGAGGACCTCCTCTGCCCCGGTACGGGCGGTGCCTGGTGCTCTGGAGGACCTCCTCTGCCCGGTACGGGCGGTGCCTGGTGCTCTGGAGGACCTCCTCTGCCCGGTACGGGCGGGACCCGGTGCTCTGGAGGACCTCCTCTGCCCGGTACAGACGGGACCCGGTGCTCTGGAGGACCTCCTCTGCCCCGGTACAGGCGGGACCCGGTGCTCTGGAGGACCTCCTCTGCCCGGTACAGGCGGGACCCGGTGCTCTGGAGGACCTCCTCTGCCCGGTACGGGCGGGGCCCGGTGCTCTGGAGGACCTCCTCTGCCCGGTACGGGCGGTGCCTGGTGCTCTGGAGGACCTCCTCTGCCCGGTACGGGCGGGACCCGGTGCTCTGGAGGACCTCCTCTGCCCGGTACGGGCGAGACCCGGTGCTCTGGAGGACCTCCTCTGCCCGGTACAGGCGGGACCCGGTGCTCTGGAGGACCTCCTCTGCCCGGTACGGGCGGGGCCCGGTGCTCTGGAGGACCTCCTCTGCCCCGGTACGGGCGGTGCCTGGTGCTCTGGAGGACCTCCTCTGCCCGGTACGGGCGGTGCCTGGTGCTCTGGAGGACCTCCTCTGCCCCGGTACGGGCGGTGCCTGGTGCTCTGGAGGACCTCCTCTGCCCGGTACGGGCGGGACCTGGTGCTCTGGAGGACCTCCTCTGCCCGGTACGGGCGGTGCCTGGTGCTCTGGAGGACCTCCTCTGCCCGGTACGGGCGGGACCTGGTGCTCTGGAGGACCTCCTCTGCCCGGTACGGGCGGTGCCTGGTGCTCTGGAGGACCTCCTCTGCCCGGTACGGGCGGGGCCTGGTGCTCTGGAGGACCTCCTCTGCCCCGGTACAGGCGGGACCCGGTGCTCTGGAGGACCTCCTCTGCCCCGGTACAGGCGGTGCCTGGTGCTCTGGAGGACCTCCTCTGCCCGGTACGGGCGGTGCCTGGTGCTCTGGAGGACCTCCTCTGCCCCGGTACGGGCGGGGCCTGGTGCTCTGGAGGACCTCCTCTGCCCCGTACAGGGGGCGGGACCCTGCTCTGGAGGACCTCCTCTGCCCCTGGGTACAGGCGGTGACCCTGCTCTGGACCTCCTCTGCCCGGTACGGGCGGGACCCTTGCTCTGGAGACCTCCTCTGCCCCGGTACGGGCGGGGCCTGCTCTGGAGGACCTCCTCTGCCCCGGTACAGGCGGGACCCGGTGCTCTGGAGGACCTCCTCTGCCCCGGTACGGGCGGGGCCTGGTGCTCTGGAGGACCTCCTCTGCCCCGGTACGGGCGGGGCCTGGTGCTCTGGAGGACCTCCTCTGCCCCCGGTACGGGCGGGACCCGGTGCTCTGGAGGACCTCCTCTGCCCCGGTACGGGCGGGGCCTGGTGCTCTGGAGGACCTCCTCTGCCCCGGTACGGGCGGGGCCTGGTGCTCTGGAGGACCTCCTCTGCCCCGGTACAGGCGGGGCCTGGTGCTCTGGAGGACCTCCTCTGCCCCGGTACAGGCGGGACCCGGTGCTCTGGAGGACCTCCTCTGCCCCGGTACAGGCGGGACCCGGTGCTCTGGAGGACCTCCTCTGCCCCGGTACAGGCGGGACCCGGTGCTCTGGAGGACCTCCTCTGCCCCGGTACAGGCGGGACCCGGTGCTCTGGAGGACCTCCTCTGCCCCGGTACAGGCGGGACCCGGTGCTCTGCTCTGCCGTGATACCGCTCAGAGCACTGCTTCCCACCGCGGCGGCGAGACATCTGACGCGCCGGCCTAGTCACCATACCTGTCTGATGCCGCCACCGGCACACCGCTTCAGGTGCTGTGGCTGCTGACGTACAACGACGAGGCCAACACGCTGGCGGAGGCGGTGGAGCACTATTGTGCCAGCGTGCCGCCCATCCATTGGCTGCCGTGGATCCCCCAGCTGCTCACCTGTCTGGTGCGCAACGAGGGCAAGCCCATCATGAACCTGCTCACCCAGGTGAGCACACGGACCGGGTCTCACCCCAGTGAGCATGCAGGCCGAACACAGGGGTGCCGCGTGATGCTAACCAGTGCATGCGGACGCGCCCACAGGAAGCTCACGGTGTATGTATGGCTTGTTCGGTGGGCAGCGGGGCAGCGACTACTGGGAGCGGCCTCGCAAGCCGCTCTGTACCTCTGTGTGTGCCCGTTGGCGCTGCAGGGTCGTCCGGCGCCGGCCGTTCGTGCGGTGCTCTGCGGGCCGGAGACCGCTCAGCTGTCCGCCCGGCCCACTCTGACTCTGACTGTGACTCCGTCGACCGGCTCTGACTGACTGGACCCTGTTGGACTCTGACTGACCGGCTGACTGTCGGCCGCCTGTGACGCGGCCTCTGCTCTGGGCAGGTGGGCCGCACGTTCCCGCAGGCGGTGTACTTCCCGATCCGCACGCTTTACCTCACGCTCAAGATAGAGCAGCGGGAGCGGCACAAGACGAGCGGGCAGAGCGGCGGCGCGGCGGCGGCGCGTGACAGCTCCGACCCGGCCGGCTCCTCAGGTGCGTCCGGCCACGCGGCGCCGATCCGGTAGACCAGGGCTGCAGCGAGATTCCCGGTTGACCACGCCGACTCACCCGTTTCTCAGACGCGCTGCGCAACATGCGCTCGGATGGCCGGTTGGAAATGTGATTCGCTCGACGGCTCAATTTGACCCCCCCCCCCCCCCCGCTCCTCTCCTGAAGATCGAAAATTAAGACCTAGGAACACCCAATTCACTAAGTGGAAAAGGATCTGTGGGAACTTAATGGTATCAAATTTGTAGACTCTACCTTTACCTTTTTTGCCTTTAGCATGTACTTTTTATCATTACCATTGGGTCAAATGAGATGAAAGTCGAGTTCGGTGCGCGAAGTGCCCTGAGAACTCCTCGAAGTGCCCTAAGACCTCCTCGTGCAGCCAGCCTTTACCTGAATACATTTTGTAAGCAAGAGGTCACTTGGGTATGACATCAGATCAGGGATTTTATTGTGCCCCTAAAAGTTCAAGATGAACAAAAAACTTTGCGGTTATCTTTATATTTGAGTTCAAGATGAACGTCGCGAACTACTCTATGCAGCATGTTGCGCAAGACAAAAGGTGGATCACGGCTGTTTTTGATCAGTGACCTGACCTGAACATTAAGTTAAGATAAGACTACTGGTGACGTCCTTTAAGTCAAGAAATTCGAAGTGAGCGTCAAAACTACCTCAGCAAACAAGTATTCTGGGAAGAAGGCTGTTTGGTTTTGATACCTTCATACCTGACCCACCTTTAAAATATTAAGTTGTTATCCTAATTTCAATTGTCTTATTGTCTAGCAAATGATGTGTAAGCTGCATGACTTCGTCTAACACTCCGTTGTCGCGTCATAGAATGCATTGCCATAAAAGAACATCGGCAAGCGGTTCAGCCCTCATTCTGTACCAGCCAAAGGAGCGCGTATGCGTCGGAGCGCCGTGCGTCAGTGTACCAGCGGCTGGGGCGGGCTCGGCGTGTGTGGCGCGCGCGGCTGACATGGCGCGCGGCCGCCAGGTGACGCCAGCGGCGGCGGCGGCGGCGGCGGCGGGCCGACACCGACGGCCGCTGACGCCGGCTCCATCCGCGCCACGGCCCCCATGTGGCGCTGCAGCCGCATCATGCACAACCAGCGCGACGTGCACCCGACCATCCTGTCCAGCCTGGAGGGCATCGTCGATCAGGTGGGCGCGAGCGGCTGCCGGCCGGCCGCGTGGCCGCCCCTGGCGCCCCCCACCGGCGCGTAGACTTGGCAGAGAGCGCCGCAGCCGGTCGCCAGGCCGGCGCGTATTGCCAGTGTATGTGTGTTTGCGTACGTACAAAATGTGCGCCGAAGAGCGTAACACGCACACGGGTGTGACGAAGTAATATGTGCTGCGTCTACGTAGACAATCGTTGATGTGACATGCTCATGTTGTTGAATTCGCTTAACGTGCTATGCATTCGATGCCCGTATAGTTATTTACAAAAACGTACCCAACATGCATATGCATTTGCGTACAAGCAGATGCATATGCTTTCAAGGGTTATATTAGTTTTTGATAGTGGCGCAATGTGTGCTTGGCAAAATTTGTAATCATGTGATGATTGAACTACGATGCGCCTAGTATATACAGTATGCAGTGCTTCCGAGGTGGGACGGCTGTCTCCATTGCTCCGATTCTGTATGAGCATGTGCGTTCCGTCACTGGAGGTGATCTGATTCGGGGAACAGCTCCGGGCGGCGGGTGTTCGCTGTGCGGCTGGGCTGTTGCCGTGCCCGAAAGCCCAAACAACAGACAATTGATAGGAGCGAGTCTGTCTTGTCGTAATGACACGTCGGCCTCCCTCTCGCGACCGCCTTTGCCTGACGGAGTGGGCGGGGAGTGTCGGCCTGCGGCGTCTGACCGCGCCGTTCGGCTGCAGATGGTGTGGTTCCGAGAGAACTGGTACGAGGAGGTGCTGCGCCAGCTGCGCCAGGCCCTCACCAAGTGCCTGGCGCTGGCGTTCGACAGCCGGGGGGCCGTCACCGAGGCCACCATCACGCCGCACACGCTCAACTTCGTCAAGAAGCTGGTGGCCACCTTCGGCATCGGCGTCGGTGAGGACCCTCCCGCTCCCCGGCCGGTGCCCCTCTCCCCGCCCCCCACTCCCCGGCCGGTACCCCTCCGCCCCCTCCACCCCTTCCCCGGCCGGTACACCTGCACCCCTCCCCGGCCGGTACCCCTCCACCCTGCTCTCCGGCCGGTACCCCTCCACCCTGCTCTCCGGCCGGTACCCTTCCACCCCGCTCCCCGGCCTGTACCCCTCCACAAGGCGTCGGACAAGGGTCAACTTCGCAGTCTGCGGCTCGTCTTAAGCCTTGACCGCTGGCCGGTGGCCATGATGGTCGGGATTCACCGACGGAGCTGTACCAATTGGGTTTTTCTCTGTTATCTCGACCTCGTAAACAGCACACACTGGATAGGATTGTGTTCGTAAGATGAGGTTATATCATGAAGTTCGATAAATGGAAGATAAGTTGTGATGAATTGGTGGAGCATTCGTCTTCATCCTGTGGCCCTGGGCTCGATTCTGTCACCAGCGTCTGAGTTGTTCATGCTGTCGTCGGTTGGCGAAAGTCGTCTTGCTCTCCGGGTCCCAGGTGGGAAAGGCCGTGCCTTTGCTGATGGCGGGAGCGTGTCTGCCGCGATTCGGTTTCGTCCGGACGCTGCGGGTGGCATGGCTGGGCCTCCTCTGACGTGCCTTTGCTGATGGCGGGAGCGTGTCTGCCGTGATTCGGTCTCGTCCGGACGCTGCGGGTGGCATGGCTGGGCCTCCTCTGACGCTGTGGCGTGCGTGCCGCCGGCAGAGAACGTGAGCAGCTCGGTGTCGGCGTCGCGGGACGCCTCTGCGTCCGAGTTCGCGCGGCGCGTGCAGGCCACCGTGCAGGACCCCGTGTTCCAGCGCATGAAGGGACAGTTCACGTCCGACTTTGACTTCAGTCCGCCGGGCGCCATGCGGCTACACAACCTGATCCAGAAGCTGAAGAAGTGGATCAAGATCCTCGAAGTCAAGATCCGACACCTGCCCAAGTACGTCGTGTGGTCGAGAAAGCGGAGATGCCCTTAAGATTGTTTCTTGTCGGTCTCTTGCTCACGTTGCTGCATATTTGAAGCTACGAAGGTGGGGCTTGCTCGCCGGTGCGAGATTGTATCATTAAACAGGCAGGAACAGCGAAACCTCACTCCCGTAGTAATACCAGTGCGAGTGATGTGTGCAGGTCGCTGGCGTCAGTAAGCAGCCCGGTAGGTGATGGGCCAGCACCCGTGTGCTGCCGACCAAATCGCCCTGCGTATGTCGCTGGCGCCGGCGAGGCCGGTCCTGCGCTGAAATGAGTTCAGTTGAGCAGAGCCGATCTCAAGTTGTGCGATATTTCTGATAATGCGTGTGTACGTGTGCGTTTGACAGGCAGTTCCTGATCGAGGAGAAGTGCCGCTGGCTGAGCAACTTCAGCTCCCAGACGGCCGAGATCGAGATCCCCGGCGAGTTTTTGCAGCTGAAGCACTCGCACTACTACGTGCGCATCGCCCGCTTCATGCCGCGCGTCGAGATCGTGCAGAAGCACGGCACGGCCGCGCGCCGCCTGTTCATCCGCGGCAACAACGGTACGGACACCGCGCTGGGGCCCCTGCATTGGTCATCCCCCGTCCCATACACGGCTCTTCTACACTGGCCATCTCCCGTCCCACACACGGCTCTTCTACAATGGTCATCTCCCGTCCCACACACGGCTCTTCTACATTGGTCATCTCCCGTCCCACACACGGCTCCCCCGCACTGGTCATCTCCCGTCCCATACACGGCTCTTCTACACTGGTCATCTCCCGTCCCACACACGGCTCTTCTACATTGGTCATCTCCCGTCCCACACACGGCTCCCCCGCACTGGTCATCTCCCGTCCCATACACGGCTCTTCTACATTGGTCATCTCCCGTCCCATACATGGCTCTTCTACACTGGCCATCTCCCGTCCCACACACGGCTCTTCTACACTGGTCATCCCCCGTCCCACACACGGCTCTTCTACACTGGTCATCTCCCGTCCCACACACGGCTCCCCAGCGCTGGCCATCTCCCGTCCGATACACGGCTCTTCTACACTGGTCATCTCCCGTCCCACACACGGCTCTTCTACATTGGTCATCTCCCGTCCCACACACGGCTCCCCCGCACTGGTCATCTCCCGTCCCATACACGGCTCTTCTACACTGGTCATCTTCCGTCCCACACACGGCTCTTCTACACTGGTTATCTTCCGTCCCACACACGGCTCTTCTACATTGGTCATCTCCCGTCCCACACACGGCTCCCCCGCACTGGTCATCTCCCGTCCCATACACGGCTCTTCTACACTGGTCATCTCCCGCCCCACACACGGCTCCCCTGCACTGGTCATCTTCCCTCCCACACACGGCTCTTCTACATTGGTCATCTCCCGTCCCATACACGGATCTTCTACACTGGTCGTCTTCCGTCCCATACACGGCTCTTGTACACTGGTCATCTTCCGTCCCACACACGGCTCTTCTACATTGGTCATCTCCCGTCCCACACACGGCTCCCCTGCACTGGTCATCTCCCGTCCCACACACGGCTCCCCCGCACTGGTCATCCCCGTCCCACACACGGCTCCCCCGCACTGTTCATCTCCCGTCCCACACACGGCTCCCCTGCACTGGTCATCTCTCGTGCCACACACGGCTCCCCTGCACCGGTCATCGCCCGTCCCATCACGACTTCTCTGCGCTTGTCCCCGGTCAGGTGGGGAGTAACATTAAGAGACCGCCCTCATTGCAGAGCGGATTCATCTGATAGTGACGCTTCCCCTAGGCACGGTCTCCCAGCGCCTGGTTATGAACGATTTAAGAGACCGGCGTCCCCGAAAGTGCGCCTGACAACCATGCTCTCGGCAGGCAAACTGTACCCGTACCTGGTGGTGAATGACACCGGTCTGAGTGACGCGCGCCGCGAGGAGCGCGTGCTGCAGCTGCAGCGCATCATCAACCACTACCTGGCCAAGATGAAGGTCAGCCGTTGCCTCCCCGAGCCGCCGCCCGCCACCGACAGCGCCGGCCGGCCGGTGTTGTGCTGTCTATGATGGACGCGATGTTTTCAGATCTTTTCATATTTCGTTATTGAGTTATGTGGTATGGTTTCCGGGGCGGGTGTGCCCTGAGCGTGTTGTTGGTTTTTTTGCAACACAAGGTCAAAACGAGCCGGCACCGCCACCTGTCAGTCTCTGTAAGTGCGTCATCGGGCCCGAGCGTGGCTCATCGCTCGGACGGGTCACTGTCAGCGGTGGGGTTGGCTTTGGAGGGTCGCGCCGACCATCCACCGGCCATGGCGTTAGCCGTGCCGTGCAGGCGGTGCCGGGTTAGGTGCTGACCGGCTCGTGGGCGGCGGCTGGGTGCCGACGCCGGCGCTGACCCGCCACCCGCCGGCAGGAGACGTCGCGTCGCTTCCTGAGCTACACAGTACCGCGCGTGGTGGCCGTCTCGCCGCACATGCGCCTCATCGAGGACAATCTCTCATCGATGGCGCTGCTCGACATCTACAAGCAGCGCTGCGTTCACAAGGGCATCGAGCACGACGCACCCATCTCCCGCTACTACGACCGCCTGGCCTCCATCCAGGTGGGCGGAGCTGAACTGTGGACCGGTGCCGGCTGCTGGACTGTGGTCTGGTGCCGGCTGCTGGACTGTGGTCCAGTGCCGGCTGCTGGACTGTGGTCCAGTGCCGGCTGCTGGACTGTGGTCCGGTGCCGGCTGCGGGACTGTGGTCCGGTGCCGGCTGCTGGACTGTGACTCGGTGCCGGCTACTGAACTGTGGTCTGGTGCCAGCTGCCAGAACTGTGTACTGACCTGACCTCTTTGCTCGTGTTTGCCGCTGCACACCGGCTCAGTGTGGCCAGCTCCCCTGGCCAGCTATCCTGACGCTGTGTGTGTTTGCAGTCGCAGGGGGGCAGCACCTCACACCGCGTGCTGCGCGAGAGTCTGCGGGAAGTGCAGAACACCATGGTGCCGCGCACACTGCTCCGCGACTGGGCCTTTTTCACCTATCCCAGCGCTACCGCCTACTGGATGTTCCGCAAAACGGTATTGGTTGGCATTGGCCACACGCAGTCGAGCCCGGCCGGACCCTGGTCCATGGCGGGTCCGGCCGGACCCTGGTCCATGGCGAGTCCGGCCGGACCCTGGTCCATGGCGAGTCCGGCCGGACCCTGGTCCATGGCGAGTCCTACCGGACCCTTGTCCATGGCGCGCTCAAATATCTGATGGGATTCGCTCACCTTCCGTGCTGATAACCGCGAGCCTGGCTCACCTTCCCTGCTGATAACAGCGAGGCTGGGATGGAATAACAATTGTACGTCGACTGAGCGTCGGGTGAAGTTCCCCGCGCATCTCGTGTGGGGCGCGAGGCAGGACTGGGGTCCACTTCAGTCGGGTCTTATTGTCGGCCCAAGCAGCGGCTCCCCTCGGTCGCTGTTGACGTGTGGATGGTGTGGCGCAGCTGCAGGTGTGGAGACAGCGCTCCACCTTGTCATGCCTCTCCTCTGTATGCCAGCTGACCATCCGCGGCTGGACCCGCGCCGACCTGCTCGCTGTGGCAGCTGCGGCTGGGCCCTTCTTCACTGTGTGTGGGGTGTCAGCCGCGGGAATCATCGCGTTAAAGTCTGCATCAGCTGTGGCTAGTCTCCTGCCAGCTGTGCTCCGGCGCTCCGGCCGTGGCCGTCGTGACCGCGCGCGTGCGGTGTGTACCGGCCGCGCTGACCGCGCTCCCCTGCGTCGATCAGCTGACGCTGCAGATGTCGCTGCTGGGCGTGGCCGAGTACGTGCTGCACCTGACGCGGCTCTCGCCCGACATGATGTACATCCACCAGGACTCCGGCCTGGTCGCCGTCTCCTACTTCAAGTTCGAACTGGGCGATGCAGCAGGTAGTTGCACTGGGCGACGCGGCGGGTAGAAGGAAGATCAGTTAGGGGCCTCTGAATTCGGCTGCCTGTTCCTCGCTGCAGGCGTCAAAGCTTCGGTCGGCCAGCCGCCGCACCCGTTATGACCTGCGGCCCGGTGTGTGTCTGTGTGCGGGAGAGCTGGTGGCCAGCTGGCCAGTCCCGTTATGACCTGCGGCCCGGTGTGTGTCTGTGTGCGGGAGAGCTGGTGGCCAGCTGGCCAGTCCCGTTATCGCCTGCGGCCCGGTGTGTGTCTGTGTGCGGGAGAGCTGGTGGCCAGCTGGCCAGTCCCGTTATCGCCTGCGGCCCGGTGTGTGTCTGTGTACAGGAGAGCTGGTGGCCAGCCGGCCAGTCCCGTTATCACCTGCGGCTCGGTTTGTGTCTGTGTGCAGGAGAGCTGGTGGCCAGCCGGCCAGTCCCGTTCCGCCTGACGCCGAATCTGGCCGAGCTGATGACCCAGATCGGCGTGATGGGCCCATTCACGGCAGCCATGATCTCCACCGCTCGCTGCCTCTCGCAGCCAAACTACAAGCTGTCCTCCATCCTGCGTGCCGTGCTCAGGTGAGACGCCCGACAGAATACCCGGGTCAAAACAGACGCACCGCCCCGCAGGGCGCTCAGGTCAAGCACGCCGCCCCGCAGGACGCTCAGGTCAGGCACGCCACGCCACAGGACGCTCAGGTTAGGCACACTATCCCATAGGACGCTCAGGTCAGGCACACTACCTCACAGGAAGCTCAGGTGAGGCACGCCAACCCACAGAACGCTCAGGTCATGCACCGCCGCGAAAGTACGCTCAGATCATTTCAGGGAAAGGTCGCTGCGGACCATGCTTAAATAAATCGCTTAGATAAATCTCACCATCTGCATCAGTTTGTAACGCGCGTCGTGCCTCTGTCAGCCCGGGTTGGACTGCTGAAGGGGGTACCGTTGAGCTGGACTGGGCATCGGCAGCTTCTCCGTCCATGCACGCAGCCTTGCCCCAGCTATGCCGTCCGGGCCATTGACGGGGGTTTGCGGCCGGCGACAGGGATGAGATGATCGCGTGGCACCGCAAGAAGCAGGAGGCGTCAGAGCCGGACATCAGCGGCGAACAGCTCATCTCTCTCGTCACCAAGGCGGTCAGCGTCATCAGCGGCCGGCTCAGCAGTCTCTCCACCTTCGAGGGCGCCGAGAGCAAGGTCAGGGCGGGCTGCCGCTGGCCCAGGCCGGCCGGGTGGACGCGGCCGAGGCGGCCGATGGCCTGCGCATGACGGCGGTGGCTCACGTAAGGCTGGGATTATGTTTGGCACATTGGTTATGCACACGACAGAGCCGCAGCTGCATAGGCCATGGCGTGAGAATGGTGGGTAGGCAAGGCGCTTTGGAGCGTGAGGAAAGGAGCATGATTGTCTTGCCATGTTTCGTGGGGAATATGCTCGTGGGGAATACGTCCGTCGTACTCCTGTGCATGCGGACACGGGAGTGGCAGGTGTTGTCTGCGCGTCGTCGGCGAAGTTTTCGACTGATCTGTGGTGAGCTCTGGTGGTTTTGCCTCGTCGCGGAGGATGGCATACTTGATTTAATATGGCCAGAGTGATACCGTTTGGCCGGACAAGATACCGTCCCATGCCGCCTTCGCGATAGGATTGGTGAGAATTTCGCCCTGAAGGCGGGACTGGCGGCCGGCTGATGAGTGGCTTCGTCAGCGCGCGCTGTGTCGTGCTTCGGACGGCGCCCTGCCGCAGGGCGTGTCACGTCGGCCGGTGCAGAGAGCTGCGGCTGGGAGCTGCGTCTGCCACGCGACGGCAGGCGCCCCCCTGACGCCCTGGCTGCACGTGTTTCAGGCCAGCACGCTGGTGGCGGCAGCGGCCTGCAACGACAACCTGTGCCGCATGAACCCCGTCTGGCACCCGTGGCTGTAGCGTCTGCCTGCGCGCGCTGCCGGCCCGGTGTGTGGCGGCCCGAGCAGTGTGGCGCTGGCAGAGCGCCGCACTGGACGGGCCCAGCGGGGCTCAGCGCCGGCTGCTCAGGCGCCCTCAGCGGCCGAAATCCACGGAGCCGGCCGACCGCGCCACTGCCTCCCACCCGCGTCGGAAGATCAGGCCGCAGTTATCTGTCGGCGTGGGTCCCAGCTGTTGTGTCTCTTAGGTGGGCGAACAGCGCAGCACCTTCTGGCTTCGGTCGAGTTCGTTTCACCCTGTCTACTTTGCCATTTGTTTTCAAAGGGCGCGCCAGTAGCCGGTGGCCGCGGAGTGCTGGCGCAGCTGGAGGCTGCTGGGCCCTGGAGCCATGCTTCCTGGGCCCTGGAGCCCTGCTTCCCGAGCCCACGAGCCTTGCTTCCTGAGCTCTGGGGCCCTGGAACCCCTGAATGGTGTGTGCTGCCGTCATGGTGTCACGCTGTATGGTGTATGTATGTAAGGGGGTGTCATGCTGCCGCCGCTGGTGCGGTATTGTGCTATAACGCTGCCGACATGTTCACGGTCTGGTGTACATGCAGTGTCGTATATCTCGTGGCTCGGAAATTGGCGTCACTGGGCGTGTGCCACGTGCATTTTCATTGTGATGGATATTGTGTATAGCCTTTTCACGAAACCCCGCGCGCAGTGTGGACAATCATGCCACATGGGTCAGAACCATCTTCAGGCGCCACTTCCATGTAAATCCGGGCTGCAGCTTTTGCGAGTCGTCTCCAACTTCCTAGCAAATGTGTATAGGATGGCATGCGCACCACTCGATCGTATGATCTCTCGCCTTTTCTAATAATGGCAGCATTGTTCTTTACGCATGTCCATGGCAGGTCCATATGGAATAAATGCGTTTTGACATCATATGAGCCTGTGACCAAATGGGAGCGGTGGCCGGTGGGTTATAAATATATGACCTCAGAACGTCAGACGGCGCGATTTTTGGCCATGCTGGAGAAAGCCCCCGCACTGGAACGGCGTAACTGGTAGGTCAGCACCTAGGGCCCTATGAGAAGGGATGTCTGGCTTTTATGTGCCTTTAGCAGCAGAAACCGCCTGTTGCCTGTTACCCTGTTCATGCATTCAAACAAGCTATAATCATAATATAAATAACTCCCCGGAAAGTGCGCACCAGCGGTGTCGACATCAGAATGCGGGGATCCTGACTGGCTCAGCGCTACCCATTTATCAGCACGCTGTTGCATCCGGTTACTTTGCGTCAAACTACCACTTTGGACGCAATCTTACTGGTTGATGCACAAGTTGTCAGACGTACAGCACCCCATGAGAGATGTTTCATGCTAACCATGAGCGCACTGCTCGTCTTTCCATTCCCGCTGACACATTTCTTTGTTCGACGACCTTGTGTTGGTGATTCCCCGCTGCTGTAGGCGCCGGAACTGGGCAGAGTCCGGCTAAGGTCAGCCAAAACGATTTAGCCCTGGCATGTCATTGCTTTTAGACAATGAGCCTTCGAGGTCACCTGGTCGGGTTTTCGTCCCACCCCAGCAGCCTCCATTCCGCGCTCGCTGCTGCCACCGCTCCTCGCGACCGCCTCCCAGTGACGTCACCGTGGTCGTTGCCAGCAAAGCGAGCTTCCCATGAGCATGTCAATGGTGTTTGGCGGGAATGGGGATTGAAGGCAAGGCTGTCCGATTGAAGGGAGCAAAGAAGCGCGTTGGATTTGAAGATCCAGTTTGTGTTTTGAAAGTGTACAGCGAAGCATGCTGTGAAGCGCTTCGAAGCGCTGAATTTGGCGGCGAGATAAAGCACATGCTTGTAAGTGCTCAAGCGGTCTGCACGCCCAAATGAGCTTGTATGCATGCGACGCAGCTCCGCCCCTTCCACATTCCCTATGCACGAGTGCTTCGGCCGTGACCCCCTGTTATTGCCCTTTTATGTTTGGATAGGAAATACGCCGCACATTATCGTTGACCTTAGGGGGAGTGCAAGTGACCGCAGAGGCAAAACTGGCACTTGTGGGCCGTGGTACAACCAGGGTTCAAACCTATGGATGTCACATGACCATTGTAGTTACCGTCCCAAAGCCCACACCATCATCAGGTTTGAGCCTTGGGGCCCCCAGGCTCCATATTGGAGTTGAAGGCTCTAATCGCTTGGCCATTATGCCCCTTCTGTGCATTTTGCCCATTTGTATGCAGGTCACAGGTATCAATGGGACTTCTCAATGGAGTTCAGTCATTCATGCATGTCATCAAACCATGCATGCTATTGTCCTGGCCATGGAATATATGGCTCCAGGCCCAAAAGATGAAGTACTTTTTTGCCAGACTGCAGCAAAAATGTGTGTTACTTATATTAGGACCCTGTTACCTCAAGCAGTGTCCTTCAAAAAGGTGGCTGTGGCACCAGGTTCAGCACATACATGCTGTACATATGAGTGTCTCAGTTTTGATGCATATTCACCACTAATTCCAGTGCATCAAGGTGTCTGAATGTGTTATCAAAATTTCAAGCAAAAATGCCTGGGGTCTATTCAAGTAAAATGTTATTAGAACCCAGCACATTTAACCCTGAAATGCTAGGCACATGTTTGCCATGTTTGTCACATTGATGCCACATAGATGTTTGGATGGGTACTCAGCAGGTAGGTGTTTTGCAGTCTGTTTTTTTGCTGTAGTCATTATGTATTTGTGATGTGTAAGTCATATGGTGCCTAGAGGCCCTCCCCTGCCCCAGGTATCCCCAAGGCTGTTGCTGAAATGAGGTGTCTAGTTTATATTATGCCCACATGTCTGGCCCCTGTCCTCCATTGTTTTTCCTTCAGCCCAAGAACCCTGATGAAACTGCCAAGCAGCTGTATTCATGTTTTGTTTTCATATGCTGGCGTTGGCCTATGCATCCAATAACAGGTGGAGAGTCATGAAAGTCACTAGCAGACAGGTGTTTGATATCACAATGTGGTCACAAGTTAGTACTGGAAGTAAAACTTCACAGCATCACATGACTGGAGTTTGGCACAGGCCTTTCAGATGGATTAGTATTGTTAAAATGCTGGGCATGTGGAACTTCAATGTGCAGTTGGTTCAGAAAGGCAGGCTACATAACATGCTATTTTGTTATCCTTGCAGCCCAGGGGACTGGTACATGCAAAGCACCACTTGCTTTAAATAGTTTTGACGGGGGGACAGCCACAGAGTGATTCTAGGAGGGCCAGCCATGGTAGCAAACATTGCTTGACTCCGCTGAGCTGGCCAGGCTCCCAAACACATAAAACATGTACAAATTCAGGTATGCTGCACCAGGCCATAATATCAATCTGAAAAACACTGAAATGGGATATAAGATGTGCAAGGTCAATGGAGTCAGATGGTCTCAAAAAAGCCTACAGCTAGTCACATTTGAAGGGTTGTAGACAGGGCTTGATTCTGGCTTGTTTATTTGATTGTTTCCACTATTGCTTGTCATGGATATTGCTATTTCACCTGCTGAGAGATGTATGCCTCAGCTTCCAAGAAGTGCCCCTCTTCTGACAGGCTTTTCTCTGTCAGGCCTGATACAGAGGCAAGCAAGCCAACATGTCTTCCCTGGATGGGGTGATGATCCAAGGAATCCGCAGCTTCGGTCCCAAGGACGTGGACCGAGGCCACCTCAAGTTTCTCTCGCCACTGACCTTGATACTCGGTGAGAACGGCTGCGGGAAAACGACCATCATTGAGACTCTCAAGTATGCCACCACTGGCGACATGCCGCCCGGCTCCAATCGTGGCCAGTCCTTCATTCACGACCCGACGATGGCCAAGGAAGCCACTGTCCGGGCCCAGGTGAAGCTGGTCTTCAATAACGTGCGCGGAGAGAAGATGATAGCACAACGTATCTTTGAGGGCACGCAGAAGGCCAGGCAGATCACGGTGAAGACCCTGGATGGCACGCTGACACGAATGCAGCAGGGAAAGGAGCCTGTCAGCGTTAATAAAAAGTGTGCCGATTTTGATGCGGAGATGTTTGTGGCGCTGGGGGTAACCAAACCGATACTCAACTACGTAATCTTCTGCCACCAGGAGGAATCGAACTGGCCTTTGGATGAAGGAAAGAAGCTAAAGGAGCGCTTTGACGCGATTTTTGACGCCACGGAGTACCTGAAATGCATCAAGAGCATGAAGGATCACGTGAAAGACCTCCGAAACACAGTGGGGAGTGAAAAAGGCCGAGGCAGACAGTTCTCGAAAGGATCATGAGGAAGCGGAACTCTTGAAAAGAGAAATCAGTACACAAAGGTCCCGTCTGGCTGTCAGCGAAGACAAAGTGGCCAAGTATAAAAAGGAGTGCGAAACGCTTATTACCGAGCTACGCAGGCTTCAGAAGATCGAAAAAGAAGCGGGAGCAATAGAAGTGGAGAAAACCAGACAGGAGACACTTCTGGGGGAGCTGAAGAGGAACATCGAGTCGCTGGAGGAGAACCTGAAGCGGCCGGGCTGTCTGCAGGTCAGCTCAGAGGTCACCGAGGCCGAGCTGGACGAGATGATGCAGCAGATGGTTTCCTCGCTGGCCCAGAAGAAGCGCGATGCTGAACGCGACCAGGACCTGCTGGAGGGCGTGGAGAGGAGGAGCGTGCAGCACAAGGACACGGTCAGCAAACTGAACGTGCAACTGGGCAAGCGAGAGGCCGAGGAGGAGCGTTTCCGGCACCTGCGGGTAGAGCGGGACTCCACGGTGCGTGAGTTGTACGGTCGGCATGGCAGGGAGGCACCGACAGCCACCGGTGAGCTCACGGAAAAGGACGTGCGTGCCGCGATGACCTTCATGCAGGAGGTGCTGCGTAAGGCGGATGCCGACCAGCAGCGAGTGGCGGCCGAAGTGAGCGCGGCGTTGGAGCGGGCGCAGGCTCGCGTGGACACGGTGCGCGACGAGAAGACCAAGCTGGAGTCGGAGCTGGACCACAAGAGGGCGCAGCTGGAGGCGAACTACGCCGAGGGTAAGGAGATTCAGGAGCGGCTGGCGGCGGCGCGCGGCTCGTCATCCAAGCTGAAGGAGCTGGACGCGACACTGGCCAACATTGACACCAGGATGGACACGGCCAAAAACGCTTTGGACGTGGATGTCGTCAAGGCACGGCTGAGAGAGAATGAGGGGAAAGTGGTCGCCCTGGAGGGGGAAATTCGAAGCTTGGAGGCGGAAAAAGACGCCATCCTGGCCAATCTGTCGGTGAAAAATGAACTGGCCATCCACGAGGAGAGCTTGAACAAAAAGGAAGGCGAAATCAGACGCCTTATGAACAAGAATGTTGACACCTTCACCACCCTGGACATGGCAGATGTGCCTAGAGACAGGTTGAGCCAGCACCTGACTGCCAAGTGCCCCAGCCTGCTGACTCTGTGCAACAAGAACGAAGCCGAGCTCAAGCGCTCGCAAAAGAAGCTGAACTCGCAGGAGGTGACGCAGCGCCACCTGCAAGAGCGGTTGGCCTCGCTGGAGCGTAGCCTGGCCGAGGAGAGGAGCGAGCTGGACGCCACGCTGCAGGGCACCGACCTGGCGACCGAGCTGGCTGCCGTCAGTGCACAAGCCGCTGACCTCGAGAAGGACCACGGCCAGCTGGTGGCCATGCAGCGGCTCAACAGTGGCTACGTGGACCGGCTGGAGCGGGCGCAGCCGTGCCCGCTCTGCCACCGCGACTTCGAGACGCCGGGTGAGGCGGCCGAACTGGTAGACGAGCTGAGGCGCAAGATGGACGGCTTGCCGCGTGAGATCCTCGAGGCCGACGAGAAGAAGCGCCGCGCCAAGGAGCGCTACGACGACCTGTTGACGCTACGGCCTAAGCACGATCATCTGCAGCGGCTTCGCGAGAACGAGCTGCCGGCGGTGCGCGCGCAGCTGGAGGAGGCGCAGGCTGAGCTGCGTGCGCTGCAGCAGAGTCACGCGGCCCTGCAGCAACAGGCGCAGGAGACGGAGCGTCACCGGCGAATGGCCGATGAGCTGCGCACCGACGTCAGCCGCATCGACGAGCGCCAGCGCGACGTGCGCCAGCTGCGTGCCGACGTGGAGCGGCTGCGCGCGCGGCTGCCGTCCCGGCTCAGCGAGCGCTCGGCCGAGGAGGTGGGCACCGAGCTGGAGGCGCGCCGCACCAGCGCCGACGCCGCGCGCGCCCAGCGGCGCCGCGACGAGGCGCGCCTGCACCAGTACCACGAGGAGCTGCGGCGGCTCGGTGACGAGCGCAACGACGTCAGTGCTGAGCGGCTGCGCCTCGAGAAGCTACAGGCGGACCGCAGCCAGCTGGAGCGGCGCGGCAACGAGCTGGAGCGCGCCAACGAGACGCTGCGCACCGAGTCGGCCGCGCTGGAGGGCGAGGCCGGTGACCTGGAGGCCAGGTACCTGGCGGCGACTGCCAGCCGCGAGCAGGCGACGGTCAAGGGCCGCGCGCGCGAGGAGGAGCAGCGCAGCGGCTTCGAGGCCGTGCGCGCTGAGGTTGATAAGCTGCGTGGCTTCAACGATGCGCTGCTGGCGTACGCTCGCGACAATCGCGCGCAAGAGCTTCTAACAGTGCGCCGGCAGCTGCGCGACCTGGCTGAGACGGCGCGCGAAGACGCGGCCGAGGCGGCGCGACTGCGTCAGAACATCGACACGTGCCGCGAGCACCTGCGCTCTCAGGAGAGCCGCCAGCGCGACCTGGACGATCACAAGAAGCTGCGCCGGCAGCGGCGCGAGGAGCAGTGCAGCCTGGAGGCGATCGCCGGGCTGGAACGCCAGCTGGCCGGGTACGACACGCACAGCGTGCGCGAGGAGCGGCGCCGCCTGGAGGCGGAGCACTCACGTGTCACCATGACTGTGTGCAGTGAGGAGGGTGCTCAGAAGCAGATTCGCGAGGTTGTCCGTGACCGCAGCCGCAAGCTGAGTCAGGAGCAGTTCAGCAGCGCAGAGCGCATCTACCGCCAGTGCAAGCTCGAGCTGGTCTGCCACAGTCTGGCTGTCAAGGACCTGCAGACGTACGCCAAGGCGCTGGACGATGCCATCATCCGCTTCCACAGCAAGCGGATGGAGCGCATCAACGTGATCGTACGCGAGCTGTGGCGCGCCACCTACCAGGGCAACGACATCGACTACATCGAGATCAAGACGGACCAGTGTTCGGGCGACTCGCGGCGCACCACCTACAACTACCGCGTGGTGATGGTGAAGCAGAGCACCGAACTGGAGATGCGCGGCCGCTGCAGCGCCGGCCAGAAGGTGCTCGCCTCGCTCATCATTCGCATGGCGCTGGCTGAGACTTTCGGCGTCAACTGCGGCATGCTGGCGCTGGACGAGCCCACCACCAACCTGGACCGTGCCAACATCGGCAGCCTGGCCCAGGCTCTCGAGCACATCGTGCGCAAACGCGCCGTGCAGAGGAACTTCCAGCTGGTGATCATCACGCACGATGAGGATTTCCTGGCCGCGCTCAGTCGCACCGAGTACGTCGACCGTTTCTATAAGGTGCACAGGAATGAAGGCGGTTTGTCGCGTATCACAAAGTGCAGCACTTCCAGCATGTAGACGCGACACGTGACGCGTCGGGCTCGCTGGTGCGCGGGCACGGCGGCCGGTATCTGAGAATACCATAGCAAGCTACGACATTGCTGCTGGATGCAGTAAAAGCTATCCGGACATACTCGCCCAGGAAGAGCGACTTTTTGTTCTGGAGATGAGCTGTGGGAGACAACACAGAGGTGTTGTTTTGGTAGCCCACAGGCTTGGTGATATTTGAGTGTACTTTGCCACGATTACGCGTTATTCCAGACGTTACATTTTGATACGATTAGCTAGTTGTTGAGATGTCAATAAACGTCATTATTATGTCACTGTTTGCGTTTATATCCGTCGGTACTAAAATATGAACATCTACACATAGGTCTCTGTTCCAGGCAACGTTTAAAAAACGAAAACGAGTTTTGCAGCCTTCTTGCAGGCTCTTCCCAGTGCAGCCTCAACTAGCGGAGCTCCAGATGGTGCGCTGCATTCAGCGGTATGGGAGTCACCAGCTAAATTATATATTCATCAACATGTATCTCAAACGTGGTACACGCGATGACTTAGTAAGATCACGGCAGTGTTTAACATGCATGAGCGCGTATCGTCCGCCCACAGCCTCCTGAACGCCCTCATTGTCTTGATAACCAATACCTCCAGTACAAATGGGCTAGCGCAGCCTAGATCGGTGTAGGCACTTCGTGGCGAGTTAGCACGCGTCCAGCGCTGCAAGACACACCCGTGACAAGGGGAGTGGGATACAGCAGCTGTAACCCCCAGCGGCAGCGTTGCACCGAGACGGAGGCCAGGCTTCTGCTTCAGTCCTGAGGCCGAGTATTGTCTTGAGTCGACGGCTTTCCGTCGCTCTATGGATTTGTGTAGCCATTTGTAGCGGCTGTGAGACCGGCAGAGAAGCCTCGATGCAGCACCATGGCGAGGGAACACCAAACAAAACATTTCATACAATGCAGCCGATAAACAGCGCGAAAGTGGCTCTACCCACTAGAAATAGGCAGCACACGTGGCATTCCCCTCCCCACACACAGAATTCGCTCACGTAGCACAGTGGTTGTACCGTAGTAACTCAGCGCCACCGCCACCCTCAAAAAGACTCAAACGGCAGCAAAAAAAAAACAGCAAACAAACCTGTTTTGTGAACATTTGCGGAAAATTAGAGCTAATGGTGCCAAAAGACGGCTCAGATGGTCTTCAAATACCAAAAACAGCCATCGGCCGACTCACCAAATGACGCGGAAAACAAATGGACAACAGCAAGTCATCGTTACTTTTATCAGAAACCGGCCCATCTAATGGGCGCCGACCAACCTTCCAACGATCGATGTTGCAGTTTTGGTTCCATGGTTCATTTGTAATCTGGTGAGCTCATTGCACTGGTATGTAACCTACGCTTTGAAAGAAAATATACCGAAGAGTGCAACGAATTAAAAATCGAATTTGTCCCAAACTGTGCGTTCATCAAGCGCAGAAACCGTTCGAGTCGCCGAGCGACATCTAAGTGCGTACATCAACGCGCCTCTACCCGGAGGGCGCAGCCCATTGTTGATGCCAGGCACGTAATATCCAGCTGCGTCGTGGCTGGCCTGAAACCAAGCCTGCATATCCTCGACCGCACCCGGCGCCATCGCCCGGCCGGCCGGCGAAGCACAGTGTCCGCGGCCTCCAGCTGGCGGAGCTGCGAACGGCGCTCAGTCGCGCCGCTTGCCGTTGGCGGCCTGGCGTGTGTCGCCGCCGGCCGGGCGCTCCGCTCGGCGGATCGTCAGGCCCACCGCGCCCACGTGCATGTCACACTTCTGATGGCGCACGTTGTACCAGATCTTGAGGCTGCGGCAGGCGGCGGGTCAGTGGGCGTCGGCCAGCGACCAGCGGCGGGGCTGCAGCCAGCCCAGCCCCGCACATCCGCATGGAGCGCACACCAATCGGAACAGAATGCACAGTGGACATGGACAGAGCAGTTCAGGCCATCTAGACAATCTAGACAATCGGATAGCTTCTACGAACGACGTCATGGTACACCGCAACAGTCGGTATCCATCCTGGTCGCTGTTCAGAAAAAAACTGGCCACGTACCACTGACCCTGGCCGTGGTGGGACACACGGGGTTCGACTACCGAGACCAGCGAGATTCGGGGGTACCGTCAGTGAGTTAGGCGTGACATCTGGCTGCCGCGCTTTCTCCGTTAGCAAATGGCGATGTGCTTCACGCCCCTGTCCCTAAACTGGGTAGCGCCGAGCACTTGCAGGAGTGCTCACCAGAAGAGGATGTGAATGTAGCTGGCGTAGCCGGCGAACAGATGCCACCAGGCGTGCAGCTGGGTAAACGGCCTGAGGAACGACGGCAGCCGGGTGCGGAGCTGACTGCAATGACAATATCGCGGCTTATCAGCTGCTGAAGATACATAGTCTGGGACAAAGTGTGACCGAACTTGTCATTTGCCTTAACGACGCGCTCAGCAGCTGGGGCCCCTGGTGTCGTTTGTCTCCCATCGCGGCAGGACGGGTGGGTACCACGGGCATCTTCAACCACGGGCATCACCAAAACTTAACATCGAGTTTGAGGCGCCAAGTGTCGTAAGACTTGAGCTTCAAGTCATCGCCAGTTAGCGGTTTGTTCGCACTTCTCTCCGTCAACGACTTAAAGTTAGCTTCAGTTTCGGCTCGGCTGTCAAGAGCCATTAGCAAACCATGATAGGGCCACTCGGCATTCATCGATACCTTTCAGCGCGGCAGCGCAGCTATGAGCGTACATTCGAGTGACGCGCGGCGCCCAGGAAGCACACCGGACCACCCGACTTCTGACACTGTCGGAGCGCCCGCCGTAAGTTTAGTCACGTAGTCTCGTTCGCCAGTCGCCACAGACCGAGGTCACGTGTGCTGCCGTCTGCGCAGACCCATCGGGCGTCACGCAGCCGGTTCCTTGTCACCCCGGTGAGACGGAGGCCCCGGATGGCTGGCCGGGTGGCACCTCGCTGGTGGACGGGCGCCAGGTGACGCCGCGGCCGGATGGCGAGCTCGGGCTCAGGGCACGGTCCGCCAGTACGCACCTGATCGGGCCGCACAGGTGGTTGTCTATGTTCCAGAGGGATACGGCCGTGACGTAGAGCACCAGGCCGCCGTAGAAGAGCCGCCACAGCTGGGGGTCGTTCTGGCTGCGCACCAGGCGCACGTCCAGTACGGTGATGGTGAGTGTGGCCATACCGTAGATGGCCTGCGGCACAACCGGCTAGTAGGGCGTAGCAGCGGAGAGCATCTGCCACGGAGCAGCCGTGCGCCGAGTAACTGTGCGCCACACGACGTCTCACAGAGCAGCGTCAGCTTCAAGAACAAGACTAAACACGGGTGCAGATGAAAGAAAATAGCACCAGTAAAGAAAAACATGACGATGTCCCCATTGGTCCTTTCACCGTTTCTAGGAGCGGCTTCCCTGTGCTGAATTCTGCCTGCTGGCCATACCCTTCTGGGTGTCCGAGTGAGCAGCTCACCTGGTGCAACAGCGGGTTGGGGTACAGTAGGTAGGACAAACAGAAGATGGCCGAGCACGCCACCAGGCTCACTGACAGCCAATTGAAATGGCTTCTGGTCTGCATGTGCTGGATGTCGGCCCTGCAAACAAGCCCAAGGGAGACGATCACGGCCAGGCTAGGTAATGTTTCCTCGGCGCTGACGGCCCAGTTTGGAGCTATGGGACAACGGTGGGGTGTGAGGTGGGATGGTACCGCAGCAGCTCCCGTCACACTGGCTCGGACCCCGAGGCTTCTCCTTAGAGATCCCCAGCGTATAGACGGCTGTGATATGCGAGTACTCGGGCGGGTCTGGCAGCCAGAGAGGCTTCGAGACCCATTTTCGGAGGGCGAACTCCGTGCGATCTCCGCGAGGCGAGGGACGCGGAATATAGGCCTAAACGGATCATGCCTACCACAAGTCTTCAGTTCAGCTGACAAAGGCTTTCCCTTCGCACTGTGTCAATCTTGCAGTTTTAACGCCATGAGCGCGGAGCATGTGGAAGGCGAGCACGCTGAAACGGTGCTCTAATTATGACACAGTCCTAGTTTGACCTTGCGGTCAAAAGCAAAGTGCAAAAGTGCAAATATTTCAGTAGTTCCCGATTTTCCGAGATTTTGTTGTTTTGAGGCAAATTTTCCGCCAGTTCAAGGGTTGATGAAGTAGCAAAACAAGTTCTGGGACGGCGTATTCCTTTCAGGAGTGAGGCTGAATAGCACGATGCGTGCTGGAGTCGTCTCTTATCTCGTCGTATCGCTCCATGCCGGGCCGGTAAACGCCCCATGACAAGTCCCGCAAACAGCGCCAGTGTCCGACACACCTGTCTTATGAGACCGGTGTGTCCGTTCCTCCCCAGTTCCATCCGTGGCATGGAGTCAGGCAGAGCTCCCAAAGCGGCGCGCATTCGGACTATCCCTCCAGCGCAGAGGGCGCCAGACGACGGACGCCGACCGCCTGCTCCGGATCGGACAAGCACGGCGAGAGTCGCCGGATGCCAAGTTACTTGTGTTATTACACAAGTAAAGCGAACTATCCAACTGAAAACAGCGAAGACAATCAGGGACAACTATGCCACACAACAAAAGTCAGTGAAAGTGAGAAAGCCGCGCTAGAGAAAGCTAAGCAGGGGTGGATCCAGGCTTTCGTCCAGGGGGGCACGCAGCATGGTGGGGCCCATGCACACGCACACACACATGTGTGCGTGCGCGTTTGCGTGTGTGTATGTGTATGTGTATGTGTATGTGCATGTGTATGTGTATGTATGCATGCGTGCGTGCGTGCGTGCGTGCGTGCGTGCGTGCGTGCGTGCGTGCATATGCATTTATTTCATAAATACGGAAACACATCCCACTATGCGCGACCTTATAAAGCTAGGCGTGCTACGCATGCACATGCATAGAACTCACTCACTTCCTACAAGTCATGTTAAATGCTGTGATTTTGAGGCTAACTGTTTCGGAAAAACGGGCAAAATAAAGTTGAGTTAGCTGTTAACAATCATGGAAACCAAGCATGGACTTGATTCCTAGCTTGTGTTTTGTTTTTACTGCTAGCCGGCTGGGCGATGTAATCAGATGGTGGCTGATGACTAGTGCAAAACATTTTCCTCTGTTGTAAAGGTTGTTTTTCCTTTGCTGTAAGCATACCCTGGCATTCGAAATATGTTAAGAACGTGATGCACTAGCATAATAAGTGTCACACACTCAATAGCTAATGAAAATGACACGACGTCGCCGGCACGTAAAATTACGCCCCGCAATTGCGCGTAAAAATTCATCGGCGCATATTCGACCGCTGCTCTGAGGCAAAGGCATCAAGGCCATTAGGGACAAAACTTGAGCGATCATGGGAGCCGCAGGAGGCCAACAAAGTGGCTCCCGTCAACAAGTATAGGGTCCGCAGAGCAAGCGAAAAGAACCCAAGACCAACGTGGTGGGCCCATGAACGACCGGCAGTGCCTCGGCAGGCTCACATGTAAATCCCCGGCCAGAGCACAGAACCCTCCGAGCGAAGGGGAATTATCCAAGACTATAAATGAATACCCCTGTGCGATCAAGAGTGCGCGGGCAGGTCAGCAGCACGAACCTCGATAGGAGTGAAGAGTGCTCTGCAAATGAGACCAGAGGGAGAGAGCCCTCGATCAAAGTAGATGGCCCCTGAGCATCGAATGTGCCTTATGTCTGCCTGCCTGTATGTCTCCGTGCCTAATGTCTCCGTACCTTACAAAAGCCCTAGCAACAGCACAAGGCCCTCCAAGCAAGTAGAAAGAGCACGAGACTTAAATGAAGGGCCCCTGAACAACTGAGTGTACCCTGGCATATACTGCCTGGAAGCGTAAAGAGCCTTTCGGGCGAATGGGGGAGAATCTACGGAGGAAAACCTGATTGATCAACAGTGCTCATGCATGGAGGCAGATAGCGTCCCAACAGCACACTGGGCTCTACGAGAAAATGCGAAGAGATCAAGGGCAACGTGGAAAGCTCCTTAGCGATCAGATTGGCCCGGCAAGTGGACATATAGGGCCAGGAGCCCAACAGCGCAATGACTAGACAGCGTAATGAGCTCGAAAATTTCCCCAAAGCAACAATTGCTCAGTCAGCAAAAAATGAAATTGGTCTGTTTACGAACTCTTTACTTTTGCTAATAATTGTTCTTGGTCGTCTGTGGGCCTGAAGGCTTTCAACGTTGTCGTAAGAAAACTGCGTCCATCCGGCTGGTTATGGGCCCCTTCGGAGCCTTTAGGTTCCCTCGGCATGGTTCATGGGGCATGGTCCCGTGCCTCCCTCCCCACCCCCCTCTGCATCCGCCACCGGCCCGAGCAGCTTAATAGATGGGGCCCGCTAAGAACATAGGGCCATCCATTCCAAAAAGAAATACTCACGACATAACGTGTAGGGCTCTGAACGATCGAGTGCGCCCGAGCAGGTTAACACCATTAACCCGTTAGCCGAGCAAGTTAATGGGCCCCCATCAAGAACGTTGAGCCCTCCATTCAAATACGAAATACCCGATATTCAATGTAGAGGGCCCCCGAATGATCGAGTGTGCCCGAGGGGGTAAACAGATAAGGTTCCCAAAAAGAGCGTAGGGCCCTCCGTTCAAATACGAAGTATTCAAGACCCAATGCAGAGGACACCGAATGATCCAGTGCGTCAGAGCAGGTTAACATATAGGGCCCCCGTCAAGCACGTAGGGCTCTCTATTCAAATAAGACCCTCCATCCAAAACCCAATGCAGAGGGCCCCCGAAAGATGGAGTATACCCGAGCAGGTTATCAGGTGGCCGAGACAGGAGTGCAGGGCCCTAAATCCAAAGACCAAGACCCAATGTGCAGGGCCCTCGGGCAATTCAGTGTGGCCGAAGCGGCGAATAGATGGGGGTCCCCGACAAGTATAAAGGGCCCTCCATTCAGATAGGACGTGCCCAGGACACTGTATGGAGAGCCCCCGGATATTCGAGTGTGACCGAGCAGTTAACAGATGAGGCCTCGGCAAGAGCGTACGGCCGTCAGTTCAAATATGAAATACCCACGACACGATGTAGAGGTCTCCGAATAATCGAGTGCGCCAGAGCAGGTTAATAGACAGGGCCCCCGAAAAGCGCGGAGGGCCCTCCATTCAAAAAGGAAGTACCCAAAACCACATGTAGAGGTCCCCTACGATCGAATGGGCCCGAGCGTCTTATCAGAAGGGGCCCCGACAGGAGAGTAAGGCCCTCTATTCAAATAAGAAGTACCAAAAACACGGTGCGGAGGGCCCCAGAAAGCTGGAGCGTACCCGAACAGGTTATCATATGATTCCGATAGGAGCAAAGGGCCCTAAATTCAAACACCAATAACCACTGTGCAGGACCCCCGAGCAATCCAGTGTGGCCGAGGAGGCGAACAGAGGGAGCCCCCGACAAGTGCGTAGGGCCCCATTCAAATAGCACGTGCCCAAGGCCCAATGAAGAGGACCCTCGAATGATTGAATGTGCCCGGGCAGGTTATCAGATAGCGCCCCCCCCCCAAGCATAGGGCCCCCATTCGGAAAAGAAGTACCCAAGACTCAGTGTGAAGGGTCCCCGAACGACTGGTGTGCCCAAGCAGGCCATCAGACGGGCCCCCGACAAGCGTACAGGGTCCTGAGAAAGTGACAGAGAATTGGAAGCGCGCTAGACCAATGAAGAGGGCCCATGAGCACGTCGCAAAACATGTCAGTAGGTTAACTGAGACCCACGTAAAGGGCCCCTGAGCAACCGAGAATACCCCGGCAGGTTAAGACATGAGACCCCGGCTATAGTCCACACAGCCTTTCTGGCAGATGGAAAGAACACGTGGAGGGACCCGCGATTGACGAGAGTGCGCCGGAACGCTAGCAGGAAGGGCCCCAACAACAGCGCAGGGTCCCCGAGCAAACGTAAATAAATGAAGGACAACGTGGAACGCCCCGTAACTATAAAAATGATCCTGAAAGTGAGCATATAGGTCTCCCAGAAGCAGCATGGAGCCCATAGACAGTGCAATAAGGCTTAAAATTTTCAGTTCATAACTTCAAACCATTGAATAATTTTTCCCTTCTCATAGGCCCTTCACTTTCGCTTACAACTGTTCTTGGTCGTCTGGAAGTCCAGATATATCCAGTTTTGTTGCGTTTTGTGTTAAAAATAGTTGCGCCTGTTGGCTGGTGATGGGCCCTTCGGAGCCAATGTGCCTATTCGAGGCCCAAGGGGGGCCATAGCCCCGTGCCTCCCCCCCCCTGGACCCGCCCCTGCAGCTAAGTGACTTTTCCTCGATGAGAATGACTTTTCGCCGGCACTCATTAGCAAAGTTTTTGCCTGCTCCATTCTGTGCAAAGCATCTGAGCACTTGGGAAAGCTGTGTTGCTTGGCCAAACGCGTGGGCTTGTGCTACGGGGCGTGGTACACGATGTGAGAACTGAGTTTGATTCACCGCCTCGGGTAAAATAAGTCAATTGCTGTGTGGTGGTAGGTGCACAAACATATAGAGCAAAAAGTAACGCGCGTTCGTAATTAGCGTGAAAACCAATTGGCAAGACGCTTAACAATTGGCATCGCATGCGCATAATAAACAATTCACCTTCATTAGTTTTCGAACCGCTTGCCAAACCCAGAGATGGGTAAATATTTTCGCAAAGTACGACAGCAGCTTTGGTACATTAGATGGGGCAGAGAAAACTGAGAGGTAATGGGTCGTGCAAGTTTCGAACTGAAGGACGCTAACAACTACTCATGTCCAATGCAGCCAAGCGGATCTCCAAACGCCGCCGCAGCCAGACAATGCCTTGCCGAGTCAACCAAGTCATGCACTTCGTAAAATATGCGAGGCAAGAGCAAACACGGGTGTGATTGCCCGCCCAGAAGGACGCATTAGTTACAATCGCACGGAGCCGCACAGGTCTCCAACAGCTCAGATTTATACCCACTACCAGACGGCCAAAATGGAGCCGGCATACTTGTGCACAGCGGTCTTGGTTATTCTGGGTGCACAGGCAATAAGGGTGAGCCGCACCCCTCGCTCGCTACGTCCGCCCTGCGGCAAGCCTCCGCCCGCTACATCCGCCCAGTGGCTGCCCTCCGCCCGGAAACCGTCGGTGCCCTATCTCCGGCTCCGTGGCGTGGTCAGGCCCGTTTCCGCGCGCGCGCCGCCCCCCGCCCGCGGACAGGTCCGCCGACTCTGCGGGGCGGTATAGCACCGGCCCCACCGAAGTTACTGCCGGGGCCGTCCGATGAAGCCGCAGTTGGCGGGCAAGTCGACGATTCCAGCGGGGCTGTGGCTGGTGACGTTAAATGACTAGCTTGGATGGAAACCACGACCAACCATGGAACAGGGCAGGATTTAGGTTAGCTTTTTAATGTGGCCGTGACATCTGTTCGCGTGGATCAGATATCTCTGGTGGGATAAATATGGGCCTAAGGTAGGAAAATGGGCGTTGGCGTGGACCGCTAAGAGCGTAGGCAGTACGGATAGTCAACGCCGATCATTCAATGCCAAAAATAAAACGCCTGCTACAGACGGTCAATGAGAAGCAGTGCTGTCTCCAGCGTACGGAACATCCAACACGCGACTGCTGCTGCCCAGATCTGAGCGAGCCTGTCGGCACAGACAGACTGCCAGCCTGCGCCAGGAGCGCACACAGACAGACTATCCCGGCCCACGTCAGGAGCGCACGCAGACTATCCGGCCCACGTCAGGAGCGCACACAGACAGACAGACTATCCCGGCCCACGTCACGAGCGCACACAGACAGACTATCCCGGCCCACGTCACGAGCGCACACAGACAGACTATCCCGGCCCACGTCAGGGGCGCACACAGACAGACTATCCCGGCCCACGTCACGAGCGCACACAGACAGACTATCCCGGCCCACGTCAGGGGCGCACACAGACAGACTATCCCGGCCCACGTCACGAGCGCACACAGACTATCCCGGCCCACGTCACGAGCGCACACAGACAGACTATCCCGGCCCACGTCACGAGCGCACACAGACAGGCTATCCCGGCCCATGTCAGGAGCACACACAGACAGACTATCCCGGCCCACGTCAGGAGCGCACACAGACAGGCTATCCCGGCCCATGTCAGGAGCGCACACAGACTATCCCGGCCTACGTAAGGAGCGCACACAGACAGACTATACCGGCCTACGCCAGGAGCGCAGCGCAGCAGCGCCGTGACGCACGGAGACACACGCCATCAGGCTATGCTAGCACTTCCGCTGTTGACGTGGCGATTTCAGATAGATGCGGACTGTTCTGGGCCATCGCGCCTTGCCCCGATACGAGATCTGTTGTTCATACTCACAAGCAGTAGAGCAGGAAGCAGCTGCAGAACACCATGGGTAGCTCGTCTGTAAGCTGCATCTCATACAGCAGCGTCATGTGGAAGGCGGAAGAGCCGAGACCCACCACTGCCGGACACACCGCCATGCCGGCGTTATACCATCGGTACGGCACACGCTACCGACACCATGCCATCGGTATGACACACGCTACCGGCGTCATACCACCGACACTACGCCATCGGTACGACACATGCCACCGGCGTCTTACCGTCGATGGGGTACACACCACCGACGGCATGCCATCGGTACGGCACACGCCGCCGGCGTAATACCATCGGTACAACACACGCCACCGACACCATGTCATCGGTACGGCACACGCCGCCGGCGTTATACCGTCGGTGCGGCACACGCGACCAGCAGACAACAGTCGAGACGTCCGGACTTACTACTGCCAGACACACCATCACGCCGGCGTCTTACCGTCGGTACGGAACACACGACCGACAGACCACGGACGGAATGCAAGACAGGCGTTTAAAACAGGCCGACTACAGCCGGCAGCTCATCACAGACCGCCGAGCTGAGGCTAAGCGAGGGGCAGCTGGAGGCTAGCTGAAGTAGGCGCAAAAGCAACGGGCAGGTGCCCGCTGGGATTGCGGTGAAGCTCTCGATATCTCTCTATATAGATCGAGCGATAGATCGAGCTCGAATCTAGAAGAGAGAGAGAGAGAGAGAAGAGAGAGAGAGAGAGAGAGAGAGAGAGAGAGAGAGAGAGAGAGAGAGAGGAGAGAGAGAGAGAGAGAGAGAGAGAGAGAGGGAGATAGAGAGAGAGAGAGCGAGAGAGAGAGAGAGAGGGATGAGCGAGAGAGAGAGAGAGAGAGGAGAGAAGAGATGAGAGAGAGAGAGAGAGAGAGAGAGAGAGAGAGAGAGCGAGAGAGAGAGAGGAGAGAGAGAGAGAGAGAGAGAGAGAGAGAGAGCAGACGGAGAGAGAGAGAGAGAGAGAGGAAGAGAGAGAGAGAGAGAGAGCGAGAGAGATGAGAGAGAGAGAGGAGAGAGAGAGAGAGAGAGAGAGAGAGAGAGAGAGAGAGAGAGAGAGAGAGAGAGATAGCGAGAGAGAGAGAGAGAGATGAGAGAGAGAGAGAGAGAGAGAGAGAGAGCGAGAGAGAGAGGAGAGAGAGAGAGAGAGAGAAGAGAGAGTAATGAATATTCTCTATCTAGCTAGTATCTATATCTTAGTCTGAGCTGATCTCTCTCCTCGCTCTCCTATACTATACTCTCATCTCATCTCTCTCTCTCTCTCTCTCTCTCTCTCTCTCTCTCTCTCTCTCTCTCTCTCTCTCACATGGCATGACGATACCATTTTAGAAACACCATCATCATGAATTATTTTAGGTTCCCGTGCATGAAAAATTGCGACGGAATGTTTTCGCCGGCATATCTGGGCGTTTCAGTTCAGGGTGGGAAGAAAGAGCAGCCGGCCATTCACAAGTCACGTGGAGCCTGTGATGGTGCACAGCAAGGGTTCACTCAGCTGCTGCAACAGCCGCTTAGTCCCGACCCAGATCGGCCCTGGCGTCTTCGCTTGAGAGGAAGAACACAGTGATCAACGCTTATTTGTGGTAGAGGGTCATTGGACACAATCTTGGCTACATCAGGAATGATTGTGCGATCATGAAAGGTGCTCATATAAATGGCCACAACAAAAATGATACGGTACAACGCGTACACAGTCCTCACGCGCTACTTTATGAGCCAAGCCGTCTGCCGAAAGCGCATCGTTATAGCAATCCAACCACACAGTTGTCCCCATCGCAAGGGTTCGGTGACGCTACCACTGTCTTTACCATCATTTCATCAATACCCACAGCATCCAATGCGTGACACGACTCCTCACGAGCCTCGAACGATTAGTGCATGGAACGGTGCCGTGCCCGCACAACCCGCCGGTGAGCGCCCCTCCTCCCCCCCCCCCCTTCCTCCATAACGTTGGGTTGGGGTGCAGCCCCCTCTGACGACGTCGGCAGCTGTCTGCCACTGACCGAGCAGCAGGATGAAGCAGATGGTGAACCTGGCCTCGAACCGCTGACGAGACGCCTCGTAGATGCCGTACAGCGGCGGCACGATCATGGACATGTTGCTCAGCGTGTTCCCTGGAAGCCATATCGCCAGTTGAGGGCGTAGTGGCGCGGTCATGGACTGTGGCTTAGAGCCTTTCCCCCGAAAGTGCTACACTGCTGACCAGCATCACCAGCTACGGACGCCTCGCCGTCTGCGGTATGTGCACGTCTCAAACGCAGGGACGAGAGATCTGCGCCCGCCCAGCACGCTAGCACGCAGTGCTACAACAAAAGCTACGTTTAGATCAGTTCAAATTCAATCCCGGTGCCAAATTTCAGAGCAAGGGGTGCGATACAAAAAATAACCACACTAGTACATCCCTGATCATTTGGGGCGGTCTGTAGCCCATAGCCGGTGTGGGTAGTCCACAGTCGATTAGGAGCGGGTAGAAGCATTGTGAAGCAAACACTGACACCACCTAACCACCCGGGGGAATGAACAAATTGTCAGCTTAGATCGAGTTCAGTCAATCAATGGAGCAATGTATGTCCGAAAAATGTCATATTGGTAGACAGCACCGGCCTGGGGCAAAAGCAGCAGCGGCTGTTTTGGATCCGATCCAGGAAAAACAGAACAAAGCTGAGAGCGCAAATCGCATACAGCACCCACAAGCACACATAAAAACGTTAATTAATTCGCATCAGCAGCCGCACCACTCTTCCCAGTCTCACCATTCCTGCGCAGCCACCAGCGGTCCTTCATATGAATGAAGTCGTCGAATACATTTAGTGAAGGCGTTAAGTAATGACATTCGAATGCCCGCGTTCGCTGGCAGGATTACGCACGGCTGTAGTTTCACGGAATGATTGAAAGGAAGTTCAAGTATTACGGATGGAATACTTATGCGGACTATCGTCCACATTTTGTGTGTTAGTGCGCACACGGTATGTGTGCACACACATACTGATACACCAAAATGAGGACAATGGTCCGAACAACCGTTTCATCCCTGATCAAGCTCGACGCCTCAAGACGTCCACGAAAGACCGCGCCTGCGGGGACCCCTACCCTGCCAGGTAACCTTTGATACGGTTAGCCAGGCCATCAGTAAGACCACCAGCGGTCGGAGACGCCGTTCGAGGCCAGCGAGTAGCAGATTTTAAACATGGCGAATTGAAAACGGTCAACGGTTCCGAACATTCTGGAACGTTTGCGAGTCACTCTCGCCTCTGGGCTTCTTGATCGTTTCTGTGTGATTATGTACACCCAAAGTTCACTAATATATCACCAGTTAGTTCACATCAAGTCGATACTACACACACAAGACAACCGACAGATTAGTGAGCATTTTTCTAGTCCAGAACAGCTGCACTACTCGACAGACCGGACAACTCAAAGTACCACAAACCAGAGTCACTGCCGGGAGTCGCAGGCCCAGCCGCGGGGCGGCAAAACTATGAAGCCGCTTATCAACTGCCTGGCAACACAATAAGCACGTGCTGCACTGCAAGGCCGATCACATTCACCGTCTAATCCGAAGCAGCCAGCTAAGTGCATGCATGGTACTGTGCTGCTCTGCGAAATGTGAGTCGGTTGTCTCCGAAGCGTCAACGTTGTATGCACAAGCAACAGCAGAAACGGCGACCGCGAGTCATCCCCGGCCGCAGAACATTTCAAACCAGTCCATGAGCCGCCTATTCTTGCAGCTTACAAGCGCTGTGCTCAGTGTGCCGGCCACGTTCGTCCGTACTAACGCAATGCTGCCCTACGCAGCGGCCCACTGGCCGTGCTGCCGGCCGCTCACAACCACCCACATCGAACGGCCGAGTGGCGGCCCCGTAATGACGCTCGCCGGCTCGGCCTGACGGCCCCCTGGAGCTGCGTGCGGCGCCCTGCTGGCGGCGCGCGCCCCTCACAGACAGCCTGCGACACCAGCAGGATGCGCTATTATTCATGTACGGAAACGATGCCGATGCGTGTCACTGACGACCGGAGCCTCAGGAGTTTATCACGGCATGACAGCGCGTCATAAAACGGGGCGTAGCTCGCATGTTGACCCTATGCTGTGGGGGTACATATGTGAGTGCCAGGCTGTCCATGAGGGTACATATGTGAGTGCCAGGCTGTCCATGAGGGTACATATGTGAATGCCAGAAGGTCCATGGCGGCTACGGGAGGGGTTGGGCCGAACGTGGCGGCTTTTCAACATCACGGAAGAGAAAATCATTTTACTTTTCGATAGCATCGACAGGCCCAACATCAAGCTCAGAGACAATGAAGGGGGCGGGGGTCAGCACCTCCCAAAAAATATGAGCAGTCACACACCCGATTAGCATGAATCATTATTTCCTCACAAAAAAAGAATCAAAACTCGCTGGCAAGGGCAATGGCCTCTTGCAGCCAGGAACAAGAAGCTTCGCCAGTAAAACCCCCAAATAACAGTTAGTGCACTGAAAACCCGCGCTGATTTTACCTTGGTAATGGCCAGGCAGCTGCCACCAAGCCGGCGTTGAACAGCTGCATACGGACCATGTACCGGTCTGTTTTATAGCCGGTTCTGTACAGAGACGTATCCACACGAGGACAGTCTGGCGGACACGAGGTTGGCATGGGCTACCCAAGAGTAACCCGCATCATTCAGCCAATCAGTTTGAGTTCCAGGACATCTCGAATCCCACACTACGTAACTGTCCACTGACATGCCACCATACGTTCCCCAGCATCTGACGTCCATCCCCAGCAGATGTAAGGTAGCGAGGTGCCAGGACGCCGCTGAGTTCTTGCGGTGAACTGCACAATATCGGACCCTACATCTCCAACTGGCAGTGCTCACCAGCTCCGTACCCAAGGGTGCCATGAAATGACCGGAAAGATGCAGTCACCGCACTTGCATCCCCAATCTATATCACACACTAGTTGAATCGTTCGCAGCACGATTCCTGCTGATTTGAAGGCGGGTGCGGGCCGGACAGCAGGTGGTCGATATCGGCACCGGACATTGTGCCGGGCAGCGGGTGGTCGATATCGACACCGGACATGGTGCCGGATAGCGGGTGGTCGATATCGGCACCGGACATGGTGCCGGACAGCGGGTGGTCGATATCGACACCGGACATGGTGCCGGATAGCAGGTGGTCGATATCGGCACCGGACATGGTGCCGGATAGCGGGTGGTCGATATCGGCACCGTACATGGTGCCGGATAGCAAGTGGTCGATATCGACACCGGACATTGATACAGATACCGATGTTGAGATAGACGGCAAAGATCGGGATAGATGCAGTGCAGCATCAATTTTTTCTTTTTTTTCACGCCGTCGATGCACTTCTTTGGACACGATTGCAGTCGTCAAGCAAAAAGACATAACAGGGGATCACGGGAATTACATTGATCGAAGCAGGTTCTCATAGCGTATGGTTCGAAGATATATCACCATGTTATGGCGGATCGTTTCACTTCACGAGCATAGTGCGCTTGCAAGTCCCGCCTTTGCGTAGAAGCCCCGCATGCTACTGATCTTGCCGCGACAGCGAGTACACAGCACCCATCGCAATCCCCCCGCGCAGTCATCATGAGAGCCTGCTCTACCGTGACCTCGCCTAAAACGCCGCGGCCTGGTGGCGAGGGTCGGCGGCTGGGCGCTCACTCGCCTGTGCCCGTGTGACGCCGACCGAGCGCGTCACGCTGCTCTTTTCAAGCTACGTCAAGCCACGTTTGTCGCGTGGGCCGTTCAGCCTTTCTAAGACAAAAAACAACAACACCTTAACAACCAGGCCGGGGCCTGCACACCGGCTGGACAGCCGAGGCGCCGCCACGTGGAACACAGCCAACGCGCGGCTCCTCTGGGCAGCGGAGCGGGTGGAGAACTCACAGAACTCGGCGATGTAGCCAGAGACGGCGTAGTTGGCTTCGCACCAGTCCAGGGTGGAGGTGGGCCGGCCCCAGAAGCCCGCCACGGGCGCCATGCTGCGTGCCGGGCGAGTGGAGCACGGCCGGACCTGCGGGGTGCCGGCGGACGTCAGCGACCGGCCCCGCACGCCATCCCCGCGCCGTCCGCCGGCCGGCGGCATACACGACGCAACAGGCGGACGCGCCTTGACACGCAGCTGGCGCTGAGCGAGCCGGCAGCACGCGAGTCCGTCAGGCCAGAGGCGAGCGGGAGGGAAGAGTCGGTCAGGATAGAGGCGAGTGTTGTGGACGAGTCAGTCGGGCTAAAGACGAACGGGAGGGACGGGTCGGTCAGGCCAGAGGCGAGCAGCGGGAGGCACGAGTAGGTGAGGCTATAGACGAGCCTATATAGGCTATAGACTAGTCAGTCAGGCCAAAGGCGAGAGGAAGAGAAGAGTCTATTAGGATAGAGGCGAAAAGAGGGATGAGTTGGCCAGGCTAGAAACGAGTTGAACCAGCCATCCACGCCAGCCCGCGAGGCCCGTGATGAACAAGACAGGCAGTGCGGCGTTGATTCGCTGCTCGGTAGCACATTACAAGAGTCCTGAGTGGCACACTTGGCTTGAGGGTATGCTGGATACTCCCCTCCCCCAGCACGCCAGATCTTGGCCACCCAAACATTCCACACCGATCGAGAGGTGGCTTTGCCAGAACACACTGCGATGGTCCAGGGGCCGTGAACTCGTCTGTCAGCCGTCGGACCGGATCCAATTCCAGCTCACTTCCGCTCCAGCGACATGATTGCCGGGACGCGTTAGACACGGTGCCCCGCACCCGGCCGCGCGACGGCTGTGCGGCTCAGCCACTCGCTAAACACACACAAACGGGCCGCGTTACAGGTCGGGTGCCATGGCTCAAAACTGGCCGTGCTTCGAGAGCAAACAGGCCGTCTGGGAAAGTCATGGTAATTACTTAAGTTATGGACAACAATAACCACCTTCTTGATTGCACGGGCACAATGCAACTAGCGTTTAGTGGTGTTTTTCGTCATTTGAACTGCAGGTCATCAACGGCGGGGTGTCGGCCGCGAGCAAGAGCTCTTGCTCGGCCGGCGAAGCAGCCGCCAACGGATGGTCCAGTGTTCGCAGCCGCGACCGACTGCACCGCTTGGGGAACCATCTGACTCGAACGCCGAGGCACGTCCTGCCGAAATCTTGACACATCAGGTGATTGCTTTTGTATCACCCCCGGTAAATGTTCGCCATGTGACGTGTTTACCTAGCGGTGGATTTATAGAAGCAGCGCTTCCGGTACATTTGTAGAAGTGCCGTTCGAGGCACTGAATCTAGGGTCGGTGGGTCCGTTTACCCCCGTGTAATGACCGCTCCGAACAATCCGTTAGAGAAGTTACGCAAGTGGTCCTCACCTTTATTAGTGAGACCTTTTATTAGTGGCCCTCACTTCTTTACCCCACAACAGGTGTTCCTGTCACATGAAGCATACCCCAAAGTGTTGAAGAGCTCTGCGGACCACTGCTGACATCTGTTCCAGTAACACCACATTTGCCCGAGTTAACTTAACGCATGGTGCATTGGCGTAACTATGCTAATCCGTCCGCTTCCTTTTTACAGCTAGTTAATCGATTAGGCGATTAGCCGGCAGTTAGGCGATCCATGGCTACCAAAGAAAAATTGGCAGTTTAAGCTCAATGTTCTTCGCCTGAAACAGCAGCATTCATTACCTTGCTCCTTACGAAGCAAAAAATCCACTGTATAGTGTTCGAGCCAGCATTTCCAGCGCCATACAGTAGCGCGTAACCTTTTTCCAACGATGTCATGGAGACCCCATGGTGTCCCGGCAAAAACAAACACGAGGTCAGGCCTCCGGGCCAAGCTACCACCTCACGCCCAGGTTGCAACTCACGCTTCAGCAGAGCACCGCCGGGTCAGGTCCGTGCGGCGCTCCCGGAGGTCAGCAGCGAACCTTCCCCAAGAGACGGCGTGGCCGCCGCGAGCCGGCTCTCCGTCACGCAGTATCGTTCGGCGGGCCCGTCCTAGCCGTGCTTCGCGACCGATGAGAAGCTCGCCACCCGGCCGCGTCGGCCGCACCTGCTCGTGACGTTCGCCGCCCGCCCCTAAGAACCACCTCCTGCCCGAGGCAAACAAACACTGTCGCTGGGCGGCTGGTTCGGCCGGCGGCCGGCAGGCGGCGGTGCCGTGGCGCCTAGCCCGCCAGACCGTCGGCCGTGGCGCTCGGCGATCGATGCCGCGGCGTCGATACGGGGATCTATTCACAGATAGCGCTGCCGAGCGCGAGTCGGTGGTGGGCGGGACCCGAGCCGGCGCGAGATCCAGCTGCCGCCACGCCAGGGCGACACGCACGCTTCACACGTGCGCGCTGTGATCCAGCGGCGGGTGATCAGTGCCTCCTGGGACATGTTCACCACGTGAGGTCAAAAATGATCCAAGCTACCAAAAAATACGCCAACAAGCATGTTTCTCCACAGATTTGGCCCACTTCCTTCCAAAAGTTAGGGAAGCCGAAGCCCTCCAAATGAATAGAAAACTACATCCATTGGGAGGGGGTGGGGGGGGGGGGGGCATCCAGTGTTCGCCGCGTCGACCCTCATACCAGGCCAGACTTAATAAGCTTGAGAGCATGTGAAAGGAAAACCCACATAGCCTATAGCCATGCATCCGCTTGGATTGTTGCAGCTCCCACTTCAGTGTCTGCGCTATCCCAGTGGCCTGGCGCCGCCGCTGAAACTTCCTTTGCATTGTTCAAATAAGGCTTTCGCGCAGGGATTGAATCTGCGTCCTTCTCGGGATGAAGTAGTTCAAACTCCAAATCAAATTCACAAGCCCGTTTCTATAAAATGCTCCAAACAAACCCTGGCTGTTCAGATCTCGAACAAGCGCTTTATGTCGGCAGGCACGAAACCATGCTTCTCTGCATGTCTTACCCAATACATCTCTTTGAGAAATAACATTGAGGCGACGGCTGCCGTATCGTCGTTTTACAACGCATTTCGGCACGATGCTGAGCAATACATTTTTAGCATTGTGAATCGAAGAAAAATGGCATTATTTATGCGGCCTACACTTCACTTTGCGAACTTACGCCGTACTTTGGGTTTGCGGAAGTTCGTAACCATGGCAACGACCAAGGGTTCTATGACAACAATAGCAGTACATTTTGACAGTTATGCAGTTCAGCCCTAAAATATTTGGCATACAGCTGTGCCAGCTACTAAACCGCTCCGATTTGTATTCGTTTCATATGAAAGTACCAAAGTTAGTCGCTATCTTGCAGCTTAGAGCTTCGCCGAATTTTATGACGTCACTTCTTTAGAAGGACTCATAATAGTGAGAAAAGCTGCATTGGCCCAGCGATCCATCCGATAACATACCGGCGCGTCTAGAAAATCTAGTCCTCTGCAAGTACGTCACTGATTGCCAGGCTCGCATAACGTGTCTAGACAAAGGATGATCTATGCTATAGAGTATAAATTGAGTAACGATGTATACATGCGCGTACAAACCTGCAGGATTGATCTGACGGTGGTGAAACAAATACCTAGCTGATGTGCTAGAATGATGCAGCTGCGATTCCGGTCGTGCTGGAATTATTTCGAGCAACCACGTTACTCGTCAGGCAGCCAAGACAAGATCGAGGAACTAATGTTCCGCCATCCTCGTCCAGGATGTTTATTCTGTTGAAAAGGTTTTGGCTGAATTAGTTTTTCTGCGCCCTAAATCGACTCTAGCCGTCGGCGCTTTGATGCACCCCGCATCAACCCTCGCGGAAAAATACCTCAACTCATTTTATAGACCGACATGCCGCTCCCCCCCCCCCCCCCCCCCCCCCCCCCCCCCCTTCCACCGGCGTCACGTCCGGAGATGATAAAAACGCGAGGGGCCAATATCGAAAGCTCGCGATTAGGACCGCTTAAATGCAAATGTGCATACATAACTATAATCGCAGGTGCACAAAGTACGATATGCGCCGATCCCAAACGTCCTAGCCAGACCAAAAATGCTCGCTCAGTTGGCTTCCAAACACCGGAAACGACAGCACGGAACTCGAGCGCCACGCTTCACAGCATGGGGCACACCCCACACAAACATGCACACGCGGGGACCCCCACCAGTTAAACGTATTAGTGTTGACTTTTTAACCCCCTTGTGCGACACTGCGTGACAAGAGGATCACGGCGTCCAGCCTTGTCCAGGTTTTCAAGCCCCACCTCACGTCATATACGCACCCCACTCGCATTTCCCCTTTATTTACCAATTGGATCGATGTCCACTTCCGCTTCAGAAAACAACGCACTCAACGTTCTCACGATCTAAAAAAGGCGTCTCCTTTCTGTCGGCGGGCCTCTCGGCCGCTAAGGCGATCACACATATGCGCGCGCGCCCCGATCACGGGCTGCCCGGCCGTCCGGCGGCCGGCGCGCTGCCCGCGTCCACCCGTCCACCACCAGGCCACCCGGCTCACCGTGTCTCGCAGGCGGCGCCCGGCGCGGAGTCCCGCGCGCCGGGCGCGGGGAGGCGCACACAGTTCGTGCGGCATTCGCTCGCCGCCCAGCGCCCCTGCCGCACCGATAACAACATGCCGCCAACGTCACACAGCCGCCCACGCATCACAGCAGCCACTCCGCACTGGCATACACTCGGTTGGCACGTACTTAAATACTCCAATATCAACGGCCGGCAACAATGTCCTTGAGTATGGGGCCACGCATCCACTTGTGCTGTCTTCGCATGCTACTAGACGTCACCGTCCCTTGCCCTCGTGCCTCATTCCTTGCACTTCTGCACAACCGCGTACGCAAGCATACATTGTCGGGGCACGCACCACACTCGTCTATGCGTTTCAAGGCCAAATATTGGCTGTGCTAACCGCCCACAACACAACCCCCGGTCGAACAAGTGTCACCCAATGCCGACTCTTAAAATTTCAGAATGCGGGAAACAAAAACTAATTAGACGCATATAAAATTATAAAACGGCCCTACTGAGCAGTAATCGCAGCGCCGTCTCCAGCACGTCACCGACCGGCCGTCGCACGCCACCGTCTGCACCAACACGCTCTCGCACGCACTCGCGGCCGGCCCGGACGCCGGCCCAGGCACTCCTGACTAGCTCCACACCTCCTGAGGCCAGCTTGAGCGGGCGGCCCACGGCCCGGCCTCAGTCACGCCCGGGCTCGGCGGTATCACAGCGCGCAGTCCGTCTGCAGTCCGTCCCCCTGCCGCACAGAACGTCCCCCTGCCGCACGGTGGCGTCCCCCTGCCGCACGGGAGCGTCACCCTGCCGCACGGGAGCGTCACCCTTCCGTACAGGGCGTCACCCTGCCGTACAGGGCGTCACCCTGCCGCACGGGAGCGTCGCCCTGCCGTACAGGGCGTCACCCTGCCGCACGGGAGCGTTTCCTCGCCGCGGGGCGTCTGCCTATCACAGGGATTTTCTCCCTGTTTCACAATACGTCCCCCTCCCACTGTCTGGTGGTTTCCGCGTCCCGACCCAAAAGTCATCTCCCCTACCCCCCCCCCCCCCCCCCCGCCCTGACAGTCTCCCTGTCATACAGTTCGTCCCACGATGCCGATTCTCGTCTCCCTGCCTAACCCTGTCTCCGATACACAAAGTCTGCTTCCCTCTGTCACAATCCGTCTCCCTAACACAAAGTACACCTCCCTGTGTCATGGTCCGTCTCCCGTCTCCCGTCTCCCGTCTCCCGTCTCCCGTCTCCCGTCTCCCGTCTCCCGTCTCCCGTCTCCCGTCTCCGTCTCCGTCTCCGTCTCCGTCTCCTCTCTCTCTCTCTCTCTCTCTCTCTCTCTCTCTCTCTCTCTCTCTCTCTCTCTCTCTCTCTCTCTCTCTCTCCCTGCCTCAGTCCATGTCCCTGTCACAGTCCGTCTCTCCCTGCCTCAGTCTATCTCCCCGTGTCACAGTGCGTCTGTCCATGCCTCAGTCCATCTCCCCGTGTCACAGTGCGTCTGTCGCTGTCCAGTCCACCTCTGTGCCACGGTACATCTGTCCGTGCCGCAGTGCGTCTTGCCGCCCGCCAGTCCGTGCCCAGCCGCTGGCGCTCCCCGCGCGGCGGCCGTCACCGGGCCCCGATCCTCGCCTCCGCCGGCGCCTCGGCCGACGCGCCCACCCGGCCGGCAGCGGCGCCGCTCAGTTGATGGTTTCGCGCTCGCCCACGTTCAGGCGGCCCTCGGAGGACGTGACCGAGAAGCCCAGGATGCTGCTATCGACGGCGCGGTTCTTGTTCTTGCCTTTGCGGCCCTTCGGCTGTGGAGTTGCAGACGGCGTCAGGTGAGCGATCCAATGCCTGGTGATGGCACTTGAGCCAACCATCAATAACCAACGCTAAACACTGCCCTAGACTCGTCTCAGTCAACATTCAAAGCGCACATGCATGCACCACGTCACGAAGTGAGGCTTTCAGTCTCGTCGCATGTAAGTGATCAGAATCTAAAAACATAGCAACGCGGCTTGGCTGGCAAGCTGAAATGTGCCATTAGCTGATTGAGGACAAACCATAAACACAGAAACATGTGCCGTAAAGATGGTATGGTGTGCTTTGCAAGAAATGAGTAGAGTAGTGTGATTATAGCACAATCAAGCAGGAGGAACGAGACATAGTGATCGCACCAGTTATAATATGTCAAGGTGAATGAAATCCCTCAAACAGAAGCAAAACCGTAACAGATAGTTACTATGAATGAAACATAGCAGGCATCCAAATGATGCATTTTGCCAGAAATAAAACAAACACAGCCGCGGAAACCGATAGCACGAAAAACACAGGAAACGAACAATGATCATGCTCCTGAAAAGCATGACTGGCAAAGGCTGTTTTGTGGTGGCATGACAGCTAATCACCTATGGATGGTGTTTGGGGTAGGTCCACAAACAATGGCAATACTTTATAGCATGTACTTGTGCGATTCCCACCCTAGCACAGCACAAAGAACTTGCACACCGCAAGCTTACACATTGTACACATGCACTGATGGGCATCCATCGCATTTTGCACGCATGACGATTATGATCTAAATCAAACATCTGCATGAGTAATTTGCATGTTAGCATTGTATGGACAGAATGGTACCATCCAAGCGATGTAAACGCGCATTGATGCGACATGAAACATAATTATGACACACACTCAGTTCAAATTCGTTCTGATTTGCAGGCATAACTCTTAGTTGCGTAAACACTATAACCATTCACGAGACGGCCAATTTGGGACTTGGAAAGCTTCCAATTAATTTTTCACAAGATCGAAAACTTCTCCACAGCAAACATTGACCAGAATTCCACACTTAAACGTCAGACGCCTGACGATACATAGAAAGCACGGACTCTGGTGGCCCAAAGTCAAAGTTGGGGCCTCTCAACTTTTCTACGGAAAGTGTCAACTCTGACACCAATGAACGTTATCAGGTGCGTGACTCACAAACGGTACTCATCGATGCGACCAATCAGATCTGGGTGCTGTCCCAGTCTCCAGCAGTGCCTAACGACCAAGCCCTCGCGCCGACTTCCACCTCCGCCATCCCGGCCCACCAACCCTGCAGCCCGAAGCCGCGGCTCGTACCCACCAACCCTGCAGCTCGAAGCCGCGACTCGTACCCACCTTGATTTCCTGAAACTCGTTGCTGGCCGGGTTCACCGCGCGAGCCGGACCGTACATATTGTCCTCGCTCTCCTTGCGCTTGGAGGCGTTCTTCCAGCGGCTGCGACGCTCCATGAACTGTCGCGCGAACTCCTTGGTCTCCTTACCGTCGCCCAGGTAGGAGCGCACGTAGTCCTGCACTTCGTACGGCGACTCCACGTCCTTCAGGAAGCCGATGAATGTGGGCACTGCGCCGACAAAGCGTGGCCGGCGTCAGTGGGGCACCGCGGCACGCGGCACACGCCACGCCCGGCTGGGCAGCCGCGGACGCCGCGCGGCCCCAGCCAGGCGCAGGGCACGACTGGGACAACGCACTTGCGCGCATCTCTTCCAGCCAGGCATGGCTGAGGGTACCAATCACGGCCTACTGAAGACAGAACTCGCGTACCGCCGACAAAATCCACTCCCCGACATCCACTGCACACAATGCTATTAACACAAAAACAGAGCGGCGCTTGGCTGAGCTCCGCGGCGCACGCAGCCGGCGTCCGACCTGGGCCCACTCACCATCCACGCCCGTCTTCATCTTGCTGAGCGTGGCCGTGGCCCAGGCGTGGAAGCCGTCGTCGGACGGATCCTCCGGCCCCGCGAAGAGCTTCATCACCGAATCCTCCGCCTTGTTGCGCTGCGACTTCTTCTTAGAGGCGGCCGCCGGCTGCGCACCCGCCTTCTGCTTCTTGCCCGCCGTGCCGGCGCCGATCGGCTCCCAGAAACCGCCAGCCGCGCCCGACGACGAATCTGGCGCAGGGGAGCGCGCCGTCAGCCGACGGTCGGGACGCACGGCGTCTAAAGAGCCAGCCACCCGCTACAGTCCCCTTCCCGATGGGCAGCGCGCACCCCCACCCCCTCGATCGCTGACAGTCACAGGCACGGGCGACGGGTGAAAACCCGGGCCGGAGCTGGCACCGCAACCACAGCACGAGCACGCCGGCCGTTCGGCGGTGCAGTGAGAGTGACGACAGCCGCCGGCAGCCTGCAGCAGCGCGCAGGGTCGCACACGTCAGTCGCGCGGCGGTGGCGGCGCCCGCCCCGCGTTCCGGCACGCCGGCACGCAGGCGGCGCCCGGCGGTCGCGGCCCCACTCACTTGTACTATGCTTATTGTGGCGACGGCGGCCGCCCACGGGCCGGACGCCGTCGGCCGGGCCGGGCCGTTCCCACACCGCCGCCGCCGGTGCGGCCGGCACCGGGCGCAGGGGCAGCGGCGGGGGCGGCGGCAGGGGTGGGTGCGGGGGTGGGAGCGGGGGTGGGGACGACGGCAGCGGCGGCGGCGGCGGCGGCGGCGGCCGGCGCGGACGCGGCCAGTTTGCTCCAGCTGAGATTCTGGGCGGCGCCCCGTCCACACGCCCGCCTGGTTGAACGAGAGCTGCTGCTGCTGCTGCTGCCGCTCAGCCTGGGCCCGCTGCTGGCGCTGCAGACGTCGCCGGATGTCAGTCGGGTCTGCACTCCGCCCGGGCACGCCGCAGGAGCACCGCGCGCCACATCACGGTCATAATTCCATCCCGTCCCATCATGCAGGAGGCCGACCGAGATGAGATCACAGGCCGTAAACATGCCGACCATGACCGCAGAGCATTGGTTGTACTGGTGCACAGCGATGGTACCTCGCGCGTCACAGCCATACGAGCATCACGAGGAGATGGTCTGCCTCGAGCGACTCAGCAGCTTTAAGTGCGCGCGCCTCGTATCAACAAGAGGCATGCAGATACAGACACAAGCTGCGCCCTTCGATTTGTGAGCGCGTACCAAGCGAACGACCTACGCGGATACAAGCTGAGCTTGATTAAGGGGCTTTGGACCGGTGCAGAAAACATATAGGCAAGCAGAGGTATGATCCTTTGGCACGTACTTTCTGGACTAATGGGAACCCACTAATGGGGCCGACGTACCGGAGCCCACGCATCACTCAGTCATAAGCTTATCGAAGGCCCAGCTGTCAGGTACGCAGATGCTTCGATGAAAAAATAATAAGCCGATAACGAACGGAGGTACTCCAAAACTAGCACAGAGGGATACCACGCCTGATAATCGGCCAGCACCGGTTGTCCAAGGCCGTCATGCTCCCACTGCCCAGAGCACACTAAGCCCCTGACCGGGCGTCCCCGAGCCGGGCCATGTACGTCCAGGTAAGGCTCAGACCTGTGACATCAGGTGCTCGGCCGTGTGGAGGCGCCGATAATTGTCCCTCACCTGGGATCGGGTACCGACAGCTATGCATGACAAGCCCGTCGACACCCATGCGCTCAAGACAATGTCCACACAGACGGACACGCGGTGGTCCAGACAGACACCAGCTGGTGGCCGGCATTTGCGCGCACACCTTTCCCAGCCTTGTTGCACCACCGCTGTGCGAACACGCCCAGCCTGGCACGTACCTTGGCCAGCTCGCGCTGCTGCTCCGCCTGAATCTCGGCCAGAGACTTGATGTTGTCGTCGGGCGCCGGCTGCGCGGCCCACTTCAGCTTCTGCTGCTGTTGCTGTTGCTGCTGCTGGACGGTCAGCGCCAGCTCTTGCTCGCGGCGTCGCCGCGTCGCCAACTGCTCCTGGTGCTGGCGCTGTGGCGGGGAACAAACAGCGTTCGCACGCAGCACCCAAGTGGCTTGCCGGCAGTAACCAGCCCGGGGACTCAGCCTCCCACCAGACCCGCAGTCGTCCGGCCGGTCCCACAGCAACACTGCCGCACACCGCACCGTCGGACTGGCCGCGGACCACGGACCACGGCCATGCCCGCGCAGCGCTACGCTCGTCTCACTGCCGACCCGACTGGCTCGCTGCACAGGAGCTTTTTCGAAGCAGAGCCCACAAAAAGTTGATGTGCCCGGTCACGAAGCCCCTCATGCAGTGTTAGTCACATAGCCACCATAGTTAGATCAACCTGAGGCCTTTCGCGCAGAGGTCTCACGTCCAGCCAGCCGGGCTATGTCGCCTTCTATGTCAGGGAGAGGAGCCGGCCGAGGGGTGATGCGCGGCGTACCTCTCGCCTGTCGCGGTCCTGCAGCCGCTGAATCTCCGACAGGCTGGGCGCCGCCGCCTGCTGGCTGCCCCAGGCCGGCTGGGCGGGCGGCGGCGCCGGCTGCACCCGCTGCTGCTGCTGCTGCTGCTGCTGCTGCTGCTCCTGCAGACGCTGCAGTGCGGCCTCCTGCGCGCGCCGCTGCGCCGCCTCCTCTTCCTCCTGCCGCACCCGCTCCGCCTCCCTACACACAGAGCCGTGGTTGCCGTTGGTTTACAGCAGCGCGGCACGAGGGCGGCACTGAGCTTGGCTGAGCCCTCCGGTCACGGCGACCACGGCGAGACACGACAGCGCGACGTCTCTTGGCTCGCTCCCGGAGAACAGGGGCACAGCATACGACAGTGAGCAATCTCGTGGCTCAGTTGCGGAGAACAGGGGCACAAAAGACGTTCGGCTGACCCAACCAGTCAGCATAAATTATTGAATGGCAAAACTCAGTGTTCGACAGCAGCTTCCCGCGTACAGATTCAATGTTATTGACAGAATTCCATGTAACTGTCACGCAAGGATTAAGAGAGCACGCTGACTTTTCCACCATGGCAAAAAGAGCCAGAAATAGCTCTCTTTAACTTAAGTTCTCTGGTACCTTACACAGAACTAGAAACTGGTGTCCAAACTTTAGTGTTCAACAAGCCAATACACTGACCTAACCATACACTGTATTTATCCGCTATCCTAATGGAGGGTGCACCGCCACTCACTCACCTCTCCCGCTCCTCCTCCTCTCGTCGTAGCGCCTCCTCCTGCGCCTGACGCTCCTCCCTCTTCCTCTGCTCTTCCCTCTTCTTCTCCTGCTTCCGCCTCTCCTTTTCCTCCCTGAGCGCCTCCTCCACCCTCTTCTTCTCCTCCTCCTCGCGTATCCGCTGTTCCTCCTGCTGCCGCTTCTCCTCCAGCAGCCGCTGCTCTTCCCGCTGTCGCTCCTCCTCCCGCTGCCGCTCCTCTTCACGCCGTCGCTCCTCCTCCTCGCGCTGTCGCTGCTCCTCCTCACGCTGCCGCTGCTCCTCCTCGCGCTGCCGCTGCTCCTCCCGCAGTCGCTCCAGCTGCTCCTGGCGGCGGCGTTCCTCCTGCAGGAGCTGCTCCTGGGCGCGCCGCTCCTCCTGCCAGCGGCTGGCCTCCAGCCGCAGCCGCTCCTCGTCTCGCTGGCGGGCTGACTCCTCTAGCAGCTTCCGTTCCTGTCGGCCGGCCCCGCCCACATCGTCAGCACCGCCAATCACGCCAAGCGCTCGTAGCAATACGGGTAGTCTGTCATCACACGCGGAGAAAGTCTCCAAATAGTTTCAAGGTCGCACGAACACTGCACAAATGCATCTTTCCTAACCACCTGAATGAGCCGTAACGGAACTTGCGCGCGGCGTGTGTGTAAAAAACCCGAGCAAAAGCACCAACCGGCTATTTACGTTATGTCCAGACCGCCTTCGCCACCGGACGCCGTTGGCGGGTGGCCGCCTGCCGACGACGGTAGCGACACGGGGTCCGAGCGCCGGACGTACCTGAACCTCGCGCGCGCGCTCCTGCTGCCGCTGGGGGTCGTCGCGCGGCGCCCAGCCGGCGGCCGGGCCGGCTGCCGGGCGCCGCTGCCGGCCACGGGTGCGTGCCGGACCACACCGAGTCGGCCGTGACCGGCGGCGGCTGGCCGGCACGCGACAGCTGCTGCATCAGACTCTGGATGGGGTCGGGTGACGCTCCGGCGGCGCGGCCGGCCGCCGGAGCGCCGGGCGCCGCAGACGCCTCGCCCGACACCACCTTTGGCTGCTGCTGCTGCTGCTGCTGCTGCTGCTGCTGCTGCTGCTGCTGCTGCTGCTGCTGCTGTTGCTGCTGCTGTTGCTGTTGCTGTTGCTGCTGCTGCTGCTGCTGCTGCTGTTGTTGCTGCTGTTGCTGTTGCTGTTGCATCTGTTGCAGCATCTGCTGGAGTGCGCTGGGCGCCATGCCGCCGCCCGGGACGCCCATGCCCGGCATACCTGGCATGCCAGGCATACCGGGCACGCTGGGCAGCGTCACGGTCGGCTTGCCTATCATGCTCTGAAACGGGACCAGCGCTGTTGACCGACCCTGCCGAGCACGACGGCTGCCCACAGCTTCGCCCCGCGCCGGAAATAGTCCGGGAGCGCTGCCTCGCGGGCAGCCCAGCGTGTGGCAGCAACTCCAGCCAGTTGGAAAACCAACAGGCACCATTCACATCGGCCAAAGCACATTCCAACCTTATAAACGCCATACGAAAAAAGCGTTTAGCCCTTGCGACATGGCAAAAATTTGATCTTGTTGCGTGTAGTAATGGGAGAGACAACGCAAACTGTTCCAAAGTGACGCCTACGAGTCGCCTGGGGCGCCCCGACCATGTCGTTAAGGCCCGCACGATTGGGCTGTCGGCATCGGACATCACCCGCGCACGAGCAAGCCCAGGCTCTCGGCCACAGCTCGGTCACATACCTGCATGGAGAAGAAGTCCGGCGACGGCGCCATCATCGGCTCTGTCAGGTGCTGCGTGATCAGGTACTGGGAGAGAATCTGGCCGGGCGGGGTGGCCCGTCAGCCCTCCACACGCTCCCGGACATCAGCCCAAATCGAACACCACATCATGCATCCACCGACGCACTTCTTTCATACGCTCGGCTTCGCTAGTTGGACAGGCACCTCACAACAGAGCTCTCCTATATACTGCGTCTGCAGGTCCGGTGCACGTGGGACGAATGGAACAGGGCACCGGCACGATCAACAACACCAGGCATTTGTAAGTCCGTGGTGCTGCTAAGCGGATGAATGCGAATACCTGCTGCTGCTGCGCCGGCGGCTGGGCCCGGAACTCAGCCGACTGCTGCAGCTTCATCAGCGCAGAGGCCATCACCTGCTGCCGCATCTGCTGCTGCTGGATGAACTGGTGCTGCTGCTGCGCCAGCAAGAGCTGTTGCTGCTGGAACGCCGCTGCAATGCCGCCGTCTGGCTCCGGAACCTTTGGCTTCTGTGGAGCGGGGGCGCGGCAGGGGCGAGTTAATACTGCACGGCGTGCCAGCGTGAGCTGCTGGCCTGGCAGCGAACGAGCATGCAGCTCCATTAGCCCACAGCACAGGTGTATTACCCGTGTAAGACCAACCGCAGCAAAGCTACACAAACCGGGAGTCAGCTTCTGCAATGCTAACTCCGCTGTGGTGCATAAAAGGATAGCTGAAGCATCTCTCACTATCGTCGCGAAGGCAATGCAAGGCGTTTCACCCGATTATGACCACAGCATCACAACGTGCGGTCTGCAGTGCCGTCGGGCCGGACCCAAACACCGCCCAGGCGCTGCCGCCGTCCGCTCACCAGCACGGGCGGCGCCGCGAGACCGGGCGCGAACGGCACGCGGCCCCAGAGCGCCTCCAGTTCGCCCAGCTGGCTGAATTGCTCGTCGCAGCCGCGGCGCACCAGAAGGTCCGGCCGGAAGTAGCCGGACCGGTACCACTCGAGCATCTCGGCCGCCGTGAACGGGCCTGCCGGTGGCGGCCAACGTCACGCACGCCGCGGCAGCTGACAGGCCGGCGCCACGCTTCGGCGACATCGCCCAGCGCCGCACACGGCGGATACTGGACAGTTGGTCCTGGAGGAGCGACACGGCAGCCGGACATCTCCCAGCAGCCTTCAGGCGCAAACAGGGCACCGGCCGCAACAGCGCGGCATCTCGAACAAATATCACCTCTGCAGTTGGGCAACTATCTGGGTAGAAAACAGCCGACCACGCGTGACCGCAGACAGCGGCCGCGCCGCCTGCCCATACGGCCGACTGACCTTGCACCTGCCCCTGCGGGTCTGTGTAGAACCAGCGGTCGGCCCCCTCGCTGCGCTCTCGCTCGGGGCTGCCGGTGGCTCCTCCGACGACGGCAGCGGCGGCGGCGGCGGCGGCGGTCTGCGCAGCTGGCGCAGCGGCGACGGCTGCGGGAGCCGGGGCGGCGGCGGCCGGCGCCCGTCCGCCGCCGGCCGCCCGGCTCCCGCTCGTCCTCCATGAGGCCGGCCACCAGGTTGTTGGCCGTCTCCTGCAGCTGCTGCATGCTGGCCGCCTCGCGGCAGGGCGGCGCCGCCGGCTCCAGCGGGCGCGGCCGCTCCTCCGGCGCCGCCTTGGTCGGCGACGGCGGTGCCCGCTCCTCAGCGACTCGCTCCGGCTCTGCCGACGACGGCCGCCGGTTAGACGGCCGCCTCTGAGCCGACGAACAATACACAACCAAGCCGGCGTCGTCAACAAGTCGCTAGATAAACGCAGCCCTTGCTGACACAGTGACACCGCGGGCGGACCCCTTCAGCGGCGTCGGGCTGCGCGATGGACCCGGGGAGTCGGCAAAAGCCCCGGCGACTGGGACTGGGCGGCCACAGCGGGCCACCCAGCCACGCAGTCACAGCCGCGGCATCGCAGCGACTCGACAATGACCAACACAAACGCCGGACCACAAGCGCACATCATAGGCAACGACACATCTGTGCAGGCGGCCCGGAGTGCGCGACAGGCCGGTGCACCGGGGCGTCCGGGAGCGGCCGACCGCCGCCGCGCCGGGTGCGCACCTGTCTCAGCGGCGCGGCCCGGCGGACCGTTCGGCTCCGGTCGGGCCCGCTCCGTCTCAGCCGTCTTCTCCTCCGAGCCCTGCAGCCACACGGAGCATCCATCAGCCGCGCACCGGCGCGGGGCACCCGCAAGCACCAGCACACAACACAGATCGGGCAATGACGAGCCCAGAAGAGGCTTGGCAGGGGTCAGCCCAGAACAGCGGGTCGGCACGCAGCGGACTCGAGCAAAGTGCGGACGGTGACGAGTCCGACGCACACTGACGGGACAGCAGCGGCGAGCCCAAACGCAGGCATGAACGGGATCACTCCGAGCAGGGGTCTGGCAGTGACGACTCAAGAACAGAGAAGAGCAGCCGCCCGACGGGAATGACTCCAAGACCGAGACCTGGCAGTGACACATCTCCACCAGAGATCTCGCAGGCACACTCAAAACAGCGTGCCGACGGTCACACCAGGGCTCAGAACGTCAGCAGTGACAGCTCCAGACCGCGGCGGCAGCGGACCACAGAGTCGGGAGTGCGGCCCGGCCTGGTCGCGCGGCTGACCTCGCGGGAGCCGAGGCCCTCGTCGCCCCAGTCGCCGTGGAAGGCGCCTGTCGAGTCGAAGCTGCCGCCGGCGCCGCCCGATTCGGTCGCCCTGTGCCGCGGGAGAGGCCAGTCAGTGGGGCACAGTCGGACGGACTCGGTCAGAGGACAGGCGAACTCCAAGTGCCAACCGCCGACCACCGGCGCTCTTGGGCCGACCCGGCATGCCTCCAGCATCGTTGCCGCCATTGGTACTTCACGACGCACTTAACTGTTGTGGCTATATGGAGTCGCCTACCTCCCACCCCAGCAGGAACGGCAGGCATCGCGGTGAATCGAATCCCGTGCCTCTGGTTTCCCAGACGTGTAATGGTTAACACAGATCCGTTAACCACTACAACATCGGTACCCTCCGTCTCCAGTATCATGGGCGCGGGTGCGGCACCAGGAACCACCGACGGCGAGTCTCCGCCTCGTCGCGCCGTGTCCGCGGCGGCAGCCTTGCGCCCCGCCTCGCGTTTGATCACCACACCAAATCTCAAGCGCGCGCCGGCCGCCGGCGGCGGACAGGCGGCGCGCGGCCGCGGCCGTGACCGGAGCCAGCCGCCGCCCCGCTCACCACTCGGGCAGCTCCTCGCGGCCGTCACGGCGCCGGTCGTCGTCGCCGGGCCGGCGACGCTGACCAGGCGCCCCCAGGCCGGCGTCGCCCCTCCAGCTGCCGCCGCCGGCCGGCCGCGGCGCGCCTGCGGACGGCGAAGTGGGCCGGCGTCACCGCACAGCCCGCGCCACCCGGTCACGGGCGTCGTCACAGAGCAGTAGGGCTTCAGCAGGCGAGAACCGAGTACTGAGCGCGTACGCCCTGCCGTCGGGCGCCCCGTGGACACTGGACACTGGACGTCGTCCGGTCACGAGTGTCGTCACATAGCAGTAGGGCTTCAGGGGGCGGGGACTGAGTACTGAGCGGATACGCCCTGCAGTCGGACGCTTCGTGGACACTGGCGCGCAGGCGACTGGCATCGTCCGGGATATTTTGGGCCGTCTCAAGATCAAACCTTCTTAAGGTTATGCTACCAGGAACATGTGCTGTCAAACCGCAGGGGGGAGGGGGGGGGGGGGTGCTAGGATACATTGACTGGCCGTGCGACACTCCCGTCACGAATCATGCCTGAATCTCATCATGCCTGCTTGACTATGGCTCAGGGAACTTCGCCAAAATAATTCCCAGCCAGAGGCCGTACCCGACCACAAGCCATCACCCGCCTCGCATAACGTCCCTACTTTCTCGGCCCCCGGCAGTGGCCGGGCGGCGGCGACGGCGGCAGCGACTCACCCCACTTGTCGGCCGGCCGCGGCGGCACCTTGACGCGCCACCGGTCGTCGGCGCCCGCCGGCTCCCGGCTGCGCCAGTTGTCCGACGTCGAGCTGCGGCCCATCTCCTTACGCGGCGAGACGCTGTCCAGCCCGTTCCGGTCGCCCCAGCTGGGTCGGTCTGCGCCCTCGTGCATACTCTGCGGCCGCGGCGGACGGGTCAGCACGGCCAGGCCGTGGCAGGTCACAACAGACGACAGCGCACTGGCAGGTCAGCAGGAACAGGGCACACGAAAAGGTCAGCACAGGTCGGCACAGATAACCCCGCACGGACGGGTCAGCACGCCCAGGTTGGCAGGGACGGTCCGGCATACGCAGACAAGCCGGGGGAGGGAGTTCCAGCTGGGTCAGAAAACCATACATGGCATGATCAAGATCCAACTGGAGGACCATCCACACATCGAATGACTTTTGTAAACGTATGATCCTCGCCAAGAACAAACGACCCCCAAACGTGCACAGCTGACCCCCGACTCAGCTTCGTTAGAGCCACGGCGGGCAGCCGGTGGGCGTGCGCCACAACAGCGGCCCGCCAGATCGGAGGCGAACCGGCGGAGGACGGCCGACTCACGTGGGAACGCTCGAACGACTTGCCGCGCAGATAGCCGGGCGGACCCGGGTCGCGGCGACCGAAGCCCACGTCGTCGCCGTCGTCGTAGCCGGCGCGGAAGCCGAAGCCTCGCCCGCGGCCCCTCCCGCGGTCCATGGAGCCGCCCCGGCCGCGCGCCGCCGGCCCGCCGCCGCGGCCTGTCAGCCGCAGCACCGCCTCGCTGTTGACGCCCGAATGCCAGGCCATCTGACGGCCGGGCGGTGTCAGTCGCCGGCGGTCACGCGACCGCGGGGCGCGGCGCCAGGCGTCTGCTAACACGCCCTCCCGCCCAACGGGGCGCCGCCCCCGCGCAAACAGACGCGCAAACGCTGCTGAGCCACGCACGAACACCGCGGAGTTCAGACAGCGGGAGTTCCTGGCGGAGCGGTCACGTGCGGCGACTCCAGACAGCACCGGCGGCCGACACGGGCAGCGATGTCAGCTGGCCAGACCAGAGTACCAGACACTGCGGCAGAGCGTAGCATGACGAGCGCCCCACACCAAGGCGCCCATCCGCCCACGTACTGCTGTCAAATAAAATCCCGGCACCTGAGGAGAGCGACCAGGTCCGACAGCCCGTCCCGCCGTCTCTGTCAACAATTTGTGCCACCGTCTCTGACGACACTTCGTCCCAGTGTCTCTGACGACAGTTTGTCCCGCCGTCTCGAAGACAGCTCGTCACGCCGTCTCTGACGACAGCTCGTCCCACCCTCTAGCGACAGTTCCTCCCGCCGAGTCTGATGACAGTTCGTCCCGCCGTCTCTGATGACTCGAGCGTCTCACCTTTTCCTCTTCGGTCACGTTACTGAAGGCCACTGGCGGCTGGCACTTGTCGACGAAGACGGCGTCGTCCTGCGACATCTCGTCCGGTGCCAGAATGCCCTTCTCGTACAGCGCCAGCATCTCCTCTCGGTCGTACCTGACAACAGAGGGCCTGCCATCGACGCCTGTCACGCCGCCAATGCTGCTCCGCCCTCCGCTGCGCTTCTTGAGGGCCTAGAGCAGAACTCGGAGTGCTCTGCGGCCAGTGATCGGGCCTCGCAGGCCTTGCCGATTCATACCCGACCACGTAGAGTGGGGAACGAGGCAGTATTCCAACTTCCGGTTCAGGTTTATGTGCCGGGGCCATTTTTGTCATAATCTTGACCTGTAGAACTCAGTAAAACTAAGTGAGGTCCACTACGTTGTCGAAAGCCATGTGTTTTTCAATAATTTTTGGGGATAAACATATATAGCACTCAAACTAAAAGGCTCATGCAATTGCTCAATTAAGACAAACCGATCATCCGGATCCGGGGACGCCACAATCACTGGGAGAAAAACAGCACGGACGCAAGACATTCGCTTCATATCATTTGCTACGACGCCGTGGGACTTCTGCGGACTTGGAGCGCCAATTGGCAGCTTGGAACGCTGGGCCTTCAACCACAAATCCATGGATGAAATGGAAAATTAGCGCCCGTTCCTTTGACTTGGGTGGAATAAATTCGTGGTGTTATCCGTACCATGATCCTGGCATTGCCGTTCGGGGCTCGATCATCACAACGTGACACCGTAGCCTTGGGCATTTCCGTCAGGCTCAAACTACCAACACGCGGCCACAATGCTTTTCACGGAGGGGGTAAACGTCGCGTTTTGTCTGGACTCCTGCGAATCGACGGAGTCCCACGACATCGTTCCATATCTAGTGTACGCCCACTGGCTCCTTAGAGCTGACGGAGGGGAGGGGAGGGAGGGGGGGGGGGGGGGCATGTCCCGTGACACAACGCCATGGCTACTGGCGGTCGCCGTGCCCGTGTTCTTTGGCGGTCAATGTGTAGTGCAAAGGCAGTCATAACGGTAAATACGCCTTTCCCGTTTTTCTCCTTCGTTTTCACCAAATACTCACCGGACCGTGCGACCTAGCATATCACGAGGCCACTGAAAACCTGCGTCTTGTTTAACAAGGGATGGGCTCACAGTAGCCACCCGCTGATGATCATATGAGACTTTTCCTTTAAAAAGCCGACCCTGAACCCTAACACTGCCTTCACCAGGACACTGAAGATTTTACGAGCATCGACTGCAACTAGTGATGAAGCATCACCGAACACCCAATCACGTGACGAGCTACTGCGCTCATCTCTCATATGTTTACAAAGTGGTTTGCAAAGCGATCCCCAGCTCGATCAGAGCTACACGGACGTAGGATTTTTAGGGATCACATTGCTTTTTTTTGGTAGAAACACGTGCACACTAGTTCAGTTGCACACCTGCGGTACCGTGACATAATACACCCCATTCTGTACTGCTTCGCTTCGCACTAACTGTCCTTGTTTATGGGGCTTTTTGGGTATGCCGATTACTGAAGTCCCATTTTACACACAATTGTGTTAATTAACATAAGAAGCACACATGTTAAGTCCAACATCTGATGTTCGCAAAGCACAGCCTGCCCGTCAACAGGCAACAACCTCACTCGTAATGTTGAGCAATGTGAGTGGCGTAGTATTCCACCAAAAGCAAACACTGTGTTTGCTTTTGGTGGAAAAAAACTACCGGGGCACACTGTGGACGCAGGTAGAGTGATCAATGTGACGTTTACCCTGCTACGTGGCATGATCTTGCATGAGCATAAGAGCAATAGGAGGGCAATCTCTCCACTTACAATTATATCGATTGCAACCATTTCTTAAGGGCACAAACAAACATAATTCCCCCGAAAGATTCTTCGGTCGCTGGAAATAACTATTGTTATAACACCAATGAATGAACAAACTTTGATGGCACTTCAGCTTAAGCGTAATTCATGAGCATTCATGAAATGCTACTTCAGCTTAAGCGTAATTCATGAGCCCAAACAGCCCAGTGTTCGATATTTGGTTGGTACTCACCATATCGTAGCATGGAATCGCCCAGTAGTTAGGCCCTCTATTTACAGTTAGAGTTCAGCTGAACAGCATGACATTCAAAGCTATTGGTTCATAGCCATCATCAAAATTCGAAAAACAGAAAAAATAGAGTTTCAATGCAAACATTCTGCTCAAAGCAGGTGATACCACACTGGCAAAAACATTCCACATGGGTACCCACCCAGTTTCAATAAGAAAGTGTATCAAATTCAGGATGAAACCGATTTGTTGGCATATTTTTGTGTATGGTTCTTCATCTTTCACCGTTCTCCCCTCCCTTGTTTTGCCAAAATATGTCCATAGGTCAGTAAAAGACCTAGTGGCACTCGTGAAGTCTACATCTTTTTCAAAACCACAGTCATAGCTTCTTACCTCCCAAATCATGCATTTAAGGGTAAGATCATAACAGGTTAAGCTGTGAAGCTAACAGGAGCATGGAAAACATTGCAACTGATACCATGGAAACATGGATGTGCAGTATTTCCTGGCCCGTAACACATGACGCAAACTGCTTTAAGCTGTTATCAAACTACTAACCTGGGATGTTCAGCATGTACATAAAAAACTTCCAACAAGCATGCATTCCCCTGAACTTGATGATACCACTCCCACAGATGTGTAGGTCATGAAGCTATCACCAGGAACTATTCTGAGATGAATCGGTTTGGCCTTAAGTGGTCCCCCAGCAGTGTACATCACAACCCTGCCACCCAGCACAGCTGTTTGTTCGCCGAAGCAGCATCAGCACACCCCAGCTGCAGCACCCACCGGTGTTCGGCCATCTTGTAACTGGGGAGAGTGGTGCTGGGGCTGGCTGGCGGTGAGCCGAGCCCTGTGGCAGTGCCGCTGCCGCCGCCACCACTGCTCCCGCTGCCATGAGACAGGGCTCGCAACCACTCCGGACCGAACTTCAGCGTCGTCTCCGTCATTGCAGCAACAAATGTGTCAACCTGAGGTCACAATGCAGACTGTGTGAGCTGACCTGGCTCGGCTCCACGTCATGCAGGGACTTTGGGTTGGGACCTCTACATTCACCAAATGGACAGGGAGTACCACACCATGTCACCACAGCAGCAAACATGTCAACCTGAGGTCACGGTGCTGACCCTGTGGGCTAACCTGGCTGGGCTCTGAGTCATGACAGTGACTTGGGCTTAGAACCTCTGAATTCATCATATGGAGGGGGGGGGGGGGGTAACATGCCACTCCATGAAGATGCAATCAATGGATCTTACTTTACATCACTTTACTTATTATTCAATTTTTTCACCCATCTTGAACAAATGCTTCGAGGACAGCAGTGCAATGGAGCGTGGCTTTAGCACATGCTGTGATCCCAGTAACTATGCAGTTCAACTAAAGCATAATTTATATGAAGTAAAATGGTGCTAACAGATTTCAAGAGCATCACATCCTAAGTGCTGAAAATGAAAAGACAAATACAATAAGAACATTTCACACAAAGAAAAGACTACTGCAAACCAGACAGAAAAATACACTTCCAACATCAAGGTGTTGCTGATAACAGTGACACCTGTGCAGGAAAAATTAACAAGCCATAACCTCTCACAAAAACCTGCATTCTGTAGGCACAGTGAGATAAATAGATGCTCATGAAGACAATTTGGGCTATATGTACCAACTGCAATAGTCATCTTGAATCAGAATAAAAGAAATCCACAGAATGTTTGTTTCATTACATATCAATGTTTTATAACATACACCCCAGCACCAGTATATGCAAACATGTGCAATATATGTGTTAAGATAGTTTTCTTCTCAGTACTGATCTTCTGAGATTAAATACAGCAACCATCTCTGCATTAACAATCTTTTCCTGGCTGTTTTTCTAACTCAGTGTATGCCCATGAAAGCTTCAGGAGTGTTCTTAAATGATGTTGCTGAATGTTGTTATTGATGAAATTGAGTGCTGTTGCTTGCCACAAACCAACAGTCTGACATGTAACTGGTGAACTAAGATGTGCATGTGATCTAGGGAGTATTCACTGCACCTGGGATGACAAAAAAATCTATCTTGCTGATGTCATTCATGACATAATACCCCAGATATTCTGAACCTTTGTGTATCAACAGAAAAGTGACCAAAACCTCCCTTTTTTTAAAGCCATCAAGAATCCACAGACCACAAAAAAACATGTCATGAAGTGGTAAACACTTGCAGCTTACTCTACATGACAGCACATGAAATGAATAACTTTTTGTGCATTTGAAATGCACCCATTGTGAGCATGATGTGCATACTGTCCCACTCAGCTGTTTGGTAAATTGTTTATCTTAAGTAAGACAGATGTTGTGATAGACAATGAGCGTGACAACCACATAAATAACGATGTCATTTTGCAAGCGAGTACCAGAAAAAAATATAAAGCAAAAGCCCATCGGCTGTAGCTGACATAAAATGTCAATAATTACCCTTACGACCTCCAAGCGGCCAGGCGCCCGCCTAGCAACTCACGCAAGCCAGCGAAACAAAGCTCACATATACGTTCGCGACGCGTGCGGAGCCGTTTACGTCAACTGCATGTTAGTAATGTTCTGCTTGCAACATCATCACAAAATATATAAAATATGATGTATTTAACTGCAGTGTAAACACGTGCATCACCTGATATCCCCGAGACTCCGTATTACAGCAGAAGAGGATGTATTTCCGCGCAAAGAACACGCTATTCAGCCAAGATGGCAGAGCAATTAGTGATGGAATTGTTGAACGAACTGACTTAAAGCCATACACTTGATTTGAGCTCTAGTAATGCAAAAAGTCAGACTTCACTGACAATTCTGAGAAAGAAAAAAACTTTTACATCAATCATCGATATTGTTTGTCGTGCAACGTAACTTCGTCAACTGCTTTGGAAAGAGGTGAAAAGGCGCTAACAGAATATGCATGCTATTTACTGTCATTAGAACCTTTTTGCTGCAAAGGTCTCAAGCTGCATGAAGTAAGTACGGGTCGTGTACAGTTCACCTCATGATATGGGTGATTTTCTGCTTTTGGCCAATCATATATCACACTCCAAAATGAAAAACCAATCGTAGGGCCAAATTGAAGCCAGATATTTGGCTCATCGGTTACCTCGAGCATGTACTCCATTTCGCATTCCGACGTAAACAAATCACAACCGATGGTCGAGGTCGCATCTAAACAAGGAGAGGTCGCTGTCTCATCAGGCGGCCGGGCTGAAGTTGCCTTTGGTGACTGCGGGGAGAAATCCAGTCGTGTTACGGAACGCTGGATTTGGTTGAAGGTAGGTCGTATTTGTGGGGATTTTCTAGAATGCGTGCAATGCGTTGCAGTGTACAAAGTGCGGTAGATAGAATCATGACACGCAGGAAATGATGTGCGCAGCTTCGACCATATGCAAATGGGACAGATGGCTTTGTCCAAACCTTTTTGATGGTTTTGTTCCAGAATGTAATGAGTATGCGGTGTTCGTTATCGCGCGGCCGAAACCACCTCCTCGATGCCATATCAAGATGGAAGTTATTTAAGTGTTAGCATTTTGAGCCTGGAACATATAGGTCATAAGAAATACAAGCTCCAGGGGATAACAGAGTTTGCATGGCTCTTAGATATGCTAGCCTAAATTTTGCTTGAAACACCAATGTGCCAGTTACAGCTCACCAATATCAATTGCATGCCCAATGTAATATACAGGTTAGCTGTGGATTGGGCGAGGTGCGCATGCTGGCAACACGGTGCAGCAATTAGTGGTAAGAATGGCTAAGCCTGCTGACCTCTCAAATATGCCAAAACATGTCTTCCTGTATTTTACCAGCTTACCTCTCAATGCCTTGGGGGCTGGAGTCCCCCTGGCTGGATGGCAACCCACAGCCCTGGTGTTTCTTCCTAACTTTAGCTTGATTCAGCCCTCATGAAATCAAGTCTGTCTGGCTCATAGCACTTGAGGTCAATTCCAACTTATTTCAAGGGCATGGTGATTCTTTTTTAACTGACTTGATCCAGTGGAAAATGGTTAGCACTGGAATGGCTCTGACATTCATTCTGGTGTCGAGAGGTTGCAAGATACAGGTGTTTTTTCCGATAGAGGGCTTCCGAATTATTTACACACAAGGCTTTAAAGGGAGTATCCCATCTTTTGGGCATGTTTCAAAGACATACTACAGTGAAACCTCAGGGCTAATAAAAGCACTTGGTGGTGCTGGCGCAGCACAGTTAGTGCGTAATAAATATATCAATGTATTTATTTTTTAGTCTGAATTATGCTGTCGACTCTTTGTAATAGCACTATGCATCTTCTCTGCAGTTGCACAGCTGTCATGATGATCACTGTGCCCACCTCTACTGGTGGAAATAAAAGATGGTTTGTAATTGGGCCAGGTGGCAAGGGCCTGCTACCAAGAAGTGCATTGGTTTAAGTTTGAACAAGTGGGTCACATACATCATGTGATGCTCCTATTCCCAGATGCAAAGAGGCAGTGAAATTGAAAAGAGCCACTGTGGTGAGAATGGTAGGGGAGAAATCAAAGCTGCAGTATAGCATTCCATTGTTTTTGTGGGATAATAGCTTCATGTTTGCAGGCATTTTTGTGTGAACAGAGTGTATGAAGCTTTTGTAATAGTTAACACACATTTAGGTGTATAAGTGTGTTGCCCAACATAACAGAATACACATGTTAGAAAAGCAAGACAAATTGAATGAACTGCTTTCAAAGCCACAAGGAGGGATTCAGAGAAGGTTTTTTCCCACTGGGTGGCCTACTTCAAATGGACATTCTGAGCTGTTTTGATTTTGAGAAAAATGATATTACTGACCAAATTGTAAGCCTCTGGTATAACAACATGTCAAAAATACAAGGAAATTGAATGCCCTTGAGCAAATGGTGTATGATGCATGATTAGTCAAGAAGAGGACAATGTTCATGCTGCATAGTTGGTGCATTTAATTCATTTTTTCATAAGAATGGTCAGAGAATTGGGGAGAGAGGGGGGTACAGTCATCACTTGTACTTCAATTCATGCTAACTTATCACTGATTCAAGACAAAGCATCACTTATTTTCAGCTCTGACATGTACAAGTTTTCAATGCAGTTCACTCTTTTGCAACTGATGTGAAATTGTCCAGAGTAAATTCCAGAATTACTCCACACTCCACAAGGAGCTAAGTGTGACATTGGTTTCCTGATGAGCAGGCATGGGGATGAAGCAAGGCTTCATCTGGCTTCAAAGCTGAATTTGAGGTGGAGGCTGGTAGCCTCAAAACTGAGAGCTGCATGCCAAAGCCAGTGCCTTTGAATCTGCACACATAAAACCAAAACCAGCAGCTTTGAACCTAGGAAAGATGATGCTAAAACCAAACAAATCAGTTTAAAATCCCAAGGCAGAACCCCACTGTAGCATACAACATCGTTTTTTGCGGAACCCAAATCATCTTTGTGTCTGCCTCAACTGTGCGCAGTCAGGAAATGTCGCAAGGGGTTTGCGGAATGATTAGCTGCTGATACCAGTACAGGTGTAACCTTTTTCGTGTATTGGCTTACGTGATGGAATGTACACAACATTTCGGGGAGCCATTCTTGGTTATCTACCAGTCATCTGGTGTTTTTGTCCTGAGAATGTCTGGCCGGTTTTGGCTTTTAGCCATGTACGGGTATGCATCGCAGCTTTGAAAGTTGTGTGGATAATGGGATGGCGGATTGGGCAAGGCTGTTCAATGAAATAAGCAGCCACCGCAATAAAAAAAAATCAGCTTGACAAAGCGGAAGTCAGTCGCCAAGATTGCACGGAACTGCAGCAGGAGTCGTTATTCAAAACTTGTTCAAAAACCCACCCGAAGCCAGCTGTTAAGATGGCACGGAAACAAAGTGGAGGCCAACAGTTTGAAATGCATTAAGCCGAAGCGGGATCTAGCCGTGGAAAATGACTCAAAGCCAAGCCCGATCACATGTCATCGGAGAACTGCGGCTTCGCGGCGCCGAACGGAAGCCGGCTCCGTCCCCATGTCTGCTGAGCTGGTATGAAAGAAATTCCAAATTGGAGTTGTTTTATCATTCTGCACGATCAAATTGCCATGCTTTTATTTTGGAGTCTACAATAATTCTTGCTTTTTTCATGTTTCGTGATCAATCGCAAGACCGCATAGTTGTTGGCAGTCTGAAGCTCTTTTTTAACTCTTGACATTTACCTTAGCTTATAACTAAGGCAAATGTTCGTTTTGGAAAGGAGCTTTGATGTTGTCATTGAGGAAATAGTGAGCATGTCTCTTTGTCATAATTTGGGACTTTCCTGTCATTGATGTCAATACTATTATTTATATGACTAGTCAGCCGAATCTTTGGCTCTCCTCTCTCCTCAAAGCCGGCACTGACGACACATACTGGGGCCACGCTGACAGCAGCCGATGTCTGGTGGGCATCGTGTGAGACGCGGCGTCTGTGGCGCGTTCGCAGCCATCAGCGCCGATCATGGTGAACGCCGGGGCGGCCGCACGGCGGGAGCGGGAGCGGGAGCGAGAGCCGGCTGAGCTGGACCGACGGCTGGCACACCTGCCGCCGCCGCCACCGACCGGCGCCACCCGCCACCGGCGCGACTTCGACCCGCGCGTCAAGGATGCCTGTCTGCGCGACGCTCGCCTGCGGCGCGGCCTCAAGATCTCCAAGGCGATCGTGCTGGGCGACGCCGGCGTCGGCAAGACGTCGCTGGTGAACCGCTTTTGCCACCAGGTGTTCGACCACAACTACAAGGCCACCGTGGGCGTCGACTTCGAGGTGGAGCGCTTCGACGTGCTGGGCGTGCCGTTCAGTCTGCAGGTGTGGGACACGGCCGGCCAGGAGCGGTTCCGCTCGATCGCGGCCGCCTACTACCGCGGCGCGCGCGCCGCCCTCCTCTGCTTCGACCTGACTGACCTCATGTCGCTCTCCCACACCGCCCAGTGGTGCCACGACGTGCTCGAGGCTAACCCGGCCGCCAGCCCGCCGCTGCTCTTCCTGGTGGGCACGAAGCGCGACCTGGTGACGCCGCCGGCGCTGGCGCAGGTGCTGGAGCTGGCCGCCGGCATGGCCACCACGCTGGGCGCCGAGCTGTGGACCGTCTCGGCGCGCGCCGGCCTGCAGGTGGACGCGCTCTTCTGCCGCGTGGCGGCGCTGACATTCGACGCCAGCGTGGCCGCCGAGCTGGTGGCCGATGACGCGGGCCGACCTATCGGCGACGCCGTCACGCTGTCGGCCACCAAGCGGGACGGCGGCCTGCGCGGCCGGCTGGGTCGGCCGCTCGCCTGGTGTCGGCCACTGTGACCGCCCTCGGCGCCGTCCCTTTCCCGGGTGCGGTGGCTGTCGTCCTGGCAACCCCGTGTCCGCCTGTGCGCCCTCTCCGTCCACTGCAGCCGTCTTATGGACGGCCGGACCCGGACAGCCTGTTGTCAGCCATGACACCCTGTTGGTCCAGGCGCTCCGTCCACCTTGACTCCCCGTCCGCTCGGACACCCTGGCCGTCCTGGGAGATCGCCCTCTCATGCATTGTTTCCTCTCGCTCTCTCTCACTCTCTCTCTCTCTCTCCTTGTAGCAGGCGGAGCTGTGTTGTTTCCTCCCTCTCTCCCTGTAACAGGCGGAGCTGTGGTCGTCCGGCCCTGAAAACTGTCTCAGGAAGGCGGTCGTCTCCTATCTAGTCCTAGCGGGCGCGGAAACCGACGGCGGTCGGCATTCTCCTGGACCGTTTCGTCGTCGCTCTCACCGCCCTCCTCCGAAAGACGTCCTCCGGATCCTCCTGGCCATCCTCGAGGACCGTTCTGGCACACGCCGTATCAGCCCTCTGGCCAGCGACCCGGACGTGCCGTGTTCCGGAACCCTCCTACCAAACATAACCGTTCGTCCCGAACCTTCCTACCAAACATAACCGTCCATCCCGATCTTTCCTACCAAACATGACCGTTCGTCCCGATCCTTCCTACCAAACATAACCGTTCGTCCCGTTTCTTCCTACCAAACATAACCGTTCGTCCCGAACCTTCCCACCAAACATAACCGTTTGTCCCGATCCTTCCTACCAAACATAACCGTTCGTACCGATCCTTCCTACCAAACATAACCGTTCGTCCTGAACCTTCCTACCAAACATAACCGTTCGTCCCGAACCATCCTACCAAACATGACCGTTCATCCCGATCCTTACGCATTCCCTTGTTTCCACGAGTGTGCTTTGTGCTGTTTGCCTCAGAGTTGTCCTTATCTGAACGTATTGAGCGCGTCCGTCCATTGGTGCTGTGAGACCTCTGCGTCCTTCCGAAGGCGCGCGTGACATGTACCACGCGCCTGGGGCCGTCCCATGCCCTTCTTTTTGCTCATGGCGACGGCTTGTGGCCCAATATTTCGTTAGGCGACTTCATGGCGTCGTGTTTCCCATCGCCTGTGTTTTCCCAGTCTGTGCCGGTGTCCCCCCCCCCCCCTGGCCCCGGCTCCCTCCTGGTGCTGGCACGGAATCAGCCACCGCGCCCTGACTTTGATTCAGCTGCTGGCTCGCAGCTCGCCCGATAGTGCTCGCAACTTTGGGATAGAGCGAATGTCCGACGGCTTGCTGGATGGTCGATCAACATCTTCGGACACTGTGTGCGCGCTTAGTAAGCGTGGCCATCTATTGGTGTAGTCTGTCCGAGATGGTACTGCTGCGGATCACAGAAACTGCAAGCGTAGTCCATGTAATCGCACCTCAGTGTTTGCGTTGGCACCATATGAATGAGAGTGATATGTATCACAAAAACCTCGTTTTGCTTGGTTAGCACAGTGGTTGACTGCTATCTCTACGATGGCTTGTAATTTATTCCGTTCGAAGGACGGGACCAGGATGTAATAGATGTCATATTGTGATCATTGGTTACAAACTTCTTATCTAGTCATTTTGATCAAGTGAGGCTGGGTCTGCTTTGCCAAGCTGTACTGGAACCGCAGCTCGTGGCTCTTGACCTTTGATGTGTTTGTATATGGTGCTAGACTAGGCACCTAAGCATGTTTTTTTCGCTTTGTGTGGCGCTCTTAACAGGGTGCGCCTTTTGTATCTGCAAGTGCTTTCGTTATCAGTTGCCATAGAATGAAGGGCAATTTGTGGATGAGGTTTTGTTGAATAGACAGGGTTGTTAAATATGCAACCTGACATTTTTAGTTCAAGCATATCTTGTAAGCACCTTTCTCATGTACTAGTCATCTGAACGAGGCGTCGTGAGTTTTGCCCAGTCGATGCAACCTTGTGTGTTTGCTATTATCGCTTTGTATTTTTATATCTCTGCTGGATGTGTTGTACCTTGCGCAATGTTTGGTACAATCTGTTGTAGTACTGAGCCCTTCGCCTACCGTTTTTGTGTATGTCCCATACGTGTTGGGATTTCATGGAATAAACATGACACTTGGTCGACCACCGATTGCTTTTGGTCGCTTGTTACACCTGGTTTTACTATCATGTCATCAGCCTTCGCCGTTTCAGTTGGTTCCGCTGTGATTGCCGCCGGGAGAGGGGAGCGGCATGCCCCGGTGTCACTTCCACCATCTGCTGTCCTGGAGCAAAAATAGAACGACAGGGAGGCAGCCCTGCACGTCTTGATTTAACCCAGATCATTTAAGGCTACTTGTCATGGTTAGCCTGGCAACAGCTGAAACGGGGGTCAGAGCTGTGACCATCTCTGAAGGTTTTGCGTGTCTGCCGGGGGAAGTCGGCTGAAGTGGAGCTGTGCCTATACTGGCGCCCGAGAGGCAGCGAGATGCCATCCCGTCACCCAACAGAACATTGACCTGGGATGACCCAGAATGAAAGAGGATGATGCCGGCGCACTGGTAACAGCTTTTTATACGGCCTCGGCGATTTCCGCGGTTTGATCTGTTATAATATTGCCATGAAAATGTGTCTAAGCCACCACTGACATACAACAGGCATTTTGGTTCATGACATAAGTCAGCTGGGCTGGCTTGACTTCGATGCTCGACCTCAGTATTGCCTAGACAGTCACGTAGAGTATTCTATCTTTCATTACTTTGTACAGTATCGCGTCAACGAACTTCTTATACTTTATTTACGCCCGCAGAACCTTTAGCCCAGCGGCTGAGCCAAATATATCACCAATAAGGCATGGGGCAGTCATTAGCAAGAATACAGGTCTTGGAGTGTGAAACTCGGTGTGTAACCAGCAAGCCGTTTTGTAAGCCATTAACCATTTAGACAACCACGGGTGTGGTTAACAGGTGATACCACGTATTCTCGCGACCCCCGTGTATGTGGGGCAGATCGCGTACACCAGCCATTAGCTGGCTTTGGTGTCCACTGGCGGGGCCCTCGACCGAGCGTCCGCACGTGCTCTGCGGACGGGTCCTTGTGCGGGCCAAGTCTCGGTGGGGAACTCCCAAGCACGCATAGCCTTTCCCCCACCGCTATCCATTGTACGTCCCATAGCCCAGAAACTGCCAAGAATATCTGAAAAGGCTCCAATCCAAACCAAATCATTCCAAAGGCAGCCAGTTAACAGACGCGTAGATACAAGTGAAATTGAACGATAAAAGCGAGATAGACACGTGAATGAGAAAGGGAGAGAAGGTGCGGCGTGTCAAAAGTGTGAGATGTGTGCCGAGAAAGGGAGAGAAGGTGCGGCGTGTCAAAAGTGTGAGATGTGTGCCGGGGCGGCGGCGCGCTGACGGCCGCGGCCGGTCCGCCAGGGATGGAGCTGCGCGCGCGGCTCGAGCTGCAGCGCGGCCGGCTGCGGCCCGCCGAGAGTCGCGTCACCACGCCGGACGGCGCCGTGTTCGTGGAGCGCCGCGGCCTCGACGGTCGTCTGGAGCGGCGGCCGGCCGGCGCCACACTCGGCTACGTCGTCAACCCGCGGCCCGACCTGCAGGTGGGCCGGCCTCGGCCCTGGCTCTGCCTCGGCTCGCAGGACGTCGCGCACGACCTGCCGCTGCTGCGCCAGCTCGGCGTCACGCACGTGCTGAACGTGGCCACGGGCGTGCGCGACCTGTTCCCGCAGGAGCTGACCTATCTGGCGCTGCCGCTGCTGGACGTGCCGGAGCAGCCGCTGGCGAACGTCTTCCCTGCCGCCTTCGACTTCATCGAGGCGGCGCGCGGCGCCGGCGGCCTCTGCCTGGTGCACTGCAACGCCGGCGTGTCGCGCTCTGCTGCGCTGGTCACCGCCTACCTGATGGAGCGGCAGGGCCTCTCGTTCAGCGAAGCGCTGCAGCTCGTCAACGAGACGCGCCGCGTGCGGCCCAACCCAGGCTTCCAGAGCCAGCTGATCGACTTCGGCCGACAGCTGCGCGAACAGCGCGAGACAGGCGCCCGCTGACCGGTGCCGCGGGGCCGGTAGGCTGGCCAGCTGGCCGACACCGCTGATGGTCTGACAGGCCGGTCAGCTGACTGGTGGATTGCTCAGCTGACTGATAGACTGGTCAGCTGACACTGATTCACTATCTAATACCATTTCACAGTGCTAACGCAGTTGATTCGCAAGCTTTTAGCTAATATTACCAAGCAGTACGGGTTCTTGAGTTTTAATTATCAGTGTTTTAGGCTAACTTGGTCCGTAACGTGGTTGAAGTAACGTTGACAGTTGACTTGGTGAGATGTGTCTTCTTCGCACTGGGGTAGGGGGAGCTTCAGTTTGGGAGTGGCTCCAGTTGGCACATGTACATATAGAGCCCGATCGCGTTCTAGATCAGTTAGCGTGTAAGTGTTGGCCTTCGGCTGATGTGTAGAGCTGTGTTAGGGCCATCACTTGCTAATGCTCGAGCGGTGTGGCTGCGGGGTCGGCAGCTGGATGCCAACGGCTGCAGGATGTCTGGCAGGGTATCCAGGATACGCGGATTGGACTCGTGCATCTACGGTATCGGTGATTGTTTGTGCGTTTTTTTTTTGCCGGCTTGTGGCATAAGCTATCAGGTTATTGCGGTTGTGAAAGATTTCTTGGTTGACACCGATGTGTTGGATTATTTCACATCCTGTTTGATATGAAAACAGGCTTAGCGCTGTGGTATGTATCGTATATTAGGCTTGTTGCCGAGATATTGATCACTATCCGTGGCCTTTCCCTGCGTATCGTGTGCTTGAGTGCTCTAATCTGTGAAATTGTCGATAGGCATCTGATGACCCTCTGTCGTTGCCATCGCGGTATCCGTAGTCGTGTCAGCTGTGTTATGTTGCGACGGTTATTTCTCGCCGTGTCTGTCTTTTATGGAACCTCGAGCTTACTTTGCCGGAGACGACAGTGTGTATGGTGTGCGCAGTGTGTGTCACGGGAAAGCGCGACACGGGCAGCGTAACGTCAGTGAGTTCCCTAAGCGACCATTGTCCGAATGGAGGCTCCGACAACAGACGTATAGTGTGAGGTACAGCACGCGACGTGTTTTGGGGCCCGGTGTCGGCGTGAGTGTAACCATGGTGCTTTCGACGCTGGTACGAAGGGCTCTGCATTCAGTTCGTCGCACTTGACCGTGATGAAGGCCCGTCTTCCATCGCCGGCCCGGACAGCTGCATGCCACTGCTCCGAAGCTGGTCAGGCTGGCTCGTCCAGATCCTTGGCTCCGATATCGCTCCGCTGACAGCGCTCAGCGGCCGTTGCGCAAGAGTTGATGGTTCCCAGTTCCGTATAGTTCTCACGCCCAGTGACAGTAACGTTGAAGGACGCAAATGCTCCGCTAAGCCGGCCGGCCGGGGCTGCGCCAGCGCAGTGCCGCTGAGCGGCGCCCAGCGACGCCCGGAGTCGGTGCCGCTGCCTGCCCGTGGCGCCAGCGCTGTCACTCGGACCGGTCCTATCTGCGTCTTATCGGTCGACTCTCGAGCCGGCGGGCTCATGATGCGGGGGGCTTCGGCAGGTGTTATGACTGGCCATGGTGCACTGGTACTGCTCACGCTTTCATTGGCCTCGGGTGACGTGGAGAGACGCGGGCAGTGACAGGGTCGCCGTGTCTTCGAACTGGTGGGTAACTTCTCTCAACTCTAACATTGCGATTGCTGCATGAGTTGAGATCGTGCACGACCCATCTCGTTTGTTTGCTAATTTTTCGGACAGCCTGCGCTTTAAATAGGCAAATGCTTTGTTGCGTACGCACATTTGTCAGCCATTAATGCTTTTCAATACATATGTCGATGCAACTTAGTTTTGTAGTGTCTTTGGTGGGATCGGCAGCTCTGGTCACATGCGCGTCCGCGGCACTGTGAGCGACACGCACGACCCTCAGCCAACCCCCAACCGAGTCATATGGGTACGGAGTCATGCAAAATTATGCGCACGTGAATCCGAACTCGTCGCTGTTGGAAAGGGATTCATTGGGGCCCTGCGTCAAGCTCCACGCGTCCTCATCAAGACTGGCTGCACCCCTGCACGCACCCTTGCTCGGCACCCGACGGCATGCCATCTCAACCGTCAGGGCTGGGCGGCTTATGCACCAGCCGTACAGCCGCCTCAGGACTGCCGCCTCAGATATCGCCACCACGATGTCGGCTCCCAAGGTCGGCATGGAAGGCTCAGCACTATCATTGACCGTTTGGATGCGACAGTGGCGTAAGTGGCTGGATGCGACAGTGGTGTAACTGGCTGGATGCGAAAACGGTGTCACTCCGATGCTTCTCAGGATGTCGTGTTATCTCATGTCGCCGCCATTCAACTGCGAATTGGAGCGCATGGCTACCTCACCCATATTTAGCATAGCTTTCCGGCACATGCACGTTGGCAATGGCCCGTGCCACTCCGCCGCGTCAGAGCGGCACGGGTGTCCATGTGTATCCTTTTGAGTGGGCCACTGGCCTCCAATGTCGGATTTGCCCCCCCCCCATTTTTCCAATGGTGGGTAACCCAATGGCACTTAGAACGAGCAGGACATTAAAATCGGTGATCGAAATGAAATAAGTTGTAAAGAACGGTTCTGCTAATTGTTTCATAGGTAAAATGAACAAAGAAAGTGAACACTTCGGTGTAATATTCAGCTAAGTGCAGCTGACGGGGCTAATCACTCATCTAAAGCTCCGCGTTTGTAGCGAGTTACTTTTTGAGTCGCGCATAAAGCATAGGTAGAATTACGCAGTTGAATGGCTCGTTGACTTTGGTCTAGTTGTGTTCAGTTGCCCGAGTGTTTGGCATTGATCAGTGGCGTTTCAATTTCTGCGAACTGCAGCAAGCTCCGTTATTTTGTCACATCTTGTCGGAGGCTGAAAACGAACAGGTCTAACGTTAAGATCCAATAACGTGAAGTTATTAACTGTCTACGTCCGGAGGAAACCTTAGAATGTGCCGGGCTTCACTTTAGCGTGAATATTCGATGAAACTGATAAGAAAATCCGACGACCGATACCATCCGACTAAGCTGATGGTGGCAATCGATCGCCACTGACCATCAAAATAACGGCAGCTGTGTTGAACACGCCAAACGCGGTGCTGAGTTACAGCCCGCTTTGCGTCTACCAGCCTGGGATTCCGTGTCACGCTTTAGTACTCGCGCACATAAACTTGGACTTTTTACTCCCGAAGCTTTACACGTCCCGTGTCTTAAGCCACATAAATCCTGCGTCGACTACCGAAACCTGGTTTCGACGATGGACGCCAAACGAACAGGGAGGGGGGGGGGGGGGGTAGGGGTGCCCCAGCCCCATAACGCGGAGAGAAAACTGGGTTAAATCCGCGGTAAATTCTGCCAGTTAGTGTATTCAGGGCCAGGTTTTCCCCGCCCAGCCCCAAGCCCATTTTTGCGCAGTTCCACCCCTGTGGTGGAGGCTTAACGTCCGTGACACGCGACGGATTCGCCACCAGATTGCTTCAGCTTCAGGTCTGAGACTCAGGGCCCATTTCCCGAGCAGGGACAAGGCCAGGCCCGCCATTGACACCGGGCGAGCCCTCAATCAGTGAGAGACCCTCTGTGTCGGTCAAGGGCCCACAGTACCTATCAAGGGTCATGTATTGGCAAGGTGCCCGAATCTGCCGGGGGCAATGTTCGAGAGGGACCGTACAGGTTCCCGAAGTGACCTGCGATACCGACGATCAAGGGCCGGATTGGAAGGCACCGTGATTTGGTGATAGTTCACGTTAGGGCCCTCGTCCTGCGGGCGGGGCCCTCAAGTGTTGATCAGAAGGTCGCTTGCCCCAAAAGTCTAAGGTTATTTATCTACTTCTCGGATTCTGAACAAAGGATGAACATTCCCAAGCGAAGATGGGTTGGCCATGTCGATGCAAATTCATCAGCCAACTTTGATCTAAATCTGCGTTCACCATGTTTCTGTAGGTACAACGGTTACAACCCAGGACAATTCGGGCACATCCCCTGAATGCTATCGACTTAGAAAGAGTCTACTTAATCAGTGCAAGAGGAACAGCGTCGGCTGTTTATTCCATGCAATCACTGGACGACTGGTTCCTTTAGTTTATTCACTTCAAAATACAAGTAAGGATTTATGTGTCGATATCTTGTGAGTTCTGTGGAAGAAAAATGTAAATATTGGCATAAAGCAAAGAAAATCGTGTCCCCGAAATCAAGTGGGCCATATCTGGGGATTTATTTGGTAGGAACCTTTCACCACAAGGCCGCCCTTTGTCAACCCTGTGCCCCTCCCCTTACCAAGAGTGGCTGTGCACCTGCGGGGGTCCGGCCATTGAGCACCGAGAGTAAGGGTATATTAGTACAATCGCATGGTCACGGAAGATCCAGCTGAACTAGCAACGTTTTTACAATCAAGCTGCGTTGCACATGCCACTCACCTTACGGGCATTTCATTTGCCAAACGTTCGAACTGTAGCAGGTTGTGGTCGTTTTCCCCTCAGAGAGAAAAAAGCTTGCAACAGCGTTCCCCTGAAGCACAGAAAGCTTGCAATGCGTATGTGTTCAAATGAGTGGGGAAAGCCGTTCTGAACAGGAGGGAATCTACTTAAGCGTATTTGGGGAAAGGCTGAGAACCATTTTCGGAACTGATGTGTGGAGGAATGCGTATGTTTCGTTTTAGATTAGCTGAAATGCATACGTTTTATCAACGCAGCTTTGGTGTACTGAAAACCACCGTGTAAACCAGCTTTAATAGCAACAGATATTGTAGAAACCGTTAAAAACCTTTGCATCCAGCGTTCACTAAAAGCCTACTGACGTCGGCAAATGCCTGAACGGAGAGAGCATGTGTCCCGACAGGTAAGAAACGAGTGTTGCATTGGCTCACATCCACCGTACCTTTAAACATTGCTTGTCATGGCCCTTTGTTCACCAGGAGCTTAGATAAGCCAAGCAAAACGAAGCCGACAACGATTACGGCCCGTGTACTGTGGAAGATCAGATCAGCGGTACGGCCCGTGTACTGTGGAAGATCAGATCAGCGGGACACGTCACGGTACCTAAATCCAAGACCAAAAACAACACCAGAACACGAACCCCCCGTTCTTTAAAAACATGGGTGTCCCCTGGTTACAAATCTGACCACAATCCCTGCACAATACTGCCCATCACAACTGGCCAACGAAGGATCCCAATGATAGCATCAAACTTAACATCTGTTACCATAGTCCAACCACATCCTCCCTGATCATGAAAAATAGCCCTCCATGTGATTTGACTCCATTCAAAGGAGGGAATATCATGTGTCACCATAAACGCAACATACGGGACTGTGCGCTCGTACCTGATAATGTGTACATTGACCTCACAACAGCGATGCTCTCGACGTCCGGCCATGCACCAACAAATCGGCAGTCACGCGCGCACGCCCACACGGAGACCCAATACAAAACCCACTGACACGCCAAATGCTTAACAACACAACAACCATCGCACGCAATACATAGAAACGAAGACTCATCGCTCTAGAAACTATCAGAAGACTGAGACTCATCGTTCTAGAAGCGATACACACCCACAAAGAGGACCCTTTTATAAATGAACGTATGGACGTGGAGCCCTCCATCTGTACGGACGGCTACCATTAGGGTGGAGAGACCAGAAACATTGAGTGTTTTGCCTGACACAGATGACCGTCGTCTGAGCATGATGAGCATATATAGTGTCTAAATGCATATGTCTGCATTGCAATATGCATGCAGTATGCTTGCTGTCTATCGGTATTACAAAAACCGAACTACGCAGGCGTGAGATCCACGTTGCAACAGCCACAAGAAAGCTTCAATTTTACAAATATGCGATTATATCGACTGATATGTTTATATACTTATATACATTTAAACATATATATATATATATATATATATATATATATGTGTGTGTGTGGGTGTGGGTGTGGGTGTGGGTGTGTGGGTGTGGCTGTGGGTGTGGGTGTGGGTGTGGGTGGGTGGGTGGGTGGGTGGGTGTGGGTGTGTGTATGTGTGTTATGGAAAACCAGAGCATAAGTAGGCGAAATCTGGTAAGTTTTTTGAACCTGTTCCCTTATGGCGACTTCCGAGGCCCCGCCCCCCTCCCTTATCATTTTGAGAAATCGACACCCTTGCAGAGCGGGCTGAGCCGCTGGCTGGTGTACGGCAAGGGGTCCCTCCGCAGCATGCCGTCGGGTGCGGGTCTGTTGCTCCCCTTCCCACCGCATTGGTAGACTCCTAAGTCGGCTCGACTCATCGCCGTGGCGGCAGCTTGTGGTCGGGGCGGCGACGTCGGGTGTGGTTTGCAAGGCCAGGTGAAGGTCGACTTTCAATCCGGGCAACCCCAGCCTTTATGCGCTTCAGAGCTTCCTAGTGATCCCCTTCGAGCTTAGTTTCAATCGCTGGTATGCTACCAGAGGTGCAGATCCGGATCGTGTTGACCGGTATGTTTTCATTAAGTGCAGTTGGGCTCTGACACTTTTGGCCGACATGCCCCTGGTATGTCCGGTCATCTCAGCAGTATCGTGTAAGCTCCCGCGCCTCTGGTATGTCCGGTCATCTGTGCTGGACAGCAGGCGAGGCTGTAACGCCAAATGTTGTGCCACCAGTCAACGCATCGGTCACTCCTGTGACCTGGAAGCCAATCAGTCCAAAACTACAACTGTTCGGAGGGCATCTCTGTATTGTACTGGAACAGGCCGAAAAGGATCGTCAATAGACGGCTCGTCACCCTGGAAACGAAATAGACTGGCATCGACACTCCCGCAGATATTTGCCGCTTAATTCCCAGTAGCTCCCACCAGAGCACAATGGATCTGTCAAGGTCATTCAGAAGGGAATGGGTGAAGGCATCGGTTCGTAGCCGGTGGGGCAGAGATACGCGGCACCAGCTTATTGCGCCGTTTCGCCTAACTACGTCGTTTGGCAGAGGGACGTTTTCGTTATTTCCGACGAGGTGCTTTGTCGTTGCCAGCCGTGATGTTCAGGGAGACCGATGTGAAAGACGACGCATGCTGGCTTTCAATAGGCCAGCCCTGCCATTTTTTTCCTGGCAGAATGCTCTGACCTCCAGAATTTGCTGTTTTGTAGAAATAATTGCTTTAAGCGAACAAATACTCCAGTAGTAAGCTCGCCCAAAAGTCCCAATCGTCAAGCGTCGTTTACAGTTCCAAAGAGCCCATCTCCGAGTCTGGTACGCGAACTCAACAACCCCGCCTCAAAAACGTTCTTATATTTCGTTGCATTCACTTGCATATTTACAGCTTTTATGCAACCAATGCGATTAAAGGCAACGACCACGTGTCAAGTCACATATGCAGTCACATGGACACACCAAGCAGTGATGATGAATGCGATGCCGATGCCGCACGATGCCCCGGGCACGCGGGAGTCGCCACCAAACGTGGGCACGCGGGAGTCGCCACCAAATGTGGGCATGCTCGGAGCGCGCCTGCAACTACCTCCGCTGCCACGTGAACAGGGGCGTAGCTTCGCAAAGCAAGATGGAGGGGGAGGCTCGAGCACGGAAGTGGCTAAGCCTACCCTCAAACAGCCAAAGCAAAACGGGGAACTTGCCCGCATCTTCCTAATTAAAGTTGGGGCCTATCGCTCCCCAATCCCCAAATTAACTAAGAAACTACGCCCCTGCATGTGAGCCTGTGATGACCCATACGACGGAATCGCCCAATAGACGTCAGTCAGTCAGGCGTGCAGTAGTGGCGGCAGTCAGGCGTGCCTGTAGCCGCCTGACTGCCGCTACCAGGCGCTAACTCTCACCCGAGGCGGCCTCAGTACGGGAAGTATATCCGCTGATCCCAGACTGTCTTGCGTGGTGACGTCCTCCGCGGCCAGATCCATTGCGTGGCAGGCCGGCGGCGGGCGGCGGGCAGTCCGCCGCGCGTTCCCGGCGGGGGCTGAAGGGGCGTCTGGCGCCACCCGGGCGACCGCTGCGGCGGCGGGCGGGCCGACCACGCCCGCCGTCCCGTCTTGCTCCGCTGTGAGGCCGGTGGCCCCTTGCGTACCACCGTGCGGCGCTGGAAGGGCGTTGTGGGGTCGGCAGCGGCCGGGCGCCAGCCGGCTGCCAGAAATACGGGCCGGGACGAGCCCGCCCCGGAGCGACCCGTCAGAAACTGGCCTTGCGACGTGTCCGCCGGCCGGAACTGACCCTGCGCGGCAAACCGGCCCGGCGCCAGCGTCGGCACCGGGCTCGTCGGCTGGAACCGGCCGCGCGCGGCCCGCTGACGCGCCCCGTTGGCCGCCAGGAGGACGGGCCGCGCGCCAGCCGTGCCGGCCGCGCCGACCGCGCCGGCCTGCGCCGCCGCCGCGTCCGCCACCTGGCCACTGAACAGCACGTTCGCCGAGGTCACGTCATACACATAGAAGAGGAACGGCCGGTCGGCGACGAACGACGGCGTCGGCGCCGTGAAGAAGCTGCGCGCGCTGATGCTGATCGAGGTGGCGGCGGCCGCCTCGCTGCCGCGCTCGTCCGTCTCGATGATGGCGCTGTGGCGTGCATCGCTCACGTAGAGGCGCGGGTCGGGCGACATCCGCTGCAGGTTCGCCAGCGACGTGAACACTTGGCGCACTCCCACCTGTTGAGGCAGACGCGACGCAGTTAGCCCGGTGCCCAGCACGAGTGCAACCGCACGGCGGGTTTCCCGCGCCCGGCCGCAGGCCCGCGGCTGGTCGTGCATGTGCGCCTCGGTGGTTGGAAAACCCTGGCCAGCGGTGACGGATATGGGGGAGGGGGGACCACGCACGTGTTTGGTTTCAATGGAGCTTCCACCGCGTGGCGCCCCCGTCCCCTCCGTGGTCGAGTACAACTGGGCACCTGACGACCACGCCAGCTACTGTATTGGGCTTTCTATCAATTATGAGCGTGGTTTTGCGCGACACAGATTAAAGGGTACAATCTAGATTTGGGGACTTTGAGTTGGTTGGAATAATCTGCCGAGCGGGCAGTTCCACGCTGCGTACACTGCTCTTCCATCATACTGTGGCCGATTCCATCCTTCACCTGTCCCCACGTGCCTTCATGTGAAGGATGCAGCAGGTTTGCGCTCACCCTTTTCAGCACGTCCGTCAGCTGCAACTTGGTCTGCACACGGAACTTCGGAAACTTTATCTCCACCTCCTGATGGCGCATTTGTTTGTACATTGCGTCAGCGTCGACTTGATTGAGGGTGTCCCCTACACTGGCGCCCTGGTCGGGCAACACGAGGATCATCTGGTACCTTTCGTCCTGTTGGAGAGCAAGTGATTGACGTAAGGGTGTGCAACAGCCCCTCGAACACAACGACACGCGACCTTGTCATCCCCGATGCGGTCAAAGTTCGTGAGCGCCGCATAAAAAGCTGTTAGACTCATTTGCAAACGCTTCCTTCTGCCAAACCCTAGATTTTGCACCTACAAGAAAACGAGCCGAAAAACATGGACTTCCCCAACCAAAGCTAATTCTACTCTATGATAACCCAGCATAGCACGTGGGCATGGCACCTGGGCATGGGCTGCGGGACAGACTGGTGCCCCCAGTCTGTCCCACAGCCCATGCCCGCAAGGTGCACTCCAGCGTACCCCCTCCCGTCAGAGGCCGCGATACGTGTTTCCAGTGGTCCTCCCGCATGCATAAAACGTGAACATGTTGCAGCTATCTTGCACACCCCAGCTACCGAATTTCTTCACCCAAAACAAACTCCACTCCTTCGGTTCCTCAGTACAGCACCCTACACCCAATCCGTGCAGCTGGGTGCGCCCTCGTCGCACACCCACTGGGTGTGCCCCCGTCTGACCCACCGACCTCACTAGGGGCCAGACTGTCTTGCCCTCCCCCCCCCCCACACACCCTCCCCCACCAGTCCGGCCCGGGTCGGTCTGCCCACCTTGTAGGGCATGGCGATCGCGGTGAAGCGGCCCGACTCGCTACGCAGGTAGCCGTACTGGCCGTCGCCGGCCATCATCTGGACGGTCTGGCGGCGGCCGTCCGCTGTCGTGAACGGCGCCGGCTGCGTGCGGCGCGCATCGAGCGCCGTGCGCCACTCGGCCCGGAAGTAGATGGCGCTGACGAGCACGGCCACCAGCTGCGCGTTGCCCGGCGGCAGCAGGTCACGGATCTATCGAGTGGACGAACCGATCAGCTGGGACTCGACCGCGGCGAGGGCACGTGGTTTCGGCCAGGGAAGCGCTGCATGCTAATGACCGCGCACCTCAGCCACATGGAGGCGCACGCGAGCTGTACCATGTGCCACGCATGCCATGGTGTGGCCTGACACGCGGCTGCGTACTTATGTGAGTGATGGGTGGCCCTTGAATACTTCAACGACTGATGCCAAAAGTCAAATGTCGACTGCCCACGCGCGCCCAGAACCAGCCTCCACGGACGCTTTAGCCGTGAACAAGTCCTCCACAGACATTTTAGCCGTGAACAAGTCCTCCACAGACGCTCTAGCTGTGAACAAGTTCTCCACGGACGGTCTGGCTGTGAACAAGTCCTCAGACACGACTGTTTCAGACCGTGGGGTGTGTGTGACGCGTTCGGACCCTGCCCGCCACGGGCCGACCGCAGAGTCGGGCAGGACTCACCTTGCCACTGGTCTCCTGCTCGACGCGTCTGTTGATGCTGCCGGTGGCGGCGGCCGGGCTGGTGGAGAACGGCTGCGACTCCACCAGCGCGCCGTACGCCCGCACGGCCCGCTGGTACGCCGGCCGCACGGCCAGCTGACTGTCGTGGAAGAAGGCGGTGAAGAGGCGCAGCGTCACGCCCGGCTGCTCGACGCTGGTCTGCGGCGCCCGGCGCCGGTCGCGGCCGAGCAGCTGGCCGATCTCGCGCCGGGACGCGCCGTCGGCCGCCTCGTGCAGCAGCGAGAGCGCCGTCGCCACCGAGTACGGCGAGAACACCACGTTGGCGCCGGCCGGGGACACACCGGTGATGGTCTGCAAGAAGCGCAGGTCAGCAGCCGGTACCAAGTGGGACGACGTGACTTTGGCGCGGAACAGAGCGGACTGATGTAAGGGACGAGCAGCGCCAACTGCCAAAGACTTGGGCATTGTAAGCATGAAGCGGCCAGGCTTGTGCCAAAATCGTCGCATGTGATGGTAAGTGCGGTCGGGCCAGTTCGCACAGTTCAGATTCTAACTGCCAGATGTATCGAACTACCCTGAACTGACTGGTCGTAACCCAAGATCTGTCTTGGCCTGCACGCGCGCGAATTCTGGTTTTCCTTACGGGGAAAACCAAAATTCGCGCGTATGCAGATGCAGATTGAGGACTTACTCAGTTAAGAGTAAGTCCACAATCTGCGTCCAAGGCAGCTCTGCTAAGATGAACGTGAGCCTGCGTCCCAACTGTTCCGCGCCCGCCCACAGCCGTCAGTGGCGCGCACGCTTGCGGGCGCACGCCGCTTCCGGGCGCGATCAACACGGTAGTATGAACACGTCACCGCACGACGTCGAAATGCCACTGCGCCCGAAGCGTGACGCTCCCTCCCCCTCCCCATTTCCCCGCCTCCGTGTGCACAGTCCTGCACAGTGCACGTGCAGCGTGCGGGCCCCGAGCCGAGGGGCTCGCACGCGCACGTGGACGCCCGCGGTTGTCTGTCAGGAGCTCTGTGGGCGGACGGCCGCAGAGTGAGCCGATGGGGCCACGGAGGGGGTCACCGGTGGATCATGTGTCACCATCGGACCCCGCCGCCTAGGCAGTCGTAGTTACCATCGGTGGTGCTATCCAATTTCTTAGCAGAGGGGGACGATTTGGCGTATATTTGTTAGTTTGCGGAAAAAACGTGAAAAACGTGGAAATTACAAACCGTACTGCGGCACACCAGGGCCAGGGCCCACCGTACCGTCACCTACTGTTTAGACATAATTTGGGTACATCTCCTACACTCCAGTGTGCTTGACCCGTATTTTCCAAGCAACGGTGGAGGTAAGTTCCACTCTGAACATATTTCCCCCTGGAACATCCCATTCAGGTCCGTATATTTGCCGTCGGTTGGAATCATCGGTCCAAAATCGCAATCTTTGCTTTCTTGTCTGTGGTTTCGCAAGTCATGGCAAATGAGCTGCAGCGGCTCGGTGCTGTTGGCGACACCTCCAAAAGGCAGGCGTCCGCGGAAGACGAGCTCCAAAAGGCAGGCGTCCGCGGAAGACGAGCTCCAAAAGGCAGGCGTCCGCGGAAGACGAGCTCCAAAAGGCAGGCGTCCGCGGAAGACGAGCTCCAAAAGGCAGGCGTCCGCGGAAGACGAGCTCCAAAAGGCAGGCGTCCGCGGAAGACGAGCTCCAAAAGGCAGGCGTCCGCGGAAGACGAGCTCCAAAAGGCAGGCGCCCGCGGAAGACGAGCTCCAAAAGGCAGGCGTCCGCGGAAGACGAGCTCCAAAAGGCAGGCGTCCGCGGAAGACGAGCTCCAAAAGGCAGGCGTCCGCGGAAGACGAGCTCCAAAAGGCAGGCGTCCGCGGAAGACGAGCTCCAAAAGGCAGGCGTCCGCGGAAGACGAGCTCGGCCGCGGCGCGCAGTCCGTTTGATAAACACTGTTAAGCTTAGTCGGCACGGGGCCTATCTGACTCTCGCCAGCTGCCACTGAGACGTCATCACAGAACGGGTCCGGCGGGGCCGCGCCAGGGCTACAGACTCGGGCGGCTGAGAGCGCCGCACCACACCTAGACACCGAGCGCTTGCGCCGGGCCTACGGCGGACAGAAGAGATGTTCACCTCGTGAAGGTGTTGGACCTCCACCGCTCTGAGGGAAGATATCCAGCGGTGATCCCCACACCGACGCGCATCGTCAAGGCCACACTGTTCCCACCGCTGGCACAGTCTGCTTTCTCATGCGGAACCCAAGCCGAAGATCCGTAGAAAATTGGCATCACATTTGAATAAAAGGTACTGCCGATATGTAACAAGGTCTGTGTGTGCAGCTGCCCTATACAGTTAAGAAAAAAATAACAGCGGACATATGTGGGTCGCATGGAAGGCAACGGATCTAAGCCGTTGGACTGCGCCCCGTGCGTGCGTGGGCGTCCTTTCCCTCGAACAGGTCCGCGCCTATCCATCTCAGTGCAGCGCTTGCCGGGTGATCGGCATTGAGCGCGGCCGGCCGATGGCTGCTGCGCCAAAGAACGCGTCCGGCCGATGGCTGCTGCGCCAAAGAACGCTTGCACCGATGGCTGCTGCGCCAAAGAACGCGGCCGGCCGATGGCTGCTGCGCCAAAGAACGCTTGCGCCGATGGCTGCTGCGCCAAAGAACGCGGCCGGCCGATGGCTGCTGCGCCAAAGACAGTGCGGGATGTGACCGTAGACCCACGCCTCCCCAGAACAGGGACGCGACTGAACACATCACGGACCACCCGGAACCTCTGCATTCTTGACCGGTTTGTGGAGGTCAAAAAACGAGAAGCAAATGCGTCGAGAGGCGTGACGAAACTGTTGTTCCCTAGCTCAGATGCTACGCAACAATCCTGTTTTAACGTTCAGACTGCGTTCCGCCGGCCATAAAGATGTCGTCCACCGGTCGTCCTCTGTTCGATGAAGGGACTGGAACGGCCAGTGTTCGCCAGCCAACAAAGAGCTGTCGGCTGCAGGCATGCAGAACCGAATACACTCTGAATGGGGTCAGAGCTGAACCCACGAATCGGGACCCCAATCGACGAACGCTACTCACGATTTGCCGCTCGGCAATCGACCGAGAGTAGTCCGAAGCAGGGGCCCTGCCCGCCTGGCAGCTCTGAGCAGATTTTCCAGTGGTGTGGCTCCACTACGATCAGTTGGAAACGGCAGCTAATTGGTGCAGACCGGAGGGGCGGCGCCGCCGGACGCCGGTAGGGTGGGAAGCCGGCCGGCCAACATGCCATCGGACAGGGCGGGCCAACATATCTCTTCGCCAGTTCTGACTTTTAGGAGGCCCCTAAGTCCATGATAGGCCATGATGTGGTTAGTGGCAGTCATGCGGTCAGAAGGCAGGCCGTGATCAGGGACGCAATGTATTTAGGGTGGAGAGGAAGCTTCAGCTATCTTGTATGGTCGGAAATAATCGCACCACAGGCGTCATGAATGATAGCGAGCGTCAATAATGCAAAGCTCTTGAGTGCTCGAGGGCCAAGTCATGGCAGAACCACGTCACGTCATAATGGAGACAAGACCCGAACCTGCGACAGCAGACGGCTTAGTGATGCATGCAAGTTGGATGCGTTCAAACTGCCACAACTGAGAACCCTCGTGGCGTAAAAACGGCCCCCGTGTCGCATACAAGCTGTGAATGACAGCGTGCGAGGTTCAAGTACTATTTCTGTCGCATTTTTGTCGTGATAGGCCGCTGTGCATAAAAAGGGCCGTCGTCCTGCGGCGGTCTCTTCCTCGCCGGAGGTCACCATAGCAACTGTCTGCCCATCCACAGGTAATTGCCCGGCTGCTCCTGCCTCCGCATGCGCCGAACACTGATTTGGGGCGACGCGATAAAATTTCCGCCTTGGCTGTGATGGCATATATGCCTGCACCTATCTTCTGCCACCATGCCTCGGAGGCCTGCTCCAACATTTACTCCTATATATCTTGTGCACACCACATCAGCATGTTACGCGCCTAGCTTGCGAAGCAGTGATTGATTTTGACGCTCGCCGTACCCAGTTAAGGACGTTTTTTGGCGGCGCGTATTTCGGTACGTCCGCCTCCGACAGCAGATCACAAGCATGCACCGGCGCGCGGGCCGCTCGCCAGCGGCAGGCACTGTGCGGCTTATATGACCGCGCGAGTGTCAGACTCCTATCGTGCGTGCCGGCGGCGCGCACCGGACACATTGCGAGCGCGTGACGCGTCCGCGTCCGTCTCCGGCGCGAGAGCCGCTTACTTTGTGCAGGAGCTGCTGGAATGGCATGCGCCGGGACTGCCCTGCGACGCTCGCCGCCGCCACCAGCAGCAGCGCGCCTGAAAAAGCACCACACGAGATGCGTCAGGGCGGCGAGCAGTGACGCGCTCCGGCGGCACTTCCGGCGCGCAAGTGTCCGGGCCGACGGACTTTTCAGAGCGGCGGGTCGCCATGGCTGGCGTCAGCCGCTTCGACGGGCAGGGGATGTGGTATTCGTACACCAATGACGTCAGTGGCTGACGCGTGTCGGAGGGCTGAGCCTGAACAGGCGGTGATCGGGTGCAGCCAGAAGTACTGTGAGTCCCGAGCACCGACTTGCTCCGAAATGTGTCACCCAACAGCACGCACTGCGCACAGTTGACGACGCCAACGTGCCGCCAACTCTGACGTCACTGCAGAGGGGGGGGGGGGGGTGCAGGAGCACCACTCACGCGTAGAGATGGGGTCACGGCCGGGGCTCGGAAAGGTCATTAAGCGCCTTCCTGGCCCGGTTTTTCAGCGTCACCGTCCTGTGAACAACGCTGGCCTGGTTGCCAATGTAATTGTTTTCAGCTCTGCATTCAGCTAGGGTATATCAAGGTCGCGTGCTCGTTTGTAGTGCACGCAGCGTGGCCGTCGCAAGAAGACCAGATGAAATGCAGTGCGCACATGCCGCATTGCAATTTGCTCTGTTACTCCCCAACGAATAAAATATAGACATTGTGCGGTCATCTGAGACCCAACTTATCGGGTACGATTTCTGAGTCACAGTGCATCAGAGCAACAGCCACATATATAAATCCAACAGGTTCTTTGCGGGCCGGCGAGCACTGCTGTCCAGTTGCCAGCCGTTGGACGACCAGTGAATAGCAAGACTTGTTTTGTAACCGGTGGAACATAACTGAACGTTTAGAAAAGGATCGATGCACGACATTTTGGCCAAGGAACGGCTATCGCGTCGTGACCCTAAACACCTACAATAATTACATGTCGCCGTATTTGGACGTCCGTAGCATTTTGAAGGAAGTCACTTTGCTGAATGGTGAACACTGACGAGACGTGTCGATGTCGGAAGGCATGACGAAGCCTCTCGCCGCTCGAATATCGCATGGCGAAATACCACACAACCCACTTTAATGTGAGCCCGCGTTCCACCCGCGATCTTAAGCAAGGCTACCCACTGGTATTGAGGGATCAAAACTAGACATCAGTGTTAGCTAGTCAGCACGGTGATGTCTTGGGACTGTTCAAGGATGGGGCATAGCAAGGATGATATGGAATGTATAAAGAATAGCATGGTATATACTATTGAATATATCTATAGATATGAGGATAATACGGGATACAAAAAGGACGATATGGAATATATAAAGGATAATATGGGATGTTGCTGCAGTTGGACTTTGAAATTGTACCAAAAGTGACAAAAGATGGTAGAATATATAAAGGATAGCATGGGATGTATAAAAGATGATATGGAATATGTAAAGGATAAATGGGATATATCACTGAAGTTGGAACTTTGAAAATCATCCAAAAGTGTCCTTGTTCAACGTGTAAACACAACCCAGGAGTAAACGAAATTTTGTCTGCCAATGTTGTGTATTTATTGTGTTTTAATTGCATTTTCAATGCCCTGTATTAACATTTACGCACGTCACACAAAACCAAGCCCTCTATCACGCGCAGCTGGGTGTACTGTCCATAGCACAACCGGCACTGACGATAGCCAAATACCAAGTCAAAACGGTTGCGCACGAGCTCGTTCGCCCTTCTCTCGCCCTCGGCTAATGAGACCCCTTTCACCGTCAGTGCAGCGCCCATCCACCCGCCGAAATCCGGGGGCATTGGTGCAACTTCCAAAGGTAGCACCTGCTTCGTAGGGTAGGTCCTTTGAGTGAATAAAGAAGGCATACAAATATGCGTATTTATATATATATATATATATATATATATATATATATATATATACATAAAACTAGAAATAGACACATTGATAGATACGAAGCGAAACAAAAGCTTCAGCGAAATGTTCATTCACTGGTGCAGTGCCAGGCAAAGATCCTGTTCTAATATTCAACCGTATCATCCCCACATAACGTACTGCAATGATTCGTTGGACCGTTCGCTGGCCGTACCCGCCAGTAACATGAATAATGTCCTCAAAACGTCTTGCAGACATAAGGATGCTACAAAACGAAGACGCGTAAGTTGTTCAGCGCAACTGCCACGAACATTGCACGCGCACAAGAGTGGTATTAAATGCCCTATTCCCGCTGAATAACTAGGATAAAAAAGAGATGCATTGACAGCCCGACAACTGGAACAAGACACATCGAATAACAATTACAATCAGTGCAGACATCACTTGCGGTCGATTCAGCCGAATGAGCGTCGCGCCGTCTCCGCATCTAGCGGACCACTCACCGATACAGTGCAGCGCGCCCATCGCCATACTCCGAGCTGCGACCAATGAGATCCGATGCCGCTGCTGCCCGCACACCGTGCACCACCCGCGACCCTCCCCTGCAATGTGGCGCCGTGTTATGCTTATAAACGCCGCTCCGGCTCAGCGCCGCCCGGCAGAGGGCGCTCAGGGGCGCCCTGTTTGTAACGTCACCGCCCCCTCCCCCCGCCCCCCGTGCCGGCGCGTGCAGGGATGGCACCCGTCGTCATGGTGACGCGTCGCACGGCCCCGGCCGGCTGGCGGGGACGGGAGCCGGACCTCGCTCCGTTGATTGGCATGTCAGTCGAGCCGGGCTGGGGAGGGCGAGTGGGGCTGAACACCCTTCCGGAACGGCGTGCGTCCTGTTGCCTGCCGGTAACGATTGCTGGCGCCGACTCTGCGGACGCCACTGGTCAGACATGTGGAGGGCTGGGCGCTCTGGCGAAGGCCAGAACTGAGCAGGGCCACAACACCGAGGCTGCCGCTGCAGGCGTTGTACGTTACGTTGATGATCGGGGCCCCAACTGCGCCGAGCCGGACCCCTCCCACCCCCCGCCCTCCCGCTCTGCCGGGCGTCGGCCGCCTCAAGTCCCGGAAGCACAGCGCACCCGTTGGCTGATGCTTCTTAGGTCGCGCTCATGGACCCCCCCCCCCCCACCCCGGTAGTCGCCAATGAAATCTGATAGCTGACAAGTTCGTGCTGAGGGACGTTTTGATTAGATACTATTTTCCAGAAGAACAACACGACCGGCTTAGCCAGGAGCAGCGGGCCTTGCGGGCACGAATGCACCTGCTGGAATTCCCGCCACCACGCAGTCAGTCACCAAAAGAACACCTGTCAGGATTTTGGGTTCCTAGGACTGACCACGTCCTCGCAACAGACCACATAGCGACGGAATGTGAACGCTGAGCCCCCGGTGATGTGGAATTCCCTGGATAAGACCTGACAGTTTCGGACCCAATAAACGGGAGCTTTGGGGTCGGGATGGCTTTCATGGTATGCTTTGTGTCAGACAGCCGAAATCAATAGCACCGCACTGGTCGTTGCACGTTGTTTCCCGCTGGTTGTACTCTCCCAATCATTACTGGTTTAGTGCGTCACCATTTCCTGTGTTTTCAGCCGCCCACTGACAGCGCGGGTGATATCATCGGTGCATTGTCCTCTTATTTACTACCAGTGGAGCTGGTCCACGCCCAGTGGGCACCGACCCGAACGTGCGATGATGCGCGGGCCCGCATTCAGGGATTCCGTGTTGACAACGCGGGTCGAATCTCTTCCGGCTGGGTATATATACTGTTCATCTGATTCAATGCAATGCAGGGAGTGAATTCCACTGCGCCAGTCCTACTGCGCCGGATTCCGATTGTCGTCCGTTGCAGTCCAGAGGCAGCTTTCCTAAGAGTAACGAGGTGGACATTGGGACTTAATAGGCCTCGTTGGCTTATTCGCGTCTCCGGCTTTGTCTCCGGACTGTTTACGCACGCTCCATCCCAGCTGTCCTGATCGCATGTCCCTGCCAGTGCGGAGAGATAAAGACTCGTTTTTTTGCTTCCCATATCACCCTAAGCTGGCAAGTCTAGGTCGATTTTATCGTGCTGTGTCGTCAGTTTACCTTGCACGAGCAAAGTCCGTGTCAACTCGCATTGGGCGAGGGCCTGCTTAGCAGCAAAACGTGGACAGAAAAAATCAACAGCCCGTTTGAAGTGCAAACTGAAGAGACGCTTTCGGGTTTTAGGTAATTCTCCATGTGAAAACAAATATACACAGTACTCATTGTATTAAAACAATTGTAACAAATAAGCTTTACAACATTTTAGGGCGTCGTATAAAAATATTGGTATCTTGCACCCACACAATGACAATTTACGTTCGGCCACCAGGCCTCACTGGTAACCTGTTCACGAAATTGTCCGGCATGCATTCATGTAAAATTTACTTCATCGTTCTGCGGCGCATGACATTTCGAATCTAACAGTACGCGTGTCAGTCAGTAACTTTGCAACACATATGGGGCCTCTCCATGCGTAAAGCCCTGCGTGCACAGTTTCTTTCAGATTCGAATGGACCCATCTGTACACGGTCCACATGTGACGCGTTTTGGCAAACAACTACGATGCACAACGTTTCAACGCTTCTCGTAAATGCAGCATACGAGGCCAGCCACTGCCGTGCTCACGTTCCTCCAACACACTCGTATCGCGCTGCCGTCGACCGCTCGCGCCCGGGCCGTCGGTTTCCCCGAGCCGCTCGATCCACGCAGGGGGTGGGAGTGTGGGGGCCGGGTCCGCGCTCGGCCGGCTCGTGCCGCCGACGGAGCGTCCGGCCCGGCGGGCCGCCGCCGCGCCAGCCGCGCCACTAGAAGTACACTGCCACCGGACTCTGCTCCAGCTCGGCTGACGGCGTGTTGGGCAGCGGCGTCACGCTGACGTCCGGGTCCAGCTCCGTCTGCCGACAGCGCAAGCCCCGTCAGCTCGTCAGCACCAGCTCCGCCAGGTCGTCAGCATCAGCAGGGCGGCGGTCGGCCGAACCTGAGGCGACTCCAGCCCTGGGCGTCCTGAGACGACCTCTTCGGAAACCAGGAGCCCGACAATATTCGCCTCCCTCATGTGCTACTAGACGCGCCAGGTGTTAGCTGTATAATAGCTTCACAGGGACTTAATACGCCTGGAAAAGAGCGGCCCCAATCTGTCAAAAGACCACTGGGATGACTTAAGCCCGCACAAAGATCCCAAACTACTTTCAACGAACAACTTCTGAGTGAAACGAAAGCTCAGGCAGTTCAAGAGGTAACTGGAGCAAACGAAACACCGTTAGTTGGCTCCAAGGCGATCTTCGAACTTTGCAAAGAACTGTCGGCTTCCAACAACACTCGCGGAACGATGGATTAGCCTGCATTGCTCGGGTTTCCCTGCAACCGCGACCGTACGGCGAATCTTTTGAGCCACTCCCGCTATCTCTGGATCTGGCCGTGGAATGGGAAACATCATGAGAGCATTTGGTATCTTACCAACGCCCTGTCTAACAGAACCTTTTCGGAGTGACTGATGTTGAACATAGTGCCAAGCACCTAATGGCCATAAGAATCGCATGACAGCATGTAGCACCCGCAACCGCAATGAAACCTTTAAACTGAGGCCAAACAATAACTAACGATGCTCTACGTCAGAGACAAACTATAATTCGCAAAAAAGTCACGGTAAAGGTCAGACCAGATCGAGCTGCCTTATGCTCTTAACTAGTCATGAAGCAAATGAGTCCGTGGGCTTTCTTCCGAGGCATTTTACCCGATGTGGCGTTAGAAAGATCTAGTCAGTGGTCATTTGGATTTGAACCATAAAGTTGGTTTACGGAAAATTCTGTAACAAACTGGTATTGTAAGCTGTTGCGATGTCGCATTTGCAAGGAGTCTTGCATGACCTTTTTGCGACTTAATGAGGTCTCGTGTCATATGATAGCAAAATGACTCATTTCACGGCTACATTACATGACGCGTGAAATGACGCGGTTTCAGATTGGTGGATGCCCCCAATCTGAATCGCTACATGAATAGCCATACATCATCAGCAAGTCAGCATAATAAAAAAACCACACATGTCCGCAACCGAGCTAAATAACTATTTGTCAAACATGTGAAATTGATAACTCGGCAGCACCACCAATTTCGATCTAAAACGGTTGATAACTAATTCCAGAAAACCAGAGGCGTTACTTTTATCCCCAGTGGTTATAAATAGATTGGGCCGACCGGAAATATATATTTTTTTAATGATACATGTTGAGGGTTGCGGTACATCCTCCAACTTTTTTAATTGGCACGATCATGCTGTCTGTGCCGTAATCACCCTGGTAACTATCAGCGTCACCATGAGGCCCGTGGGGGACCAGCACTCAGCACCATGAGGCCCGTGGGGGACCAGCACTCAGCAGAGGCGCCTTCAGTACAGAGGCATCCAGGCCTAATTTTAATTCTTAAGTCCGCCCGAAGAAAAGGCTCAACGAAGTCAATTAACATTAAAACTGTTTAGGCACGCCCCATTCGTTCCAGGCCAGCACTCCATTCAGAACCAGGCACCAACGGCCTGTCAACGGCCGACCCGCACTTGCCGTGTGGAGGCTTCCGGGGGGCGCTCGTGACTGATGCTTGCTTCCGGGGGCGCTCGTGACTGATGCTTGCTTAGCCAGATTACCAGATAAGGAGCACGCTTCGCGCTAGCCGTGAGTGCATGCGAGGTCTAAAACTGGCGATGCAGCCATGCTCTCACGACATCGGCCGCTTCCGATGCTCCACTGCAGTGCATTGCCAACAGATGGACGGAAGAAGGCCCAGACCGCAGCACGCCCGTTGCCCAGCGCGTGGGAGGGCATACCCCACCTCCCAGCGCTGGCGCCCACTGAAAGGGTGGGCGGTGAGCAGTGGCCGTGGATGGAGATCCCGTAGGGGCCAGCGGGGGTGAGGTCAGGCCCGCCGGGCCCAAGCAAGCCCAGACTGTGAGGAATCTGGGAGTTCAAATAGGGGTTTCGGGCTCCAAGGGTCCCATCGGACGATTCTTTTCGGATCTTTGGGCACAAGTCCTCTACATCTTTGCGATCCTCCGGATTTCTCCTAGTATTTATAGCTGCCCACAGGGCCCGTTTCACTCCTCACAAGCCCTCTTGTTGCCTAGGAGAACCTACATTGCTTGCATAGGCAATTGAGGTGCTTCTTGGTGTATACATGGCCCTGCTGACATGAAGAGGAATCCTCACCAGAATGTAATTGGTGAAAACAAAAATGAGTTTCCTGCGAAGCTACACAGCGCAGCCTTGCCCGTTGGTTCGATTTGTCACTGTCTGAAATCCGTGACTGCGGAGAGTGTGAGCCCTAGGTTGGCTAGACTCTATCTGATCGGCTCTATCTGTCTCAAATAAGATTAGAGTCAGATGGAACTCGTGTCATGGGCCCTCTTGAGAATGTTAATGATCTCACTGGACGTAAATTCAGCTGCAGTCTGAGAAGTCTAGCGTGGTAGTGTTGTTCAAAACAACGATGGGGATGATCACATGTTTACCAAAATTCTCACCTACTTTCGGCGTAAACAATACTGATATTGGGTGCTGCTCCAAACATGGTGTGTGCCAATGGTTAAGAAACGAATTTGTGCCCGGCTTTGGTCCGTTGACATAGGAAAGCACATGCCAGGTTATTTCTCGAACGGCGGCAGACGCTTAAGTTAAACGAACAAACAACAAAAATCGCGAGCCTTTGGCGCGTCAAAATAAGTAACGCACGGCATGTTGTGGTTCTGCATTAAACATGTGATAACGTCAGCTGCGATCTGCAATACTTTAGTCTGACCATAGTGGTGGAAACCCATGTCAGGTTATCTTTCAAACGATGACAAACGCCCAAGCTCAAGCCAATTACTTCGCGCACATTCGTCTCGTCTAAATGTATAACAGTCTTCCAATTATATCTGGTCTGCTTGCCAGTTGTTCACAGAGCTCCGTGTTTTTGAGAAGAAAAAAACTTCCCTTTAGCAGAAAAAACGAAGTATTCAAAACCGAGGTGTTCGAAATGTGAGAGAGTGTGCCCTTTCACGCTGCAATGAGCCTAATGACACTGATCCCCTGAATCACTGATCTTGCCCCCCACCGCCCCTTCCCAACCCGAAGGATGTAACCCCACCTCTGAGATTGGATGAATCAGGAGTGAATGCAGCTGGAGTATGGGGGACAACCTAACCAGAATGGGAAAATGACATTTTGAATGGGAAAACGTGAAAACGTGCATTCTACGAGACCACTGGGAAATTGACCCAATTCTGCGAAACTTGGTGAGGCATGTTTCCCTAGCCCCTCGGCGGTTACAACCATGCTCCCTTCCCCGTATTTGGTTGCGGTCTCTGTCGCTGACATTGACCGAGCAGCCGGTGTGTTGCGACACTGATCCCGCCGCGAGGCCGACGCCACCACGTTACCCTCGCTGGAAATTCTGACCGACGCCGACGATGGGTGCCATATCGCGCGGAGGGAAACGGAACCGCGATGACGGTACACGGTCGGCGCCGGCCGCACCAGCGCCATCTATGCGGACGTCTGCCCGGCAGTTCCAGAGGCTGGGGATCGACGCTTCGGTCCGATAAACTGCTGCTGGGTGACCCACGCATGCCCTGAAGAATACAGTGATGTTTAGTGCGGCCGCTGGAGATTTGGGTTACGCAGTGTCCGTGAGGGTGTCGTCAGCCACGTCAGGGGATTCTACTATGCCAAGGACCGCACACCTGCCGGTAAAACCAGAAAACAATACGCAAAACAAATATTAAGCCTCACTAAGAACGCAGAGAACGACCCAAAACGACCCCCGCTTTCCCGTCCACGACGTGCCGTGTGCGCAGCAGGACGCCGATCGGAACTGACCAGCCAACTCCGAGCAGAAGACAGGCTGCAGACGGTACCAAGACATCGGCCGGCGACAGCCCGTGACATCACGCCGCAGAAAACACGATGGAGAGCGAACTCAAGACCGCGGCTGGATGATGTTCCCATAAGCCGTTTTCACGCTAACCTTTTTGGACTGATCTGGCATCATATCTCAAATACACGAAAGCACAAATCCATGTTGAATGTTAACGCCGATCTGAACATCTTTTAGTCGAATGTACATACCAGTTACATCAAATCGCATGTGCTACAAGTAAGTTGATCGAGCCAGGATGAGGTCATGTCAGGCCACGCGGTAACCTTCCGTAAGCCAGTATAAATGACACCTCTCCGGGCCAACATGTACTACCGGGTCGAATGGTGCCAACTGCAACATCAACACAGGAGTGTGAGTGGACGACTCCAGATGCGAGCCATATCGGGTCACTTGATGCCAATGTTAGACCACGTGATGCCGTTGGTCTTCAGGAGCAGACTCAGATGCTCTCTTCTCAGCGGGGCTCTTCTTGACCGCCACGTTGCCGCTGCCCATTCAGCGGCACGAGAAGGAATGCAGTGCAGCGTCCAGCGCGATCCCACGCGGGGTTCTCCGCGTTGGCTGGACCTTGCCCAGTTCGCTCGCAAGCCTGCGTCTCCCTTCGGAGGCGCGCTTGCCGCACAGCTGGCTTATGTGAAGGGCGAATAAGCTATTGAGCCAGAAACGGATTTTTTTGAAGCGTTTATAAACAACTGTCTTTTGAACAAGGCATCACTCAATCAAGCACATTGCACCATTCGACTCGGCATTCCATGCCCGCTCCGGAAAGGCATCATCAATACCTGCTTGCGCAGGGTCATCAAGTGGCATGCCATGACCTCTACCTTGGCTCGGTCGGCTTACTTCTTGCACCTAAAAACGCTGATGCAATGGGCACGCATAGTTGACTTAAAGGTGTCTAGACCGGTACAACATGTCAGGTCATCTTGATTATCCGGCATCACGTGTAATAATTGCTTGTACCGAATACCGATGATGACTTCTGTGC